TTATTCATTTCTTCAGTCGAATAATTAGTGGACATTCATTAATGTGAGCGTATGGAATCACGTCAGGTACCCTTACGAGGGTAGTGTATCAACTTTGGCGTTCGTAATGCCTCTCTACAAAGGAGGGTGTCGCCTTCAAAAGTTAAGTATAAACAGTGGATTTATACCAGTTCTTTTCCAAATTATTCATACACTACAGGAAAGCAACAGTCGTTGTTTCAATGAAGCAGTGCCCTTAGAAGGGTGGACTCATGTTTTCTTCCACATCTGTATAGTATATTCATATGGCGCAATGAGAAAATCATAATACTGATTCATGTTTTTTTTTAGAATATTCCAGGAATAATGCAAACCATCGCAGATGTCTCAGAATCTCAGAACCTGTATTTGCGAGAACTCCTTATTCGCTTGTAGGACACTTCACTTCAGAACTCTACATTTTTAAGCTGATGAAATATGGAGATTTTCGAGATAAGTATTTCCATTACCCCCAAAATTGTCACTCCTAAAATTCATTTAGTAGTTCTATTCCTCTTCGAACATTCTTTCGTGAAAAAACGACTTTTATCGATTCACTAAATCATTTATTTCTTCAGTCGAATAATTAGTCGACATTCATTAATGTGAGTGTATGGAATCACGTCAGGTACCCTTACGAGGGGAGTGTATCAACTTTGGCGTTCGTAATGCCTCTCTACAAAGGAGGTTGTCGCCTTCAAGAGTTAGGTATAAACAGTGGTTTTATACCAGTTCTTTTCCAAATTATTCATACCCTACAGGAAAACAACAGTCGTTGTTTCAATGAAGCAGTGCCCCTAGAAGGATTGGACTCATGTCTGTTTATTATAGTCATATGGCGTCCAGAAAATCGTAATACTAATTCATGTTTTTTTCAGGATATTCCAAGAACAATGCAAACCATCGCAGATGTGTCAGAATCTCAGAACCTGTATTTGCAAGAACTCCTTATTCGCTTATTGTAGGACACTTCACTTCAGAATTCTACATTTGTAATGCCATACCAGATGATGCTAATGAAATATGAAGATTTCTGAGATAAGTTGCCATTACCTTCTAAATTGTCACTCCTCAAATTCATTTCATAGTTCTATTCTTCTTCGAGCATTCTTTCATGAAAAAACGACTTTTATCGATTCACTAAATTATTTATTTCTTCAGAGGAATAATCAGTATTTCTGCAGAACATAATATTGGCAAATTAGAAAATATTTTCAATAATCATAATAAGAATGATTTGTAATTAGAAATCCGCCTCCGCCATGTTTAGGCAAAATCCGATGCTTTGAATGATTTGAACTTTGTTTCGGAAATAACAGTGTTTTTCTGTGGTTCCGTTGTTTTTTCTCATAGTATTATTTCTATTGGATCAAATATTTCTGCAGAGCATAATATTATGAAGGAGGTATAAGTCGAGATACAACCGATAATACCACCTACAGTAAGCGGCAATATTATGGAACAATTTCATTCAAAAGTCAGGCATGTGTTTCTTGAAAACACGCTAGGACAGGTCGATTTTTATTTTTTCCTGCTGTTTTTATGGTTGTAGATTCATTTATACAGGGTGGCTCAAAAATAAGTTACGATGATCAAATTAATTTTTTTGAATGGAAACACTTACCTATATTATTATGTTTTATTTAATTTTTGAATTTGGCGTGAAATTCTAACTATGTTTCATGTATCGCATCATTGACATTGAACAAATAAAATGGTTTGAAAAAATGAAAATGATGGTCGTAACTCTTTTTTGGGTCACAAATAGGTCAATTTTCAGTTTTAAATGGCGATTTTCTCATTAATTGTGCAAAAATGACAACGTCACCAGTTTTGACACGGTGACGTCATCGATGATTTTTTTCAATTGAAATGTGGGTCTTGTATAATACCTCATTGAAAGGTCTATCAATAATGCATTCAGTATAGTATCATACTTAACTGACTAATGCTTATACTAGGGTAATAGAAAGTAATTCAATTTAATCCGAGAATAATTGGTGTATCTGACAAAACGTCAACTGACATTTCAATTGACATTAGGCAGATAACTTGATTTTTATAGACTAATAGCAACTTAATTTTTGACGATTTCATGCTGTTGTTTTTGTGCTTTGTTCAAGCTTTGTCCTTCTCTTACTAAACTGAAAACTAGTGTCAAAACTGGTGACGTCATCATTTTTGCACAATTCGTCATTTAAAATTAAAAATCGACCTTTATGTGACCCAAAAAAGAGTTACGACCATCATTTTCATTTATTCAGCCCATTTTTTTTTTGTTCAATTTCAATGATCTCATACATGAAACATACTTAGAATTCAAAAATTGAATAAAAAATGAGCGTTCACATTTGAAAGAATTAGGTTGATCATAACTTATTTTCGAGCCACCCTTTATAAATGAATCTACTACCATGTAAACCGGAGGAAGAAATAAAAATCGACCTGTCCGAGCGTGTTCCCAAGAATCACTGGCCTGAATTCAATAATGAATTTGTTCCATAATATTGCCGCTCACTGTATAGTGAATACCTACCATAATACAAACATAATACAAACATTGGAATCGTGCAAGATGGTTAGTAATAATAACTATCTTGCACGATTCCAATGTTTGTATTATGGTAGGTATTCACTATACAGTGAGCGGCAATATTATGGAACAAATTCATTATTAAAGTCAGGCCAGTGATTCTTGGGAACACGCTCGGACACTTATTATTTACCAATACGTTGAAGCATGTATGGAGATTTTTGGATGCAGGGCCACGACAGGCCAGGAAAGTTACAGGGTGACAGAGAATCATGGTATATCTCCTTTTCTCCTTTGGTTTTCTAGCTATATTTCTGAAATTTGTAACATTATTGTATATGGGCACTTTCTCACATGTTTTTATATTCCTGTTATGTATTAATTATAGTATAATAATGTTATTCCAAAAAACTGTCGTTGGATGCGAGATGTAAACAGAGATATAGTCATTTGTCATCTAAATGTAGAGGATACTTCACTTTATCAAGTTTCGGTAGGAGACATATATATGAGAATTAATTGCACGCGATGACCGACCCTGGAGGTGAAACATTGAAACACTCACTATTCTGCCGTGAAACATTGAACCAAAACTTCACTTCTCTCATTTCTTTACAAAGGAATCAAAGGATTGAAATAGTTTTTCACAATATCTTGGAATACAAATTGTGTTTTTGGGCTATTCATTAATTCAAGCATGCCATCACATTGTGCTGTTTTACAATGCACAAAAAATGCAGCGAGAGACGAAGGAATCCGATTTTTCAGGTAAATAGTGATCTCACATAGTTTTTATAATGAAATATTGTCATTTCTCATTAGAATTCCTTCTGCCACTTCTGCAATAGGAGAGCTAATACTGCTAATGGAGTGAAAATGTCTACAACACACACGATCCTATTTCGTCAGCATATCAGACCAGCCCTCCCGTTTGATTGCATGAATTTCTATACATCTCACTTCTTGCCTTAAACTTCACGAGTGTTTTTATTAGCTCAAAGGTATTACAGAAGGAATTCCAATGAGAATTGAGAAATGACAAATTTTCAAAATAAAACTATATGTGACTATTATAGTAGGTACTTGTATATCACAATGTTATACCTACCTGAAAAATCGGATTCCTACGTCTCTCGCTGCATTTTTTGTGCATTGTACCGGGTCATCATTCTTCAAAATTTAACAGCTAATATCTTCCGTTGGCGAAAAGCTATCATGTTGCCGTTTTCGTTGGTCTATTGAGATTAAGTTTCTCTATTACATCGTGTAATGATATGCATACTATTAGATTTATTCTATCCCAAACTTGTATCATTATTCGTTGCTGAGATATGGCCGACAGCCGTTCTTAGTTGTTCACCCTGTACAACAAAACAATGTGATGGCATGCATGAATTAATTAATATCCCAAAAACACGATTCCTATGCCAAAATAATTGTGAAAAACTATTTCAATCCTTTGTAATTTTGTGAACAAATAAGAAAAGTGAGGTTGTGTTTCAATGTTTTACCTCCAGGGTCGGTCATCTGACAGATCTTGCGCGCAACCTATGGCGTTCCATAGGTGCGTTCGGTTATAACATATCTGTTAGCTCGATTCCATCTGTTAGTCGGAATGCGTTCGATAAATCAGATCTACTTCCTCTGTCTAATCTGCTTCGTGTTCGTTAATTGTCAGAGCGAGCTGAAAGATGTAATCTGTTTGCCCCGCTTTGAGGAGCAGATCATTCGGATTTGATCGGTTATTCGGTTGTCAGTTGTCAACAAATCAATTTCAACAACATATGTTATGGAAATTATATCTCTTTTGTGTCGAAAAATGAGAAACTTGATCAACTGGAAACGAAACATGAAACTGAATTTTGTAGAATCCCCCTCGCCCAGAATCGCCAAAATGACCGACGAATTTGCTCTTGGAAGCATATAATAAACAGATGTGCATTCATTAGTATGTAACGCCTATTTCTAATCTGATATAGAATTGCGATATTTTCAAAATATGAATCCAAGTAAACAACAAACATTCAAAAGAACTTTGTTGCCCTGACGTGTTTTTAAAAGTAATAAGGTTAAGTGAATTGTTTCTGTTTTCTGTTACTTCTGACAAGTGGCGCTCGCAATCTACTACCTCGTTGAGCGTTCGTTAAATAACTTTAGCTCTATCAGCTAGGTGATCAGGTGACACCAAATCTGCATCTGCTCGCTCGGCTCCGATTTCGTTAAACCGAGCGCACCCCATGTAATACCTTAAATTACACTTCATCAGTCGACCCTATTAGGTATACATGTTTGCGATTTTCCGTAAATCGTCATTTTTGCTTCTGATTCTCAAGGACCGTATCCATGGCTTTCAGAAATATTATGCATGAGTGCATGACAATGTTTTTTTCTTCAGATTATCATATATCTATGATAAGATATTAGATAATAGGAAATGAAACTTATTCTTCACATAGTCAAAATCATGTTTATTACTTGAGGAAGTAACATAATAACATAATAATATACAACTTTGTACAACAAAACATGCCAAAAGGAGATTTAAAAAAAGGAAAAATCATTTCAATATCCTACTTTACTCGGCAAAGTAAAAACAATCTTCCGGTTGGTAGTGCTTCCTAATATTCAGTTCTAAGAATTTGGTGAAATATTCACCTCCTTTATTTGTGCTATAAATTATACACTATAATTTCAAAACAAAAAAAAAAAGCTCATCATCCAGCTCATCAATAAAGACAGAGATACGTTAGTAATAGAGAAGAAAAGAAAAAACACTTCTGGAACACTGGAATGTACAACATACTTTGAATTTGCACCACTCAACCGAACTGGAAAGAGAATCCACCAGGAAAACCACCTCCAAATGAGAATTCTTGTCCATGGCCACCTCCTCCGAAGTAGGTTTGGAACACTTGAGTAGGATCAATATCTGAAAAATCAACAATTATTGTTATAGCCGCAGATTGTGAATGTTGATTAGAGAACTGTTCATTTGAAGATGTCAGATCAAAATTATCAACAACATAGCCTACAACAAACCGATGATGTATCCTTCCATTCAGTTCATTAACAATGCGATTGTGAAAACAGTAAATAATATCGTGAAGAACCACCATTTTAATAGTTTTCGAACCATTCCCAAACCACTGCCAGATTAGCATATATGTTCTACTTCTATGGCCCATCGCCTGTACGATATCTCAACAAAAATGGGACCAACATTAGAGGTACTTGTTGAATCTATAAGGACGGAAAGTGAAGGATGCAAACAGCCATATTGGTTTGACAAGTTTCGTATAATTTTTTCCCTACGTCGGCATCAACGCCTATTGGTCGATTTCGTTACCTAGAGGCAGAAGTTGGTCCCGTTTTGAGGACAGCTATGCTTCATATATTAGTAGTAGATATATGCAGATTAGTGTCTGTGAATCACGTGATACAGTATGAACGCATGCGCATTCGCTCCTAGAATTATTGACGACAGCCACGGGGTCTCGAAAGGAAGGAAAAACATCCTTGAAAGCCTAAATCACTACAGGAATGATAACAGTGGGCTGACGCCATGCTATTAGTGGACCAGAATAAAACTCTCTGAGCAAACTTAGCCTCCACAATTTTATCGCGAAAAATAATCATAAAAAAACACGATCTCAACATATCACGTGATGGAAATGGCTCGAAAGATTTAGGCACTTCTTAATTGAATATAGTATATTGTTTAACAAGCACGGATGCACGGAATTAGGTCTTCTCATTTCCAGTGTTGCCAACATAACATATATGGAAACATTGAAGACAAGGTGAGATGGGGAAGACATTTTTTTTCTCTCTCAACACTAGCTGAACTGCTCTATTGCAGAATAGGTTGATAATTGTCTGATAAGTATTTCCATAATCTAATCCATGTTTTCTATACCTGCAATGTGATATTAGCAATATTCTTTTTACCTTGTTACAGTCTCACTACTGAGATCAATTGAGTTAGAAGGAGGTGAGACGGATCTGAGTTGTCGATTGAATAAAAAGAACACGTTTTTTTCTGTCAGGAAGGGCAAGGGAAGAAAACATAACCCAACATAATTCAACCAAAATGTAAAATGGCCGAGGAAATTAATGAGGAGCATATAAATATTATTGTAGTGAGTATTCAACAGATTTGACCTGTGGACTGAAACTTCAAAGCTGAAAGCATGTCAAAATGAAAATATAACCTCACAATTTTCAGCACAAAACCACAGAATTACTAGAATTAATCCAGTCTCACCTTTTTCTCACTACAACACCAGATGAATAGCAATCTCAGTTGGGGTGAGGGGGAAGAAATAGTCCCAATGAGTTCTTAAGACAACTCACATCAGACTAAGATAAATGAAACATGTAATACAACTGAGCTATTGAGCTGCACTGAGAATCTTGGTTAATCTCAGTCAAAGTTGGTAAAAAGAATATTACTATCATGACTCTAGGAACGTTTTTGTCTCTCCTGAGAAATTTAGTCTCGTGGAATACGAGCTGTTAGAATTAGGTCATCAATATTATATAACTTTGTGTGCGGCCTCCATTGATGGTCTACCATCGTTTTAATTATCGGAATTTCTTGTAAACTGGCCATTCTTTACTGTACAGCCGAAAAAAGCGTCAATTTTATGAGGAATGGAAACTTATCATCCCAAAGAAACAGAATTACTTTTATTCAAACACGATCATACATTGCAGGAATGTACAAGTGTATGAACCACTCTAATATCCTTTTGCCTGATATCCCGGTATGAAAAGAGTTTTCTAATTATTATTGACACGACTATGACATTTGTTGAAGTGGCAATACTCTGTCATTGTTGCTTCTGAAGTGTTTGTCATAGATTTGAATTACTATGGTTTCATTGTATTAAAGTCTCATAGGTCGCGTGCACGATGACCGACCCTGGAGACAAAATATTGAAACACAACCTCATTCTTCTGTGAATTATTGAAACACAAACTCACTTTTTTACTTGGTTATAGAGGAATCAAAGGATTGAAATAGTTTTTCACAACATTTTGGCATACGAATCGTGTTTTTGCGCTATTCATTAATTCGAGCATGCCTTCGCATTGTGCTATTGTACAATGCACAAAAAATGCAACAAGAGACTAAAGAATATGATTTTTCAGGTAAATAGTAATCTCACATAGTTATCATTATGAAATGTTGGTCATTCCTTATTGAAATTCCTTCTGCCTTCTGTCACTTCTGCAATACAAGCTAATACTGCTAATACATTGAAAATGTCTACAACACCCACGATCGTCAGCATATCAGACCAGTCCTCCCGATTGATTGCATGAATCCAATTTTCTTGCATTATTTTAGAAATTTCAGATGTATTTCTGTTAGCTCCTATCGCAGAAGGAATTCCAATGAGAAATCAGAGAAATTACCAAATTTCAATAATGAAAACTATATGTGACTATAGTAGGTACTTACTTTTGAATCATATTGTACCAACCGGATTACTTCGTCTTCCGATGCAGTTTTTGTGCATTTCACAACAGCATAATGTGATGGCATGAGCGAATTGATGAATAGCGGAAAAATACGATTCGTATGCCAAAATAATTGTGAAGAACTATTTCGATCACTTGTAAACAAATAAGTAAAGTGACGTTGTGTTTCAATGTTTTGCCTCCAGGGTCGGTCATCTGACAGTTCTTGCACACAACCTATTTAGGTTTAGGGTTAGCTAAGGTTAGGTTTCCGCCGAGATCGGTTTTGCAGGAAAACGCCTATCATGTTGTTCATTGGCTTCTAATGAACTGATCGAAAAATTCAAGGATATTTCTGACCGCAAATGACATAGATGAGATAGACATTTTTCCTAGAAAACTGTCTCTATAGCAAAAAGATTATATACTCACGCAAACAACAATGTATGTTTGTTAATTTTTTTGTAATGTTCACAAAATGTCTAATTTTTCAGAAAGGATTTTGTTGTTTTTTTCAAGAAAAAGTATTTTTTGGAGGTTTTTTTCACAGGAATTTGTCCAAAGAGGATTTGTCGCGGATAATCAGTTGTTGAGATGGTCAAAAGGGAAATAAATCCCACTGGTAGAAGAAAAAAAGCAACGTTCAAACCCAACAAGCTAACGTGAAATTGTCCTTGATATCTATATCTCCAATTTACATGCAGATTTCGGACATAATAAGCTCAACAGTAAAACGATGTGGTGTATGTTTGTTTGTGTGTATCATAATAACAATAATAATAATGTAATCATTCCCTAAATTGATCAAACAAAGAAAAAATATAGGAGTCGTCAAAGAAGTTGAATGAAATTATCATAAAGATAATATACAAACACATAAAAGCTAAAACATTAACGTAAATATAAAATGGGTTCATCAATAGAGGAATTCATCGTTTTTAGGGGGGTCTATCGATCGATTTTCGTGTACAAAACGCAAGTAGAAGCAGATTACTTGATAAAACTCACCCATTCCGCCTTCGAACTCCTCCATGTCCTGCCCGTTGTCGTATCGAGCTTTCTTCTTCGGATCCGACAGAACGCCGTAAGCCTCCCCCACTTCCTTGAACTTTTTCTCTTGGTCTTTCTTCTCGTTCTCCGTCGCGCTCGCATGTCTGTCGGGATGATGGATGAGCGCCCTCTTTTTGTACGCCCTTTCGACACAAACATCAATCATCAATCTCTGAAGTACAGATAGTAAACACCAAAATATGAAGTTTTAGCCTAACATGACGTAACACCATAGCCATCTTCAAAGAGGATAGTCGCGGTGCAGTCTGGCAACACTGTTCAAAAGGTCTTTCTCCAGTCATTCGCACATATACGATAATATGGGTTCCGGATGCAACGGAGTGAATTTGTTTAGTTTCAGAAAGTAAATCAATGTGAAATATTGTTGAGAGCCAGTGAAAAGTGTCAGGAATATTCTAGTGTTTGAATTATAGGCGAAAGAGTGTTTGTTTGTGTATGAAAGTCCATCAAGAATAGTTTTTGAATTGAGGTTATGTGTTATGTTGTCTTATTTCCGGAAGCAAAGTAATTTCGATGTTTCTTTCAACAAGATGTAGACTTATTGGTTATTTTTATGTTCTGGTTCCCACGAAAAGGGATATCCTGTAATGTTCAGAGAACATCGTGAGAACCAAGGGAAATAAGGTAGGAATTGGTGTTCTTTTTAAATTTCTGGAGGTTATATGCCTCGGGGAACACCTCCCTTGTGTGTTCCAGAGCCTCGCTGTTCGTTGGATGAACGAGTCTTTGGAAAGAGATGTTCTGCAGGTCTCCAAGTGACCACGAAGGGGTGCGAAGTCTCAACTCGACGGGTTAATCTCGCGGGGACTGCCAAGAGAGGAACAATTGTTGATATTTCAGAAGAGCATCGTCCATGGAAATATTTATAAAAAAGAGCCAGATCGCCAACTTTTCTACGGTGTTCCAGAGAAGTGAGTAAGTTTGTGAGCGAGGCATCACCCACGAGACGAATTGCCCTTTTTTGGACAGAATCCTACAGTTTCAGGGGGGTATGTTTGGGTGCTGCACTCCGAATTATGGGAACAGTATTCCAGGACAGGTAGGATCTGTGCCTATAAGCAGCTGACTGGAAGCGAAATAGCTCCTGGCCCGAAACAGAAAACCAAGTTTTTGGGATGCACTTTTAGCAATTGATCTCACGTGATTTTACCAAGGTTATTGCTGATAGTAATACCAAGCATTGAAATGGATGTCTTTGAATGAATGGTTACTCCTGAAAAGCTGTTGTTGGGCACAGTGAGATCGGCTTTCCTAGAGAAAAGGCATGCTTTTGTTTCGTTTTCATTGAAATCTACGAAGTTATTGGATCCCCATTCGATGTGACAAGTCAAATTATACTTCAGAAAGGAAGTATATTTCGATTTTTAAATTTCCTCAAGATGAAGAACTGCAAAAATGGTGGCTATCTGCTCAACATTCTGCAGTGTGTGCAATTAATTCATTTCGTTGAAACATATATAATTAGATATATTGATACATTTTTGCTTCCAGATGGATCATTTTTTTAAAAATTTGCCAAGAAACAGGACACCCTCAGTTATGCCATTTTTCCAAGTCATAATTTCAAACCAATTACATCATTAAGAACAAATATCAGAGAAGGACGTCAGAAATGTTCAGTTTATTAAAATGAAAAAATACATAGTTGATTTTTTGAAAAATCCGACCTTATTAGTTGGGGAATATACAAAAACATTAAAGATTGATAGTTTATGAAATCGAAAATTCCGTAAAACAGAGAGTTACATTTATTTTTATATTGTAGTATTGAATGAGATCCAGGCCCAAGTTTTACTAGATACCTAAGTTGGGATGATTTAAAATTGATTCTTCCTTATGATATGAAATTGAGTAGGTCACAAGATACAGAAACCTCAGATCACACCGAGAATCAGACCAAAAAAACGAAAAAATGTCTCATTGAATGAGAAAAGCTTGATATGAAAGTAGAACTCACAGTGTCGTGTGAAAATAGCATACCTCCGAGCTTACCTCATTCTAAGAATCTTGAAATTTTAATTGATCAATTGGAACAAATAAGTTCACATTAAAAAAATAGATATTCTTCTTCTAGAGTAATTATGTATTTTATGTTATTCACTACTTCTCATTCTGTCTATAAACTCATTGAGATTTTTTTCATTTTACCTAACAAACGATAGGTACTACCCGGAGCATTAACCTGCATAATAATAATAACTTGTCCAACATATCTTCTGTTTATCTGTTCATCGGAACTCGTCTTGTCGAATGGCGAATAATAATCCAGGATATCAAAACTACGAAAGATTATAATATATGGTTGGAATATGAGTTGGTTTCTAAATTTTCTTATGGTTTTGATATCCTGAATTATAATTCACCATAAAAAATGTGTTTTAACTTCGACAGGTAGTCAGGTGACAAGAATTATAAAACATGCTGCACTCGCTTTTTCTTCATAGCCACCTACCGATTAGGTCCACAGCTTTTATGTCAATAAAATAGTGCTCAATATTGGTAAATAATGAATGTTGGTAAAATTCAAACTAGTGTGTGATGAAACACTCTGCCAGCAGCAGATTGAATATGGGAATTAATGATTTTAAAAATATTGCCAGACATTTACTAAGAGGATCAATGAAGAAAATACAAAGAAAAAATGTAAATTATTTAAATTCAAGGCTAATACTCGAAATATTGTATATATGTTATATATTTATGGTAAAAGCAAAGCATCAATATATCAGATATGGAAAAAAATACAGGGTGTCCTACTTATATCTAAATAATAATAGCTTATTTAGAAGATATGACTACGCCACTGCATTCCACGTGAAAAACTTTATAAGTGACAGTCGTATATTGTGAAGTTGTGAAAATTTTGTTTGCGGTATGTGAGTTTCACAAAAAAGTAGCCAACGTTCCCGAAAACCGCAAATCTCCATCAAAAATAAGTGAGATATACCGTAAGGACATCGAAAATGGGACAGTCTGTAGAATAGCCTAATCATCACCTTTTAATTTCATCGTCTCCGGCAGTCCTCTCCACGCCGAGGATCTTGTAGTAATCCTTGCGCTTGGACTTTTTCAGCGCGAACTTGGCGTCCTGCAACAACTTCTTGTTCTCGCGACTCTTGTCCATTTTGCAGATCTTCTCGTAGTCCTTGACGGCCTCCTCGAACTCGTTCGAGTCCATGTAGCACTTGGCGCGCCTGAGGAGGGCCTTGAGGTAGGTGTCGTCCAAGTTCAAGGCGGCGGTGCAATCTGCGATGGCCTCGCGAGTTTTGGTCAGTCTCGATAGCACGGTGGCTCGATTGAAATACAATTTGGCGTTGGTTTTTTTGTTAAGCGGGTCGATTTCGAGGGCTTCCGTATAGAGTTTGTGTGCTTCCTGTAATTTGAAAGGAATCTGCTATTTATCTACTCACCGCCACTGTTGTTGCAATGGCTGGAAATTCCCACTTTTCTGTCAAAAATCTCTCCCTACATTAACCTTTCCGTGACGGGGAGGGGTATGCCGCATACCCTAGAGTTCCTAAATGTACTTGACACTGCTGTTTTGACGTTTTTTGTATATTAGAGTAGCGATACTAGACAAGCAGTGACAATCAAACATAACCACAAACGATTTAGAAGCAAATCATATGTTTTGCCAGACAAGAACAAGAATATATTTTCACTTAGATAATGGATCCTCGCATCTTCCTTCCTTCACAAGTCCTGGGAAGAGTACATCCATATATCTTTCTCTGTCTTTGATTTTTGTATGATAGTGCATAGCGTCTCCTCGACTGGGTAAAGGGGTACGATAAATTGATTAGAAAATTATTTCTTGTCGAAATATTGAATGATAAGGCTGAAGGACCTCAATGGAGGTCGATATCAAGTTGGTATGTACTTATATACCAACGAAATACATATACTATTCCTATGAAATAAGTTTCCTATATATTGGTATATATATATACGTTCAGTTGAATATTTTTTTATCACAAAAGTTCAGAATGGGGTAAGAACTGCTAAATTTCAACCAATGAAACATACTTTTATTTCGTATGGAACAATTTCACTTGTACAAGGGTGGTAGGTAAAAAGTAATTAATAAATAAACAAATGATATGGCAACAATAACAGCTGATTTCAGTTACAGTAAATAATAAAGGTTCTCCAAGAGATACGGATGTAGGTATAAATGGACTTCAGCGCTAGACTCAAGACATAACATAAATGGTGCACTCGTTAAGCTTTCTTGTTCTGTCCTCTGATATCTTGCTCGTATCTTGATACCCAAGAAGTGGTTCAAAATTCACTAGGAACTTTGAAGAAGCGATACACGAACAATATATTCAACTCTTTGATATAGATACATCTGGTACATCAGAGTTCCACAAAGTGACTATATGTTTTCACAAAATTATTATAGGAGTTCGTAAACGAAGATGATCTAAAGAATTCTTGGTTGAACAGGAATGTGAAATTTGTGAGTCAGTCAATTCAGGAAGTTGCTCCTGTTTCATCATCAGATGATCGACCATGATCTCCATGGTGGCTATTGTGATCTCTGCTCCATCATTCCATCACAAGCAATAACCAGAGAAATGAATTTCATTACCTGCAAGCTTTTTGTTTCTTCTTGGTTCTAAACTGGAATAAGGATCTTTTCGATACTCGCTCAGTTTATAAATTGTGGGTTCGGCACTTTCTCTCAATACGATCCTATTCTTCAACATCAAATCTTCCGTTCTGACGAGTACCTGATAAAAATGCGTTGAAAAATATTCTATATCCTTCCATGAAATTTGAATATCTCGCAAACTTTGTGGCCTGAACCTATATTCCATGCCGGCCGCATAATCTATTATTCTGTTTCCATTTTTGTAGAATTACGTTATCCGATGGAAATTCGAATAGAGTGAATTGATTTCCCGTGTTCTCACAGTTGGAAACTGCACAAACTTGCATCTTCCTCCTAATTCTCTCAATTTGTCAAACCTTTGAAATGTATGTCATGTACGTCCATGTACTGTCAGTTCCCGCTTTTTCCATCAATTTATTTGTGGTTATGTCTGATTGTCAGTGCTTGTCATAGTGTCCGTACTCTGATATACAGAAAACGTCAAAACAGCGCAGTGTCAAGTACATTAAGGAACTCTAGCATACCCCAACTTTACGTTATTCCTTGTAACTTTGTAAAAAAAAGATTCGTGCTTTTCCTCATAGCTAATCCTCAAATGATGCATTACCGACATTATAATGATCAGATATTGTGGGTCTCATGAATATTTTGAACGTTAGATAGAGATTCATGCGTTTTCTAGTGGGGTAGCACTCCTACCCCGCGCCGGCGACTACAGAATGTCTATGGGCTCCGTCACGGAAAGGTTAAGCGGCAAAGTTGAATAGATAAACGTTCATCTGTAGATTTCGTTTCCACTATAATGATTAACAGCTTTGCAAATTATTGATCCTTGAGTTCTAGTAGATTTGAATCTATTTGGCCGTAAATTGTTTGCCGCTCTTGTTGAGTAATTGTGAAACTGGTTATTAGGAATAAGTTTGATTCTTGTTTTCATGTAGCTAGTATTTATAGAGAATAAATGAAAGAGTAGTATAGTTGTTTTTGTATTCTATTATTGAGTAGTTCCAACACGAATTTAAAGCATTGACTAAACATTGTCAGTTTATTGATAACACTGGAAAGGTGTTTCTTGAAATTTATAGAATTGAGGATAAATCCCAAAAAATTATAAATCATCGAGTATTTGACAAAAAAACTACCATCAATTGGTTTTGAACTGAAAGCAATTATTGATGAATTATTGAGAAACTTGAAGCAAAGAATAGTAGGATTAGTAGGTTCTCCTCATTGCCTAAACACCTTTGCCTGAACAGTCAAATCATAAAACAATAAAAAAACTATAATTATGTGTAATGTGTTCAGATCACAAAATAATGACTTATCGAACGTCAACTATCATTGTTTTCCTCATAATTCAGTACCTGGGGAAAATCTCACTCCCAAGCAAACGGCCTTTTTCCAGTAAAATCCCTTTTGTTTTCCTTAACGTACAATGAGTCTTCAAATTTTGGGATCGGTTCAAAAATAACTGAGCTAAAGGGGGAAGGACATTTATGGTAAATCACCCTGAAAAAAATCCTTTTATTTTGACCTGAAAAACAGGCCTGTGAAATTTTGATACTGAATTTCGAAACACCCTGTATATGAAACTTATGGTTAGTGGGTTCCAGATGTGCATAAATCGATGTTTTCCGTAAAAAAATACGAAACAGAAACTGCTCAGATACCTGAAAACGGCATGCTTTGTATGCCTCATTCCCCTCCTCCTTCTTCTTCTTCAACATTTTGGCACGTTTGTAAATGTTCATCGCCTTGGAATGATCTGGCGCAAGTCGCAGAACTTGCTGGAAGTGTTGGAAGGCGCTATCAAGGTTGTCGTCGTAGAACAGACACATACCTAGTAAGTAATATCGCAAACTATCATTTTAAAACAGAACAATTTGATTTCGATTTGTTGATTCCCTTAGGTCAACAAAATACGATAATATACTGGGTGTTTATTATGTAACCTTTACTTATTTATTTTAAATGGAGCACCCACATTTCGATCTTGAATCTGGAGTGCCATGAATGAGTTAAAACGGCCAACTTTGGATTGAGTTGCCAGGTAAAAATTGTTTTGATGTTTACAGAAACGTAATCATGATGTAAGCCCATTTGTTTTAATAGAATGAAGGTAGCTCATTACCATTTATCTAAAAAGATCAGTTCGTTGAGAATTGTGTGCATTGTGTGTGTGTGGGAGCCACCATTATTATTAAGAAATAAAAAGTAGAACTTCATCAAAATTATTCTTGCCTTGCAAATTGATTCAGAATCAACTATTTTAATTCAATCATGATACTCTAGATAAAAAATGACAAAAATTCAAATTCAGGAAGATAAATGTAAAAAAGTGACAAATGGGGTGTCATTTATACATTTTTTTGTAAAATATGTATATCGCTCCTTTCAACTTGAATACCACCTCCCCAGAATTTGAAACTTGTGCAGGGTTAGGAAAAGTGGGACCTATAGCTTATCATGGAATCTTAACCACTTCTAGGGCGCCGAGGTGCTGCCAGGATGACAACCAAGAATCACGCATATTCAAGAAAAATGTTCAGCCGTACCGTCTTCGAACCGACAGCACCTTGGCTATCTATCAAATTCAAGCGAAAACTCGGACACCGCGTCCGTTGTACTCACAATATGGTTTCCTATCCAAATATGAAAAAATATATCAGCTGTTCGACTTAAAATAAGAAGGGTCATTTCATGTCAACCTTGAAGTGACAGATAAAAAATGAATACGTCAAAAAATTCGTATTTATGTACTATACCAACACATCAAATTTCATTTGTTTATCTATGGCTGAAGCCTCGGGTCCCTGGGTAATACTGATATTCTTCAATACCTTGTATGTATAAATAGCTATTATTATTTTCCGAAAGGAAAATTACGTACTGGACCATTATCACAGCGCCTACCTCTTACGTATATGGCATCGGCGTTGCCATTGTTCAGATGCAAGATCCCATTGGAGATCTCTTGAGCCTCCTGGTATTGGTATTGGTAGGTTGGATGGTGACAGATGCGCTGTGACCTAATTAGATCAATTGTGCCCCATCTGCTTCTGCTATATCAAGGATTTCTTGTTCATAGCAGCCCCTCAAGATTCAATTCCTTCAGGAATTTGAGGATTTTGAGGGGATCTAGTTGTGGTATTTCTTCCACAGTCAGCTGGTGTGTTTCCAGTATGTTCAATATTTTGTGATGTACAGCGCCACACTCCATCAGTATGTGATGTGGTGTTTCTAGTTCTTCCTCACAGAATCTGCAGGTGCCGTCCTCCTGTAAGCCTAGCTTTCTTAGGTGTTCTTTGAGTCTGCAATGCCCCGTTAGAAATCCCGTTATTGCTTTGAGACTTCCTGTGCTGAGGTATATCAGTGTCTTAGATCTTTCTCGGTAGAAATTTCCGAGGAGATCTTTAGCCTGCCGTAGTCCTGGAAGTCTTCTCCATTGCCTGGCTCTCAAGGCTCCTTCCGCCTTTTCAAGTTCTCCTTGGAAATGGGAATTTCCAAGGCCGCAGAATGGCTCTGGTCCGATCAGTGGCATTGAGGCCCCTTGTCGTGCCAGAGTGTCTGCTTGTTCATTCCCCTCCACTCCGATATGCCCTGTCACCCAGAGGAGGATCACTTTAATGTTACTGCCTAGCTCATTCAATTTGCTTAGGCATTCCCATACCATCTTCGAGTTGATGTTTGAAGAGCTCAACGCTTTGATGGCTGCTTGGCTATCGGATACAATCGCGATAATAATATCCTTCTTCCGGTATTTCCTGTCTAGGTTGAACTGGATGCCTCTTTCTATGGCGTGTAGTTCCGCTTGAAAAATGCTGGGAAATTGTCCCATGGATTCGAAGTATTTGGTGAGAGGCCCAAAGACTCCTGCTCCAGTTCCCTCGGGTGTTTTACAGGTCTATTCAGTACCGTTAAATAACGATAATTTTCTTGAATCGAATTCACTACCGATTTGACAGTCGGTAACGAACGACAAGCTGTCATCAGAACATCGTTCATAGATGATAGCTATTCAGAGTATCGGTAGGATAACATGAACACAAAAACAATGAACATAATATCCTCTCATCCATCGGTTTTCTGTTGGAGATGGATCCAGTCAGTCTTTTTAAATTTTCAGAAGGGTTTCAGACGAGTTAAATATAAATATTTGTAGATATTCACCGTTTATTTCGATTCAGACAAGTGAATAAAAATTTGAATATATGCTTGAGGGAGTCCTACGAAGGAAACTTCCGGGAGGATTTTTGGTTACCCAGAGAGCTATAGTTTGAGAAGTATTCTCTCATAATATGTTGCAGCATCCCAAAGAGGCCAGTAGGAATACTAGTATATACCATCAATTGTTGAAAATATAATCGGTAAGTACCTACGTTCTGATATACCTATCTGTTGTTACCAAAAATCTATAGAAAGATACAAATCATGAGCTCCCAAGCAGATGTATCTATGAAATATCAGACATACTTGTAGACAATAACCTCACTGTACCAAATCTTCAAGATATTATATATGTTAAAAATGGGTATGAAAACCCATAAAAAAATATTACGTAGGTACTGTTCTCCATTGCTTTTCATCCCTCATTGGGCCTCTGGAACTATTCAATTATAGAACCAAACCACTCCAAGTTCCTTCTAGGATATTTGGGTTTGTGGGTTCATATTATTGATTTGATGGAGAGTATTTTTTTCTGTGCAGTTCCTCCACGTATATTCAAATAATAACGAATCACTGTTTGAATATTTTAGCACTCCGGTGACTGTAAGCAATCCTACTTTCCTTAGAAGCATTATTTTCTCCAATTATTACAGTAGAAGACTCGGTAGAAGATCTCTGATATATATGATATACATAACGATTTGTCAATTTAAGACAAATAATGTCACATTATCTCATAGCAGCACTTTATCAAGACTCCTTCATCCATAGAACGGCTAGGCTCTGGAATTCATTGCCTGTGGAAGTATTCCCAACAACATATAATCTCCAAAAGTTCAAAAAAATTCCAATACCTACCTCCTGTCCATATCCTCCCTAGGAAAGCACAATGTTCTTTGAAAATTATAGGGATTCCCTTTCGTGCGCTCCAAGCGATAAAAAAAAATTCTCGCGATGAAAATCTTCCAGCTACATATGCGATACAGATGAGTTTTTGCCAATGAAGTCTTGAGAAAGATATGAGAAGCATTACAGGAGATTTATTGAATGGTATAGTAAAAAAGTGAGAATGAAGAAGTATTTTTGACTTATTTCCTATAAATGTCTGAAACCTAGAGGCCAAACACCTACATAATGCTTCAAACGGTACACACAATAGATATATGACTAATTATTAGAAGATAGAGAATATATCACTAATGTTAGTTGTTCCTATTTGCAGGAATAATTGATTGAACAAATCAATCAATTTCCTACGCTTGTTGAAAAAATATTGTTCCTAACTCATGTCGAAAGTGTCTTTCCCACACTCGACTGCTTGCCCGAACTCCGCTTCGCGTCGTTCAGGTCAACGGCATTCGCGTGCGGTATCACCTTCCGCACTTGTTAAGAAAATTACTATTCCGAAAGGAAAATTACCTACTGGACCATTATCAAAGCACCTACCTCTTACGTATATGGCATCGGCGTTGCCCTTGTTCAAATGCAAGATCCCGTTGGAGATCTCTTGGGCCTCCTGGTATCTGCCGAGAAAAGCGAGGCATTCGGCCTTGGTGAGTTTGTAGCGATGGCAGGTGGGCGCCTCGTCCAGGCATCGGTCCATGCAGTAGACCACTTTGCGGAAGTCGCGCTTGTCGTACGCCTTCGACGCCTCGGTCTCGTTGTGCTTCAGCTTTTCCACCGTCTTCACTTCGCTGGCGATGCCTGAAACCACAGTTGAGAGAATATTACATATACCAGTTGGGTCACTCTCCGAATTCCCTTTGATGTTCGAGTTCAAAAGCGATGCGCCTCATTAGTGGCGGCGACAAAAAATCGGTACAATACCAGGGGCAATCGGACCGCGACAACGTGCAATCTGCGCGTAGAATTTTACCAGGGATCTTCCAGATGTTTGATTGCTGATAGTTGTACTCGATTTCAACTTGAATGATAATTGAAAATTGAATTATGATTGTTTATTATATTGAGAAGAATGCAGGGAGGGAATGATCATATATGAAAAAAAAACATCTATTATTATCTTTATAAATATAAAAATTTGAACAAATCATAAATGTTTCAATATACTTATTTTTGGATTCGCCTTGTTGATTTTATCTGTTTTTATTTCATGACTCAAGAATTTCAGGGTATAATAAATCCTCAATCTTGTATATAATGGAAAGAAATAATCATATGGAAAGTTCTCACATGGATGATGGAATGATTGCTTGCAGAATTCATTTCTCGGTTTCATACCTATTGAATCTTGTCCAGCTAACTCATTGAACCTTGCAACAAAAATGTTTGTAAACCACCCCTGAACTATAACGAAAAAGACAAAAAAAAATTATCGAAAGCCGTTTACGATTTTATCGAGGACAGACAGACAGACAGACAGACAGACAGACAGACAGACAGACAGACAGACAGACAGACAGACAGACAGACAGACAGACAGACAGACAGACAGACAGACAGACAGACAGACAGACAGACAGACAGACAGACAGACAGACAGACAGACAGACAGACAGACAGACAGACAGACAGACAGACAGACAGACAGACAGACAGACAGACAGACAGACAGACAGACAGACAGACAGACAGACAGACAGACAGACAGACAAACATTCATTTTTATATATAGAGATGTTACTATAGTAACATCTATCAATTAATATCTATAGATATTAATTGATAGATAAAAATAACCTTTGGAAGGAGTGTATGAACTAGGACCCAGTAGTAAAAAAGGAATGGCAAACTTCTGGAGGCGATTTCGTGCTTCATTCACAAAACAATTTTCAGTGAAATGTAAGCTGCAAACTTTCAATCTGCTGTGACCCTGCTCTGATGTTATATTTGCATATCTATGTGTACCTATGAATCCCAACACATTTTTCCAAGCTTGACACCTACAAAACATGATTTGACATGCTCAAATTCACTGCACATTTCTTAACTAAACATGCTTTATTGCTCATCCTGTATAATAATTTGCCAGACTATGTTTTTATCAGCGATCTACGCAACTATTGTTACAATGAAATTCCATTTCTATTTCCAAATAGTCACTTGAATGAAATTCGGAAAGCAAATCAATTTCCGAAGTAAATGAACTTGACATATTTTTCAATTGAAATAGATAGTCTCGTATAACTGATAGACTTTTTATATAATCGAGAATAATTAATCCGAATATATAGAAAGATCAAGAAAATATGCAATGTCGAAATCAGTTGCAAAAAAATTTTTGCCTGTCCTCATCCAATGGACATCTAAAAAATGATAATTCTCCACCCATTCTACTTCTGCAGCCATCAACAACGCAATACGTTATAGACATACTTATGCTTTAATTCACACTAATAGGCTATTATTTGAGACACTCGATATAGCACGATCGCTGCGTTCACTTGATTCACTATGTACGTAGCCGACTGACGTTCGCCAGCTGCAACCTGCTGCGATCAAGACGGGGAAAGGGGAAGGTAGCCGCGGCACGTTTGGCGGCATTTCGGGGAGTGAGTTAACTGGTATTATATTCTCTCAACTGTGCTGAAACGTTACGTATTTTGCAAGATATTCTTCCTTTTTTAAACACGCTTTTGTTTGCTTGGTATGTATGTTTGATAGGTTTTCTCTAACACGCTTAGGTTTGCTTGGTATGTATGTCTGATAGTTTTTCTCCAAGCGCCATAGAAAGTGGCTTTCCTCATACACTTGACAAGGGGATACCCGGAAACGAGGAGGCAGACAGACTGGCCAAAATCGGTTCAGGACGGACCTCGGTCGGACCGGAACCAATCTTGGGAATACCAAACAGTCTGGCAATGTACAGGGTGGGCAAAATTGGGCGTTTTCGCCGTCTATCTCAATAACTAGAAGAGTTATCGAAAAACCGATATACATGTTCCGGGTTCGATTTTGGAGAAACCTCGAATGGCACAATCAAAATTTCGATATCTTCATTCGTTTTAGAGATACAGGGAGAAATTGAAAATTTGCCGATTTCGATTTTATTTTCTGAATACTTTACGGTGAGAGGTATCAAAAAATTTCAGACGTATATTCATACAGTATGATGCGTGGAATCCATTGGCATCATCAGAAATTTTATACAGGGTGAAGTTGAAAAGATAAGGCAGCCAATTATGTTTTTTCTAATGGAACACCCCGTATATTTTGGCACAGTTGAATAGTCCCAGGCGTTCTCATTACAAATATATATATATATAACCCTTCCTTTTCCTTTCACAATTTCAGATATATTCGCAACAATATATTCAGTGTGTCACATTTCTTATGGTTACACCCCCGTATCTTCTGTAAAAATAATTGAGGTAGGATTCAAAAATTCGCAACTGTCAGAAAGATACAAATGATACACTCATGGAGTCATGGACCAAGTGGGATCATCTCCAATGATAACACTGCTCGCCAGCAGCTATGGAATCATCGATATTTCTGGATAATGCTATCAATAGGCAGAATCGAGGTTGAAAATGACACTCTGTATATATTCACCAAAGGTGGAAAATGAATATGATAGGGAATGTTATTTCCAGACAAATGGATATTTGGTGAGAAATAAAATGGGAAATTATTCGATTTGATATCATTGTTATCAAGACATTTGAGATACAGAAATAAGACCAATAATTTACTCAATTAGGAAATCAGTAGGTTGCGTTGAAAAATATAGCCTTATAGAAGATGTCCAAATTCCAGATACAGAAGATACGGGGGTGTAACCATAAGAAATGTGACACACTGAATATATTTTTGCGAATATATCTGAAATTGTGGAAGGAAAAGGTAGGGTTATATATATATATATATATTTGTGATGAGAACGCCTGGGACTATTCAACTGAGCCAAAATATACGGGGTGTTCCATTAGAAAAAACATCATTGGCTGCCGTATCTTTTCAACGTCACCCTGTATAAAATTTCTGATGATGCCAATGGATTCCACGCATTATACTGTTTAAATATACGTTTGAAATTTCATGATACCTCTCACCGTAAAGTAGTCAGAAAATAAAATCGAAATCGGCAAATTTTCAATTTCCCCCTGTATTTCTTAAACGAATGAAGATATCTAAATTTTGATTGTGCCATTCGAGGTTTCTCCAAAATCTAATCCGGAACATGTATATAGGTTTTTCGATAACTCCTCTAGTTATTGAGATAGACGGTGAAAACGCCCAATTTTGCCCACCCTGTACTTTATAGAGGGACAGCTGCGAAAGCAATTCCTCAAAATATGGCAGGACACACCAGGAATGAAACAATCGAAGCTTTATGTGGAGGAACCTTCAAAGAGGCTCACAAAATAGGTTTTATCCCTCAACAGGCGAGACCTCAATATGGGTAGTGGGGCTCCTAACGGGGCACAACCATCTCAATAAGCACCTACAGCTTATTGGGATCCCCTTTGCAGATGGTGCTCGGACAAAACGGTTTCCATGTCCCTATCTTAACTTTTCATGTACTATCAATTTATATTGAAATATATACCGGGTGATCAAAAATATTAATTCTGAACCACCGTATTGACCAATTATGAATAGTTTCGACACAAAAAATTCTTAAAGTTGAAAACTTTCGATTTTTCACACCCTATATCTTTGTTATTATTCCCACTAGACCCCAAGTGTGATAGATCGATGAAATGAGCTCTTTAGGGAGAATCTGAAAATGGAATGATATACAGAGTGTTCCATTGAAAAAATCAAAGTTGTTGGTACTTTTCAATATAAGAGGCAACGTCGCAACGCTGACAATATTTTAGGTCGATAGAACACAACTAGTTATCCAAGGCACCAACTTTTCAGAATAATCCTGAGTTGCGTTCTCCTAGAAAACTTTGTTCCACAGGTGAATCAAGGATTTGTATCACAACTAACGGGATCTGAACATTTCGTCGAACAAGTCGCCGAATTGGTCATTTTGCTGAAAAACGCCAGTGGACGAAGCGGTCACGACGCCGAAACAGCTATTTGGACACTTCGACCCAAATGGCCATTATATCGAACAGCCGTTCGGACATATCGCCGAAGGTGGTGAAATGGGGAAGGCCACTGAGGCATGAAATCCGTCATACATTTATTGTACAATCAAAATGACAAGGGAATCGAATTTATAGCGTTTTGAAAACAGCATATTCCATTTGCTATTTCAAAAATCCAGATATGAATGTGGGGCCATGACGTATTAGAAAGGACATCATTATTTTGTAAAGAAGCATTCATTTCAAAAATCTCTAATAAGTTCAACAATCTCCCTTTTTGACAGATATCTAATAGTTCCAAATCAGTATCCACATTGAAAGAATGGTTCAGAATATGGTTAGTGAAGGAACGAAATCTTGACACCATTTCAAATGGCGCACGAAGTCTGTGTTTTGAAAAGAACATATCCAGATTTATTTTAAAATTATATTAACAGGTAGTTTTTTGGTAAAGAGCTCACGATTATGCCGTTTTGAAAAATCGGTGGTCTCCTCCATTGCTGAATTAACTCTTTGAATTACTCTCATTTCTCGCTTTGTATTTGGAAAATGAAAAATATGGGGCATGCTTTGGTTACTTATCCATTCGGCTTGGTGTCCGGGACCCCAACTAACAGCATCCTGCCACACCTGGCAATAGAGCTCGACCTAGAGGGTAGCTTGGAAATAACCAGACAAATATAAGATGTGAAAAGGTTTATTAAAATGAGCCTACAAAGTATAAAATAGAAGGAATAGCATCTGACACAAGGGTCAAGGTGTCAAACCACGAGCAAATCGTTGGGCACGGCGAATACGACTGATCACTCTCTGATTAATTTTCCTACTCCTCAGGTTAACTATAATAATTTTATTGATGATCGATGATTGATGCAGTATCAGCACTCAGCAGGGACATGAAATGGCTTCGCTGAGACTGCATATTGCAAATGCAGACGAAATATGTAGTCAATAAATATAATCTCACTTTTTGAATAAAAATGATTTCAGGAAATTAAAAAAAATGCATTAATTTTCATTGCACGTCTACGCATTAGTTCCATTTTGGAAAGCAATTTTTCGTTGCACTGCAAGACGTGAGTCGAACCCATTTATATTGTGGTAATTTGTATCACTGGTGCTATTTTAGAGACTACATTCCACTCTCGTTCTCGAGAACTAATCACAATCAGCCATTTTCAAGGTTTCTCCTGTATTACAGCGATATTCTTTGTTTACTAAAAATTATGGACTTGCTCTACCGAATTGACTGAATTGAATTTGTATTCAATTTTGACGGTACAGATATCTGTTATCATCAATTATTATTGCCTTATTCAATCATGAATAGTCATAATAATAATAATACTCGTGATACTATTTTTCCTGGAAATACCCATCGATTGATATACTCCGGATTGCTGCTTTTATTTCGCTCATGACGTTTCGAAATTTCTCGCATACGGCTCAAAAATGTGGATAAACGTCATTCGCGAAAGCTGTCGTCAAAATAGTATCACTTGTGGTTTTACATATAATAAAATGATAGATATTTGGAATTTCATGCATCATTAGATGCATGTTGGATGTTACTTTTCTCATGGTTTCTTCTACCCAACTCAAAACTCGGTAAGAAGTAATACACAGAATTCATGACAAAAAGACATTGTAATCCGGTCATTCCGATTCAGTGCAATGAAAATTTGGAAACAATAAAAGCGGCTCTTAAAAAATTTAGTTTTCCGTGAGTACGCGCTTCACGGTTGTCAGTTGTCGGATATTTAAGTTTAAACTAGTTCAACTTAAAGGTAATAATGCGATTTGTAACCCATTGGAGGAATTATGAAATAATTCATTATTTATTAAAAAAAAAGTCATTTGAATCAATTCACGAATCAAGTCACTGACTTAATTCATATGAATTCTTCATGCCAACCCTGGAAAGGGTACTAAATAAATTTGACAGAAGTATCCAAATTTACCTGAACTGTCCGTTTGAAGTTCCTGCACTTTCTTTATGGCATACTCGGCCGTCATGAGATCGCCCATAGCAATACCACATTTGATCATTCTGATGTAACCTCTGACGAAGTTAGGATCCAACTGGACACTTTTTCTGACATCTTCAAGTGCCTCTTCATACCTGTAGAGAAGCAATCACATACAGGATGCATGCAAATAGGTATACTCTATATATTATTTCTTCAGTATTCTTCCAGCTATGAAATTTATGCAAGGACAATTTTGCTTAGACTATTAGTTGTACAATATTAACTTACAGTAATAGATACAAATATAAATAGCAAAAAGTCGACTATCAAAGGATTGAGATTTACAATATCAATGGCATATGTGATTTTCCTGATTTTGAAAAGAATAAAAAAATCAACCAACCTGTTCAACATCATGTAACAGGCAGCGCGATTTCCATAGTAAGCAGCTGTGTCTGGGCAGAGATTGATGGCTTCATTGTAGAGAGGAAGTGCTGATCTGTATTGCTTGATTTTGTATAGTTGGTTGCCATTTTCTTTCTTGAGTTCTGCGATTCTACAAAAACAATTATGTTCATATGAAAGTGTTAATAATCAATGTTTAATAGAATTCATGCCATGAAATTTAATATGAATATCCTGACTTACTTATCAGGATGGCTAAACGAAAAATCTCAATATGGGGATTATGAATAGTATGAATATGGATGTAAAGAAAAGCTGAGACTGTCAATTCCAGTTTGTAGGGCGTTAATTTTCCCCTATTTGTCCAATGACTTATCTAGTAAAAATATCAGTAGCAGAGATAACTATATACAGGGTGATTCACATAAGAACCGACATAGAGCAGGGGCATGTAGGAGGTCCCAAAATATGGCAATTCAACGCAACCTACCTCCATACCAAGTTGCTTCCCTAAGGAGTTATAGGCTTTGAAAGTGGAGTCATAAATTTTGAAAAAAATCAATATCTCCGTTATTCTTGTTAAAGCAACCAAAGTTGATACACTTCGTGGATGTATTTAGAGCGTTACTTAACAATAACTAGAGCTTAATTGAAATTCGTAAAGGGGGTATACCGGGTGGCGCACCATTAATATTCAAAAGAATTTTGTTAACCCTCGATGGATTTCAAAAATATTTGCTTTGTTGTGTGAACAATCCAATTCTAAAACTTTTCTTAGTCTAGTAATTTTTCGAAAAACCTCATCATTTTCATCAAAAACTCGAATAACTGAAAACGCGCGCTCTAGGTGTGTTATATATATAATCATTGAAAATTCAAAAGTTGGTTATGAAAATAAACGTACAACAAGAAAGTAGACCATTAATTGTGATCAGTAGATTTTTTTTTTTTTCTGGAAGAGAATATATTTATTTCTCTAAATATAATAGTACAGAGTAGATTTCACACTATGAACAGTGTCGGATCCACCGGAAATTGATAAATAATGAGGAAAATAAATTGTTACACTAATGTATAAGTACATTTCATGAAGTTGAAAGAAAAATTTGAAGTTCCAAATATATAGTTGCCCCAGGTTCATGCTAACAAGAGCCTCGACAACTATAGAACCTCGATTCTTGTGAATCTTCAGAGTGCTGGCCGGCGATTTCATGCTGAGTAGATTGACCAACACAGGTGCGTTTCGGCCTGCCTGATTCATGATGTGCTGGCCTATTCACCAAGAGTTCTAGTTCATCTTTAAAAGGCTTTTTTTGGGCCTTCCTCTCCTCCTAGGTTTTGACTCAGTAGATGAGACTAAATTTGAAGATCCCACATGCCCTTCTTTCGAACTAGGTTGGTTGATAAACTTGGCGTTGTCTTGCGACTGGGTGATATTTGAGAATTGATCGGGTTTGGTGCTCGAAGAGCAGCCTTTGCTTGTGGAAGTGGTGGCTGTTACAACTTGGCAAATTATTATTCAGATACGTAACAAAATACGTAAAGTACGGACAGATATTGAAATGTAAAAAACTGGGATTAACAACTAACCAAAATAAACACAAAAAATTTAAACAACAACCATAACAAACAATTGTTTATCGATAAAATACTTAATTGAACAACTTCCTTGCTTAATTGTCTAGTTTGACGTTTATTTTCATGGTCAACTTTTGAATTTTCGATGATTTTAAATAACACACCTAGAGCACGCGTTTTCAGTTATTCGAGTTCTTGATGAAAAAGATGAGGTTTTTCGAGAAATTACTAGACTAAGAAAAGTTTCAGAATTGAATTTCCCACAAAACAAAGCAGAGATTTTTAAAATCCATCAAGGGTGCACAAAATTCTGTTGAATATTAATGGTGCGCCACCCGGTATAGCCCCTTTACAAATTTCAATTGAACTCTAGTTTCTGTCAAGTAACGCCCTGAATACATCCACAAAGTGTACCAAATTTGGTTGCTTCAAGTTCAAGAATAACGGAGATATCGATTTTTTTCAAAATTTATAACTCCACTTTCAAAGCCTATAACCCCTTAGGGAAGCAACTTGGTATAGAGGTAAGTTGCGTTAAATTGACATATTTCGGGACCCCCTACATGCCCCTGCTCTATGTCGGTTCTTATGTGAATCACCCTATATATATTCTTTTCCATAATTCGATAGAGCTCGTCAATCTGAATTCAAAAATATAAAATATATCGTTTATACTGGGTGGCCCACGAGGTTTTGGCCAGTCGATATCTCGGAAACTATTCGAACTATAATTTTGAAATTTGGTGGTTTTAAACAGTGGAATGTGGTGTTCATTTTTGATATTTTTGTAATGCTAATTATACTCTTGTTCTTCAATAAATTTTCCATTTTCCATTTATTTGACAGCTTATATTGTCACCGTTTCACATGATAACCCTAACAATGATGGTATCGTAGTATTTGCATTAGACAGGTCTTAACAAAAATGCAATAATATACAGGGTGTTCCATTCAAAATTTTGAAGTTGATATCACGTGATTGGAAATGCGATGTTGCAATAAAACCCTCTTATACCAAAAATGGTCACCGCATTCCATTGTTCAAAACCACAAAAATTCAAAATTGTAGTTCAAATAGTTTTCGAGATATCGACTGGCCAAAACCTCGTGGGCCACCCTGTATATTATTATCGAATGACATAGGAAACAACCGCAGAACCAAAAAAATATAATCAATATGTGGTCAACAAAGAAGTAATAATGCCTGGTAGATAGACATCAACAATAATAATAATATTCAGCAATAATCAGTTTTATATATTTTATATCTTCCATTATTTTGGATGTAAATATTGCATCTTTTGATGAAATTTTCCACGATATTCTCATAGAAATTGGAATTATTCAAAATATTTATTTGTTCTCTGAGTAACTCCTGAAGGTTTTCCCTATTATCAATATCCTGATCGTACATTTTTTGCTTCAAAGCCCCCCAAAGGAAGAAATCAAGTGGATTGAGGTCCGGACTGCGGGCTGGCCATGGAATCGTTCCATTTCTTCCGAGCCATGTAGGATATCGATCAATGAGAAACCTTACGACAGCCCTTGTGTTATGCGGAGGAGCTCCATCTTGCTGGCAGATTAGATTTATTCTTTGGATAATGGGTAGATTATCGATAAAATTTTCATTTTCGCCTTGCAGCAGTAGTAAATAATTTTGTCCTGTGAGGGTACCCACGATGAAAACAGGACCAATTACTTCATTCCGTAAAATGCCACACCATACGTTTCCTGTTTTGACGACCCTGTTTCTTTATTTCTCTGACTGCTTTGGGGTTTTCTGCTGCTCACATATAATTTCGTCGATTGAAGTCCTGAGGTTGAAAAAAAAAATTCATTGGTCCATAATATATTTCTCAAGAAATCATTGTCCAGAATATGCATTTCGAGCATGGTTCGGTAAAAATTGAGCCTGTTTTCTCTATCTCTCGGAAATAGCTGCTGAACAGGTATAGGAATTTGAATGGTTTCAGATAATTCATCTTCAAAATTCTTCCTACTGAGCTTTTCGAGACCTCCAAAGTTTTCGCAGCTGATCGAATTGAATCTATAGTATTCTGTTGAAAATGCAAGAGAATTTCCAGTTGTTTCTCTTCCGTAGCTATTGTTGGTTGTCGAGTCTTCTTCCTATCTGCCACACTCTTCTGACGCCTGAATTTTGTAACAATATTGCGAAATGTTGTTCGGGACGGAACTGGCCTTTTTTATACGTCCATGAGCAGTTCAATCTCCAATACACGGGTGGGAAACTTCCAGTATTCGCGATAGAAAATAAGCGTGTGCCACCTATCAGAGTTCTTGGAAGCTGTCAAAGCGGCATGTTGACTTTGTTTTCATTGGTTCACATTTGTTTTTTGTTAGTGCTTATTGGTCATATCATCAAAACAAACCGCTCAAAAGTGTTCAGGATCACATCCAATTTGGTGTCCGAGTGCAGAAAAGCCTTGGAAAACCTGGCAAAATCAAGAAAAGTCAGCCTCATGTGGGTTCCGGGACATTCGGGAATACCCGGAAACGAGGAGGCAGACAGACTGGCAAAGATAGGTTCAGGACGGACCCCGGTCGGACCGGAACCAATCTTGGGAATACCAAATAGCCTGGCAATGTCCTCTATAGAGGAACAGCTGCAAAAGCAATTCCTCAAAATATGGAAGGACACACCAGGAATGAGACAATCGAAGCTCCACATAAAGGAACCTTCGAAGAGGCTCGCAAAAGAGGTTTTATTCCTAAACAGGCGAAACCTTAAAATGGTAGTGGGGCTCCTAACGGGGCACAACCACCTCAATAGGCACCAAGAGCTTATTGGGATCAAGAATGACCCCCTTTGCAGATGGTGCCTGGAAGATGACGAAACGTCATCACATGTCCTCACTGAGTGTCCAGCATTGACGCATCAGAGGAGGGCTGTTCTTGGCAACATAATCTTGAGGCCAGAGGACGTAAAAGAGATTCAGCTGAGGAAGCTGCTGAACTTCTCCAAGGCAGTCGGCATACCCAGCTGAATGTCGTAACATGTGGGCGCACAATGGGCCCGAATAAGGAGGCCCACGTGCAGGGGGTTCACCCGCCCACCAGTGCTTCGAAGAAGAAGAAGAAGAAGAAGTGTTCAAGTTGTTGCCGTCAGGTGGGGCGACGTGTTATTTTCTATCGCGAATATCGCATCTTTTTTCCAGTGAGTGTCTCATTTTTTAAAATTAAATCTAACAGCTTGTAAATGAACTTGTCATATCATGACAAGGGAGTAGCAATCATGGCCCTCTCAGACAAAACTAGCTTAAGAGAAGCAACTCCTGTATTCCCTTAGGTTTATTACCAGCTATGATGTTATACGTGATAATAATATACGAATGATATATATCTTTGAATTCAGATTGACGACCTCCATCAAATTATGAAAAATAATATAGGTCATTTCATTTAAAAAAAAAGTTCTTAAGCCGCCATGTATTTAGTTGAAACAGAGAAGTGAGCTCAGATTTAAAAAAAAACGTAAAAAATTATTTCAGAGAATTTTTCAATGACGAGAATATGTTAAGAATTGTGAGAATAAAGGCAGGTGACACCTTTAAGTGGGACACCCTGTATAAGGTGGCCCATCGAAAACTCGACATGGGAGATTCTGGTATTAATACAGTAGATGTGGGAGAACGCTGGGACAAGTTAGTGGGTTTATTCGGACCTCCACTGTAATAGCAGGAGATTTCTACCGTCATCTGATAACGATGGCATGTATTTTATTGAACGGCACCTGTGCCGATCACTAATCTGAGCAAAAATATTGAAAATGGCACTTTCCCGTGCGGTAATTTGCACTCAATTTCACGATTAGATAACGAGAAAAGAGTTATGCCATCCGATACCAATTTAATGGTAGATCTCAAAAATCTACCAGTGAGGGGCACAATCTGAGCCAAATGGACGGCACAGCGATTCATTTGCTGCCATTATTCCGGACATATTTCCGTCATGTAATAACGAGTTGAGACAAAAAGCAAAGGAATGAAGATAATTTTCCCTTCGCGAATATCCAAACGTGTAACGATTCAGACTGAGCTAAGTTAGTGGCTAGAGCGTCAATATTTCCGAGAATATTTTGCCCCCGTCGAAAGATAATATCCGATAGACCAGTGTGAAACTCATGTCATGCTAGCAGTACTAGTATTCTAATCTACATGTTGAGTTTTACACAGGTCAATCTGATATTATCTTTGAAGAGGGGCAAATATTCTAGGAAATATTGACGATATGCCACTAACTTAGATCAGTCTGAATCACGAAGTATATCTGGAATAATGGCAGCAAATAAATCGCTGTGCCGTGGATTTGACTCAGAGGGGTGGCACAGGTAGGCTTTTGAGACCTTCCACCAAATTGGTATTATATAGAATAATTATCCTTACCTCGTTATCAAATCGCGAAATCATTTTGCTCAGGATATTGATTGGTACAGGTGCCGTTCGATAAAATACACGTTTTTAAATGCCTCTGGGACATATATAATTTCTTGGACTATAAGCGTCTATTGTGGCAATTTGGAAATCGAAAGTTGATGCCTGTTCAGCTTCAAAGTATCAACTTTGGTGCCTGTATGATAATGATAGAAAAATGTGTCCCCCATCAGACTAAAATCGACTTGTCCGTGCGTTTTTTTACATCTACTGTATGATTACCTGAAACCTCCATATAATTTTTTCGATGGGCCACCTTGAATATATCCTCTAACATCACATCACACGTCACATTTGGTAGACATCGCCTATTTCACACTACAATAACTTATTTTTGGTTTCCCATTAGTTGAAAATATTATTTTAGATCTCGTTTTAGATATTGGGAACGACTCAACTCATTTTCAATATTTTTGGACTCACATCCCCCTACACGAACAAGTGCCAATTATGTACATTATGTACAATACATTATGTATAAGATCACGGACATCTGAGAAAACTTAGCTTCACTATATTTCAAGAAATTATGGCACAATTCAAAATTACCTACTTTATATAATTACTCAATAAGAAGAATCTGAAAAAAATAAACGGCACTAATTTAGCTAATTAGCGGAAGAATAAGTAATCATAAAATTCTAGAAAGTAGCTTTCTATCTTGTTAAACAATGATAGAGAGGGAGAGGAAGATCTATACTAAACGTGTTGTCAGATGTTCATAATTGTTCACAATACAGATAGTTTATCGAATCGTTACATTCAAGTCTTAAGAAAGGTTGGCAATGGGGACCTAAATTAATTTTTGCAACACTTCTCACACTTTTTTTCAAGTAAATAATGGGTGTATGCGTTGTTCGAAATTGTTGAATTTCGGAGCTCATTTCAAACGTACCGTCTTGGCCACTATTTGCCGATACGTCGAATAAATGGTGACGTCAGCTTTTATGCTGTTTCCTTATTGGTCAGATAATCTCCAATTCCCACTCACGAAGCAAGGTTGTCAAGTCACCAATCATAATTAAGTTATCAAAAAGATATAAGAGTCCTGTCGTTGAATAAAAGATAATAGGAGGAACCCATGATATCATAGTTCATTCTTTACTTTTTCAAGCAACCAGCATGTCCAAATATACCACATACTCCATAACAAAATTTCATGTAAATATTGGCAACATTGTGCTGAATGCTGAGAAGGGACCAGACCACGCCCACAAGTATTGCGCGCAGTGTTGTCACGTTCATCGTTTCAAATTTCCTCTAGTGTGAATTGATATAATTACTATTTACACAGATGTATTATAAGCAATAAGCCACAAATCATAAGGGAACATTTTGAGACAATTGATTTTGTATTGCTAAATAGGAATATTACAAATACATAATTGAGAATTTATTAATGTTTGAATAACTAATATTTCTAAAGTTCCCAATCGTATTTCAACACATTGCAACTGCGCTATGGGCTGCCCCTACTTACGAAATCGTGACATCAGTTTTTACTTGCGGTAAATTTCTATCCGTTTGAAAATTACCGTGGCATTATTGATGATTTTAGCACCTAAAAATCGTCAGTAGATAGTTTATCAAAAGTTGGGATAGGGACATGTGAGCCGTTTTGACCAATAATGAATAGTTTCGACAAAAAAAATTCCTAAAGTTGAAAAATGTCGATTTTTCACACCCTATACCTCTGTAATCATTTCCGCTAGACCCCAAGTGTGATACATCGATGAAATCAGCTCTTCAGAGAGCTGAAAATATTTTAGATCGATAGATCAAGAGCAATTACTTGAGTAACCAAATTTTCAGAATGATCTTATGTCCCGTTCTCCGTCTAAGGTGCCATCGACCGTGACCCACCCTGTATATCTTTGCCCTAGAATAATAAGGTACTATCTGGATCAAGTATAGTTGCTCAGAATAAATCAATTTTTTTGTTCTGATTAAGTATATTTAAATGGGTAGAAGTTTTTATCAGTTGATTTTTTTGCTTCCTTCATTCTCAAATAAATGTTGATTTGAACATCTAAAATGTAGATAGAACTTTGTTCCAGAAGAATTTTCTTTTATAGTAATTAAACAAGGTTCTAACTAACAAATAATCAATAGAATACATCTTAGCTTCATAAAATAATAGGAGAAAATTAATTTGAAATGTTATAAGTGTCATCAGATTCACTTCTGAATCAAGGTATATAAGTAAAAGTATATGTGTATGGGTAGTACAAAAGTATATTTCAAATTATCAAAATGGAGAAGTACAAAATGATTCCACTGAGATCTTTCAGGAATGAAATAGTTTCTGTTAGTTCATGCAGCAACTTGGAAGAAAGGAATATTTTTGTATTGAAGTTTCTTGATACTACTTTCAAAATCTCTGAAATTGGTAACTTTCAGCTACTAAGATGTAGTATGGCTTCTTTTATTCACTGCTTTCAAGTTCTTGTTGAAAAATTAAAATTGAAAAAAATTTGTTTCAATTCATGTACTTCTCACTACTTTGACTCTGAATGTTCAATGTTGATGATGATGATGAATGGAATGATGTATATGTATTGGTTTGATGGAACAAAGTTCTATCTGGGTGTAGATAGGACCTCGTATAGGACCATGATAAACCAAATTATGTAGTTAGCATGTTTATACGTCCATGGTAGTTAGTATGTTGTTACACCAAATTAGGAAACATTCTATAGGTAGAACTCTGCATTATGGCTAACTCATTTGAATTCCAACAGATTGGGATAGTTGACCATGGTTGACCTATCAAAATGAATAATTGATCAGATAGAACCCTAATATACCAAAATCTTGATATTGGTATAAAAGGCAGATAGAACGTTATTATTTTAGGGCGACGATATATGTAAGAAAATCAAGTTTGGAAAAAAAATTCATGATTGAAAGCCTTTTATTCTGTTGGAGAATGAAATGGACTGTGTAGGTGCTACAGTCCCCATTCTACCTATTTGTTGGAGAATAACAATTAACAATAAAATGTACTGTGTAGGAAAGTGTAGGTGTTACAACATATCTGTCAAAAAATCAAACAAAGGCATCATGGCACCATCGCACAATCTGTGATAGCACCATAAGATAATGACCTCTATTTAAAAATAAAATACATTCCTTCCAAGGGATTAGGGATATGTAACTAGTATATATAAGATGCTTCATGAATACTGATGATAACAGCAGAAACACGAATGGAAAATAATGACAAAGCATAATTCAAACATTATTTCTAGATGATTTCATTGTACATTTTATAGGACTATCTGTGATCTCAAAACATTTTGCTTATCTACACAGTATACAACCTATGGAATGATATCGATATTCTAATATGGTTCTAATGCTATATTATAATATAAAAGCTACTCACTCTTCCGGGGTTTTTGTAATAATCTCTTCATTTTCATCAGAATCCATAATCACTTCGTCCACAAAGTCTGCCATCTTGAAACTAAATAAAACGAAAGAAAAAAGAAAATAAGAAAAGAGAAAAGTTCAATTTTGACAACTGACGTTTTCTCTGGCAGAGGCACATGTTCTTTGGTTCTATGCGCCATACAGTTAGCGCCAAAGTTTGAATTTTTCAATGCGTACTTGCTCCTTCTGCTGACACAAACTGACATTTTTCCTGATTGAAATGAGCCGAAAAGGATATTTTGAAGGTGTTTTACCAAACGAATGTAAACATCAAACCAATATTGATAACTATATGGTTCAAAAACAGCTGGTACAGTACGATAATTTGGACGTTATAAGAGAAAAATTCTACGCTTTTCAAGAACCGAATTCGAACATTTCTGAGCCAAAAGTTTGCCTATGGGAGTTCATGAAGAGAGATGAATTAGAATATTTTCTAAAAATGAACAAGAATGAGCAAATCAATGCAATAGGTGAGAGCTATATACACATATTATCAAATCATAGATGTATGAACATCTCAATCAATATGGGGAAGGAGGGGGCTGGGAATAAGGAACCATTCCAGAATGACCAAAAACAAGAAATAAAATTCGCTTACACAGCGATTATAAAATATACTTATTGAAATAAAAAAAAATCGCGTACGCGTAGGTCCATAAAAGCAAGTTACACCTGAAATACATACAACATTTATTTATGCACGATCGTTTTAGACATTTATTACTCGTCAATATGGAAATTATTAATGATTTTGTATATTCATTTGGCCAAATTATGTATGCCACTGGCGAAGCAGGAAGATCGAATATGGTAGTCTACTTGAAATTACTGGAAAAACAATGAAATTACTTATTTACCGCCCATCACCTATTTTACCGACGCCGGACGCTTTTTCCGCCGCTGTACTGCTATATCGCCCTGGGGCGCTAAAGTGCTACTTTACGCCCGCGAATCCGGGCGCTAAAGTGCCACTTTACGCCCGGTCGTGCATGAAATAATATAGTTGATACACCGATGTATATACAGGGTGATTCAGGTTTTCAGGTACAAACTGAAATGGGTGATAGATCTCATAATAATATTATTTTTCTGACAAGGACAAGAAGTGATATTAGGATTTTTAGTCACGAGACGACGTTAACAAAATATGTTTCATTTTCAGATTCCAAAATGAACAAGGATGTTCCTAAAGGGAAGGCAAGAACAGTTTTTATAGAACTAATGTACAATACGATGAAATTTTGTGAATCCCATGGATTCAATTTAGAAAAATCTGCTGTTATATTATCCCAATTTTACTTGACCCATATATATTTTACCAGTACCTTAGATACATCAGCAGAAAAAGTGTTTACTTACTTCAAAGAACTGACTTTGTGTCACAGTCTTCCAGTAAGAAGCCTCAAGATATTTTGTATCTATACCTAATTGTTTCTCCTATATCAATAATATACAGGATGAACATGGGCGCCGCCACTTTTAAGGGAAATAAGGGCTTTCCCCCCCTGGATTTCAGCCTTTTCCACTACTTTTCAGCCTGAACTTAAATAGTAGAAATGTTGAATACCAGCTAAGATAATCTCGAAGACAATCGAATTGGATCTTTTTCGACCATGATTTTTGTTTGCATGTATAGGTTTTTCGCAAAAATTAGCATTGAGGTTCACAAAATTAGGTAATCTTATTTAATTCTAGTAAAAACAATAATCGTGAAACATCGTGCGTATACCTAATAGGGACATGGACGTATTTACTTCTGGAGGTTATAAGTTCTTGATGATGGGAATACTTCCATCGACCAAGAATTCCAAATAGCTTGGCCGTTCCATAGACGAACGAGTTTTGGTAGTGTCGTTTGTTCGATATTTTTCAAGGTTAACGACGAAGGGGTGTGCTGACTGGGCCTGTCGAGTTCGTCTGACTGCAGGTATTGCTAGTGATGGAATTATATCGGAAATTGTTGGGGAACATTTCCTGTGAAAGTATCTGTAGGAAAGTAAAAGGTCTCCGACTTTTCTACGGTGTTCTAATGATGTCAAATAGTTGGTAGGTGTGGCATCACCCACCAGGTAAATAAAATAACATACTGAATTTGAAATCATTCTTCCACACTATTTATGATACTCCGCACTGACAAACCTAACTATCAATTTGAAGGCATTTGACCTTGAACAACAAAAAATGTGGCGCTTTTTTGCTTTCTGACACCCCCGCGAATCAACCTCCCCCCCCCCATGGAACGAATCTGTATATACGCGCCTGGTGTGTCGTATTGCTTTGACCTATAATACACTCAACCTACTGTACATCTTTTTCGTAATATAAAATGGAATCAATCAGAAGGATTGTAATTTCAGTTTGATGTAATACTTTCCATTAAAGAAACGCCCGAATTTTTACTGGCGGCGCCCATGCGGATGAAAGGCGAATTGTTCAGTGGAGTCATAATTTCCAGTGTCAACTGACTCAACTTTGGAATTTCAAATATATTTCTCAATTTTTTTAATGTTCTCTGCAAGAAATTCTCAATATTTCCAATAATTACATCAGTATAGGACCAAAGATATGATACATACACTACGATAGTCAACGCCTGTTTAAAAATTGGCAACGCTTCGATGAAATCTAATAGACTGGGAGGCTTATCGGCTGTGCTGATTTGTTGACCAATTATTAATATCCGAGTACTGTGTCCGAGTCGGTGAATACAGTAGCGTCTGGGGAGTATACTTGCCATAAATTTTAGAATGGTGGGGGGAGTGCAGCGTTGCTAGTTATCGTTCTTCATTCGAATCCGAATACTAGCGCCCAGAGACAAAAGAGGTACCTGATAAATATCTTCATACTACCACCGTTACTACGACTCATGTGACGTAGTTGACTGTGCCTATGGATCCCACGTCAGCGACCCGGGTTCAATGCCTGCGACAAACGGCTTTTTTTTATTTCTGTTTTCTCAAGTGATATTCCGAAAAATATAATCTTTAGGAAGAAGGTTCATCTAGGCGGATTAAAGTTGGATCGTTCAAAAAAAGTAGTGTGCTTTTTTATTCAGGAGGGATATTTTCCTTCCTTTGGGTTATCAGTTCAAGATCATTGAGTTCTTTTCTTCCTCAAGTTGAAGAAAATCAGCACAATCCGGCAATATTGATATGACTGAAACGGGATTACGCGAAGTCCCCACCACTATTCCATTTTATGACGCAGACTCCGCAAACGCAAGTGTTAAATACACGGCGTATTCGCGATAGAAAATGACACGTCACCCCACCTGACGGCAACAACTTGAACCCTTCTGAGTGGTCTATGATAATATGGCCAATAAGCACGAACAAAAAACAAATGTGAATCAATGAAAACAAATAGCGAATTCCATTGGCAGGAACTGGTGAAGTGTTTCTCCACTGAGTGTATATTTCTCTGTTCAAAACATGCGAGTAAGAAGGAAACATATATATTGAGTTCAGAAACACTCCACCAGTTCCTGCCAATGAAATTCGCGAAAAGTGAACATGCCGCTTTGACAGCTTCCAAGAACTCCGATAGGTGGCGTACGCTTATTTTCTATCGCAAATAGTATAATGAACAGATGCGCACAGTGGTAAACCGCTCTGCTGTTCTTTCCAAACTTGAGTGTTGCCGTGTTGCCCATTCTTACATTTACGGTGCCTATCTTGGGTTTGCATTATCTTTGGTAGGAGTGTCTCAAATGATTCTGAAAAATCAAATGAGCTCGTTTCAATTAAGATCATGTGATGATACTCATAATCTTCTCCAGCATTCAAGGATATAAAAATGGATATTGCATTTGAACAAATTTAGATTTCCAAAGTTAAGATTCAATAACCCAACCATGTTAGAATCTCATTCCCTTGGAACTTTGGAAATTATGGCTTGTCTGACGATTATATGTTGTAACCTGGTATATTCCACATCAACTGGAATCAGATACATACCTGAAACCTAAAATTTTCAGTTTCCTCCACACAGTTCACGATTTCTTTCTCACAAAGAAACAAATATAGTATTGGAATTGTTCTGCAAGCTGTACCTGAGGAACTTGCCCCTAATAAGATTCCTCTCACTGCCAAACTTTGCTCTTTTCTTACATTACGATCTTGAGCCAGATATAGTTGCCAAAAATGAATCTGTCAAGACTACCAAGGATACAAAGGACAAAAAGAATAAGCTGAAGAAAGAAAAAAGCAAGAGTAAGAAAGGGAAAAAATAGATGTGATATTATTATGATGTTCTATTTAATAAACAATAATTACACTATTTATCTTCCTCCAGTTGTTTTGCCCTTTCACTTAGATGAGATACCAAAGTGTTCTGATGACTATTCAAATTGCTAACTAGTTGGCTACCTACACTATTGATGGTCTGCACTAAGCCTGCTTGTGCCATCTGGAGGCTTGGTATCATACTGTATTTGACGAGGTCATTTTTGCTAACTAATTTTCCTTCCAATATTCCAGCTGAAAAAATGAACAATTATCTCATTTATGTCATTGCTCTTCTTATCATCATTTTGTTTAAGAAATTGAAACAGGTTTGAATGTTTTTTATTCCTGCTGTTTCTAAGGTGTAGGTATACTTAGGGAATACGGTCAAGTCAAAGAGTCCAATACATTTCTTGGACCGAACCGAAACTATGTCTTGTGGACTAAATGATGCATATATAGATCTTTCATTATCACATAATAAGGGTATAATTTTATTTTTCTCCAATTGTGACAACCACTCTTCAGTTTTGTGTTTTAAAATGTTTTTTTTTTTTTTCTGCTGAAATCAGCTCTTGATGGGATTTCGAAAATATGAATGAAGAGATTTTTGGGGATGTCGATTCTGAAAAGTTATCTTGAATGAGCTCTATCCTTTATATCTAGAAGCCTTTTTCACCTACGCCAACATCGCATATTCACTATGCCGTTACCTTATATAATAATAATAATAAATCGACTTTTCATTCATCAAAACCAAAAAATGGTGCTTGGTGAAGAGGTGGTATCAGCAGAAGCTGTTTTTCAACTCATCAATCACTACCAAAATTACAAGAAAATCACATCATCAATAACTGAGGTAACTAGGAAATTCAAGATGGCGGATCCAATATGGCGAACGAGTTTTGTAATTATGATTTAATTATATTCAAAAATTGTATTTGGAGATTTTCGCTGTTGGAAATTATAATTCTTTCATGAAAATTTGGAAATTCGAGCGGAATTTGGAAATTCGAGATAGCGGAACCAATATACAAGGTGTCCCAGAACAAAGTACCATAAATTCTACAGGGTGAACTAGATATACCAAGATAGACCGATTAAAATCAACTTACCTCCATACGAAAATGCACCGTCGAGCCCTGAGAGGGCGATAAAGAACCATGTTATTTCCAGATTTTCTTCAATATTTCGAAATCCTTGGAAGGTTTTGCTCTGAAATTCGTAGGGCAATTTACTATAGTGAATGTGCATGGAAAACATTTGGTACTATTTCAATCAATATGGATGCAACTTTTCAGGATTAAGGCATTGACCACATTTTGATATCTCAAAGAATGTCAAAATCGATCAATTATCTTGCTTTTCTCTAACTGCAGTGTTTTTATTATTCTTCTTGATTTTCGAGATTAATAACAAAATTTATTTTGGTGCTCCTTCACATCCTGTTTATGATTAGATTCATCATGTTTCGCTCGTTTCTACCCCATTTGTGTTGAGTTATTTACTGCAATAATTATTTTTACCAATTCACAAGTTCTTCATCATAATATGGAAAGGACCAGCTCCCAAATCATATTATTATTTGGAAGCGGGTCATTTCCAAATTTCAATTCAAGATACCTTGTAAAAAACCTTTATTCCAGCAAAACTAGATGAATTTGAAGATGACCAACAACATTATCATAATATGCTGAAGTAGTTCATAAAAGTGAGGCAAAGACTTGCAAAACATGATAATCATCATTAATCATAAACAAGTATGGAAGAGCATCAAAATTAATTTTGTCAGATATCTCAAAAACCAAGAAGTTATAAAAACACTGCAGTTAAAAAAAATTGAGATGATTGATTTCTCGATCCATCAAAATATCAAAATATGGACAGTGCCATACTCCAAAAAAAGTTACATTAATTTTTATCAAAGAGAATGGGAAGTACCCAACTCCCTGTATATTGATTGAATTTGTACACCATGTTTACCATTCACATTCATACACTAGTAAATTGCCCTATGAATTTCAGAGCAGTACCATTCAAAGATTCCCAAATATTAAAGCAAATCTGGAAATTGAATTATTGTTCTTCATTGCCCTCTCACCGCCCAACAGTGCATTTACATATCAAGGTAAGTTGATTTAAATCAGCCTGATTTGGTCTCTAGTTCACCCTGTAGAATTTACGGTACTTTTTTTCTGGAACACCTTATATATGGCGGAGGAGATTTGTAATTATAATCTGATTCTATTCAAAATTGGTACCTAGGGGATTTCCTGATCAGGGATTATGATTCCTCTCAAAATTAGGAAATTCAAGATGGCGGATCCTATGTGGTGGAGGAGTTTTGTAATTTTAACAATAATATAATTTGTAAGTGGGAGTTTTTAGGATCAGAAATTATCATTCTCTCATCAAAATTAGGAAATTCAAGTTGGTGGAATTCTATTCAAAATGATCATCTGGGATTTTAGGGTTCACAGATTTTGACTCTTTCATCAAAATTGAGAAATTCAAGTGAACTAAATAGCAGTAGAAAATGAATGGTAGTTTGAAAAACTAAAGAAACATGCTTCTATAGATAGCCAAACCTAAAACAAGTAGAAAATGTATATAACAAGGTCAGCTAGTAATAATGGATAATAATGGAAGTAGATTCTGGTCAGTTCATAGAAATCATTTACCTATATTTAATTTTAACTTATCTCAAGAGTTCAAGCATTCCATTCACAAAGATGCTTTCATAGAATCTCATTTAACTTATATTTAATATATAAATGAAATTCTATGAACAGACCAAGTTTCACTTGAAAGAATCATTGTGAATGAACTAAAAGGCATGGGCTGAGGCCTCGGCTGAGGCATAGGTAAACAGTATCAAAAAATCATTTCCATATAAACTAGAGGTCTACTTCCAAATTTACTTTGGAAACAGACAAAGATTTATGAACAAACTTGACTCCTTAGAAATTAAAGAATACCTACCAAGCAGAACTAACTGTGGGAATTTCTTTGTTATATTCAACATTTTCTTGATTTCAGGTTCTGGACTGAACACAGTCATATTGTGTGATACATACAAGTCTAATATTGTTTCATAAGGAGTACCACCAACTGCCATCTCCAATGTTCTTTTACCATACTTTTTGAAATGCATTTTCTGTTTTTTGAACATAACATATGCCTTGAACTCATCTTCTGCATTCATGGGATTATGATGATAAAATACTACTAATCTAGAGGTAGTGAGCCATCTACGGAGCTCTTGTGCTATAATCTCTTGAAATGGGTTTTCTTTATCCTTCTCAAACAACTTTTCACCAAAACCTTTGCACAATTCAACTTGTGACTTATCTTTCTTTGGATTAATAAACCATGGTTTTGTGAATGCCAAATATTTTGCCTTCTCAAAATGAGGTAATCTGGGTCTTTGAATATTTATTTTTCCTCGAAAGCGTTTGAATTGTATTAGGGGTGATACCATTTGAAGAAATGCTGGAAACTTCAAAATTAGAAAAACTAAACATAAATAGATGACAAACCGACACCAACCTCTCTTGGATACCAATTCCATTTTGAAATAGTATTATATGAATATAAAATTATGGAAAGAAAATAAATATTCGAAAATAAAAATTATTTATTGTCAAATTGAGGTTAGAAGTACTTGACATTGACAGTTGAACAAAGATTTCTTCTTTTTTTTTAGTGTACGTAACAAGAGCTTTTGAACTACAATGACGCTACTATTGAAGCACGAAGAGACCTTGCTACAAAGGGTACAAAAATCAATACGTTTCAGAATTTATATTGATATTTTTTTCAATAAGGAATTGAATTTCTAATGCAAATGCAAACAGAAGTGTGAAATGTACCTACTTTGATATCAAAATATTTTTTCAATGCCATTTTTGTTGCTATAGGCAACGGACAACGATATAAAGGTGTTCACATCCTGGATGTAGGACGTAGCGTCGCGACGACTTGCGCCTTGCGCCATTCAACCACCCTTCTGACCCTCAACCTAACTTCAACCCTTGTCTTCGACGCTTTCATGATTGAAAAAAATCATAAGGTGATATATAGATTCTCATAATTTCTAGAATGTTGAGGAAAGGAATATGAATGAAGCCGAATCATTTCAATTTGCAAGTAAGAAAATTAATCATCTTAATAAATGAGTATTTCATGTGTAGTGCTATATGTATATTGATACTCAGGTAAATTTTATCACCTTTAGTATATTCTTAATTGCCTCATTGCATTGAAAGAATAAATATACCTATACACTAATAACTGAATTAATATATAATAAGTATGAATTACAGAGTCATCTCCATGAACGACATTTCATTATACATATTTTATAAGTATTATAACATAAATAAAATGGCTTTTGCATGTTTATGTTTCAGAAGAAAGTAGGTACATATCTGTCTTTTGGGCTCAATTATATATAAATAATAAGCACATATCATCGCCGCCAACTATATATACCTATATACTCTATAAAAACGCAATAGTTATAGGTACATATACAGGGTGTTCCTTAATGATATATGCTAATACATTCAAGGGACCGAGTCTTCGACTCATTTCAAGAAATAAACTCCATATGAACGTATGTCGTAAACGTCCTAACTTTTGAGATACAGGGTGTCAATGTTGAAAATATGAATAGATTATTTTTTTGTCCACCCTGTATAGCTTCTCGTGATGGCAAAATTCAGTCTGCTATGTGACTGAAATCGGTATACAAATTTCAAAATGTTACATACTGTGGTTATCCAGTAATAATGGATGTCCTAAATGAAGTACTCAGATATCAAAATTTGAAGTCTGGTCTCGTTTTTCCGTTTTTTCTCGAAAACGTGGCGTTTTATCGAGTATCACCAAGAGGATCTTTTTGTACATAATTAAATAGCCTTTTATGACATTTTGTATAGAATTTGAAATTTTTTTGTCGTTGCTCACTTTCAAGTAAAATGAAAACAATATTTCCGTAACGATGCCACTGGTAGAGAAAATGTAAATTTTTGTATCTCAAAAGTTAAGACTTTTAGGACATACGCTCATATGGAGTTTTCTTCCTAAAATGAGTCAAAGAATCACCCCCTCGAATATTATCGTGTCTTTAAGGAACACCCTGTATATCTTGAATATTTCCGAAACGCTATAAGTATATACAGAGTGACCCACTTCAAATGGAACCACCCCTGTATCTCATGTAATCGTTAGGTAAGGATCCTGAAATTTGCTGGAGCGAGAGATATACCAAAAATGCACTCTATGCTGACCATGTGGGGTCATCTTCAGTGATATACACTGCTCGCCAACAGCCATGGAACCACTCCAATTTCCGGAAAATGATATTAGGAGTTAAAATAGGTTGAAAATCCAATTCCAAACTTATATATACTTCATAATCAAAACTTGGAAGTTTCAATAAATAAAGCATGGGCGAAGTCACAAATAACAATAAGTACCTATATATGCTATCGATGTATTCCAAATCGAATGACAGGCAATGTTCAATAACATTATACAGGACCGGGGTGCCATTTGATAATAAAAAGCGATGGGTTTAAGCTACCACAGGGCTGTCATATGTAATAGGTAGGTACCTATATGTTGCACAAATCACTCTGAAATATGGTACTTTGATGTCATTCAAGCAGTTTTTTATTTATTTTTCAACCATCTTGTCGAATATATAGGCCAGATATTGCCCGTACACGATAACTTGGGATACCCGGTATAATGAATCGACAAAAATTCCAGGTAACTGTCCTCTTTGTGTTATCTCTAATACCATGGCCAGGACCAAGTGTTTTCAAAATATCCTGCCCCAGAGATAATGCTAGGATAGTCAGGAAGATCATCAAGACCAAATGGATCCCCATACTGGAGAAGTTCAAAGTCGGGCTGCCTTTAGAATGCCCGTTCCACCCTCTGAGAGACATCTTTGGGCCACAACAAACAGCGAAAAAACAGCACAGACCCTCTCAGTGGACCTGCGGGATATGCGGAAAATCATTTTTCGAGGAGAAATTTCTAGATTTGCACTTTGACAATCGACACAAAGAATATATAAATATGGTATGAAAGGGTAGTATGCCAGGTGACCACGATATTATTACCAGACCTATACAGGGTGTCCCTGCAGGGTCCTTACAAAATGATACCATATACCCACTACTATAAGCAAAGTTGTAAGCTATGTTGATGCAATGTTGAAGCTATAGCTGAAACGGACGTTCAGCAATATTGCAAAGGTGATGTTTGATATCGTTGCAGAAATATTACATGCTGCTGTGACATTGCTGTGACATTGCTGAAACGTTACATTTACAATTTTCCAATGTTGCTGAACGTTCCTTTCTGTAATTGCTATACAACCTTTTATTGCATCAACATAGCTTCCGAATTTGCTTAGTGGGTAGACTCCTGAGACCAAAGTGAGATGATTGAACCAAACCTACCTCTAATAGAGGGTGTCAAGGAATCTATCATACAAGCAATAACATCTATAATATTCGGTGTATCAAAATGAAAGTTGATAAGGGTATTTGGTCACTTCCGGAGCCACTTCTGGATTCACCGACAATGGCTATCGTTTTGAATTTTCGAATGGAACAGCCTGTATAACATTTTCGTATTCCTGAGACAATCTGGATCACATTTTCATAAATTTTTACGCCTAATTCATTTTTTTAGAGTCACCTTTAATAATCTAGCACCTAGGTGGCCATGATTGGACGTAAATTCATCGAAGAACCTCAGGTGATGTCCGAGTACTATAATTGCAAAGTTTTAGTGAATATTATGATAGATATGAAGAAGACAAGTTGACAAAATCACATTTCTGTGTCTAACTATTATTTTTCAAATGACAACCATTTTTTGACAAGCACTTTTGAAAAATAGTATTTCTTGACGAATCTAACGAACTAATTTATTTGCTACAGTCCCTTGTAGCCATCTTACATAAAATTTTGCAGTTATATTTTTCGAGTCTTCTTTGGAAAACAAAACACACTGGTATCCACTTTTCAATTTGATTATACCTTATTTTGACAGAAAATTAAACAGAATTGTAATGCAATCATAGAAACTTTTACTGTCTGCTCATATAAGGCTTATGACCCATCTATGGCACACATGACATATGTGAATGAATAAATATCAATTATTTTCCTTAGTAAAAATTTTTTGCTTTTGAAAAATAATAGTTAGACAAGGAAATGTGATTTTGTCAACTTGTCTTCTTCCTATCTATCATATTATAGTAACTAAAATTTTGCGATCATAATTTTCTGTTTACTCCAGGTCATGGCCGCACCTAGATGCAATACTAAAAGTGACTGTGAAAAAATAAAGTAGGCGTGAAAACTTCTGAAAATGTCATATCATGATTCAGAAGTGTCCCAGGATAATAATATACAGGGTGTTCCACTTAAAAATTCAAAACCGGAGCCATTTCCGGCCAAACCGGAATTGACTGGGATGTGGAAGTTGAAAACATGCGAAAACTTTCCTTTTCACATAGCATTTACATTTCATTTCCATACACTGAATATTTGAGAAATTGTGGCACCCGGTTTAACAAAACGCTCCGTTCAGCTGCTACACAGGGCATTGGAATAGAATTTTTAATCTTTTATTTTTATGCTACACCCTATCTTTTGGATCTCGTGAAGGAATGTGTGCCACATATTGAATATTGATCATTGATATTACTGATGACTCCATACGAAAATCGACTACGAACCTACAATAATTAAATAATTCTGAAGAGTATGCATCAAATTAAATTTTGCCAATCAACTTCTGCAAACCAATGACAATATCACAAACTGTCAGGAGAACTGATAGTTAGGTATTAAATAAGGAAATAGAAATCAACATTGAGATCTGTTCAGTGGCGAACTCAGTAAAAGTTTTATTAATTTTTCGATCAACAGCTAGTACACTCCAAATATGTAACATCCTGTGTATTAATCAAATTGGTATGGAAAGTTTTCGATACGTAATAGTAGTTTTAGTGTGCTTACAAAATTACAGAACGATATGTAAACACATTATTGAAATATTCGTAAAAATATAGTGGCTAAACGGAACGTTTTGATACACAGGTAAGTTTAGTTCAATCGCCTCACTTCGGTCTCAGGAGTCTATGGTATCATTTTGTACAGACCTTTCAGGGACACTCTGTATATTTTTGTTTTTGTTCACAAGCGCGGTTGGTAACAACTTCTAAATCTGAAACTATCTGAACCAATCCTGTGTTCTCAGGAATTATACTGTGAATTTGAAGTTATTGAGCAATTTGAAATCAAATTAACGACATGTCACAGGTCAAAAATTACCTATTTATTTCATACATCTTAGTAATCTTAATTGCTGTGTAAATAACACAAATAAATACTGCATGAAAATGTTGAATAAAAAGGGAATGTTCAAGCCCATTCTTGCTCGAAAATTTGCGATACTAATTCAAGAATCATATCTTAGTCCAATAAATGAAGGAGGAAAAAAGGCAAAGTTAACGTTAATTACGCACTATTTTCATCTTCCGGTTGGAAGTAGCTTTTGGTACCTCATTTAAACATGAGACAAAGTTTGACTGGAAAACCCGTGCGAGTGCGGAGAAAATGGCCCCAAAAGACCAGGAAAATAGGTTTTCAGACAATATCTCCTAAAATATGGCAGTTAGAGATTTTCGGTTCAGATAAAAATTGAAGTCCAGTTAATTTTGTACAAAAATGGTCCTTATCATTTTTCTCGAAAATTTGCCCGGTTTCGAGAAAAATGGCACGAAGCGCACCTAGAATAATGAGCTTCTGTTGTATGCCGGAGAGCAAAGTCCGTGTATTTACACATCGGCGGGGGGACAAATTATTCAATAACTTTGTTAAAAATGCATATTTTCTCATGATTCAAAGTTCATGTGAAAGAGGAATTCTGCTGCTATCATACCCTGCGTGGCCGCATGGTTTGTAGCAGACGACCCGAGCGCCACGTAGAGCACACACGCGGCGAACGACGGAGGAACGAAAGTAATAAATTATAGCGTGTACATTTAGATATACTGGTTTATTCCCGGGATATCAAAGGTAAAGTGGGAATTCCCCCGTTACACTAGTTAAGGTGTTAAAATGTTAGAAATAAATAGCACCGAAAAAAAAAGTGCTTTTTTCCTTGACCCCGCTTTTTCTAATTTTATTGAAAAATGGACGACTTCGTCTAAAAAAGTAATTGCACAATCGAAAAGTAGACCTTCTTAGCTTCCAAATGATGTATCTTAGAAACCAATCGGATCATGTATAAATTTTCAATTGATGGTTGTTCACAAAATTTCCCCTCGCTCCAAAAACAGCAAAACATTGGGATTCAATAAACAAAGATTAAATGAAAATTACAAAATATTAGGGTACATAAATTTCAGGGATGACGAAGGACCTTATGAGGACCCATAATCGAGAGAATTTTGAGTAAATTAGTGCAATACAAAAAAAATAGGAACAAATTCCTGGCGAGGTCAAAATTGACCGGGAGCAGAAAGTTTGACCCATGTTCCGATATGGCCAAAAGAGTCAAGCGTGACTCAATTCACAGGGTATGATAGCAGCAGAATTCCTCTTTCACATGAACTTTGAATCATGAGAAAATATGCATTTTCAACAAAGTTATTGAATAATTTGTCCCCCCGCCGATGTGTAAATACACGGACTGTGCTCTCCGGCATACAACAGAAGCTCATTATTCGAGGTGCGCTTCGTGCCGTTTTTCTCGAAACCGGGCAAATTTTCGAGAAAAATGATAAGGACCATTTTTGTAGAAAATTAACTGAACTTCAATTTTTATCTGAACCGAAAATCTCTAACTGCCATATTTTAGGAGATATTGTCTGAAAACCTATTTTCCTGGTCTTTTGGGGCCATTTTCTCCGCCATCGCACGCGTTTTCCAGTCAAACTTTGTCTCAAGTTCAATGAGGTACCAAAAGCTACTTCCAACCGGAAGATGAAAATAGTGCGTAATTAATGTTAACTTTTCCCCTTTGTTTATTGGACTAATCTGATGGGGTGCAGCAGGAACTTACCCCAATGATTTTTCAGGCTGAAGACGCAGTGTGCCTTGCAGACTACTGCGACATTATGAGATGTGATGTCCTGATGACCCTAGACCTGCAAATGATGAATCCTGAACACGAAAACACGGACATAGAAATTTGGCGAGAGGCTTCTTCATACTCGAAAGCGTTAGTAAGCTCAGGGCCAAGAGATGTAGCCAAATATACTTTCAAAGATGGAAACTATCCGCACCTGCAGAAGTCTCTGAAAGCATACAATAAATTCAAAAAACATTGCCAGAAGACTGAGGCACCTGAAACTGCAAGTGATAGTGGTAAGAACAATTATAGCAATTTTATTTTGACATCATATGAAACACAAAATGGACTCACCTCATGTGGAATTGACTCTATTTCAGAGCAATCCATGGTCATTTATATTTATTGAATTTGAACCTATACAAATAAGATAGAAGAACGGACAAGAAATAAAGGAATTTAAAAATTCATATAGGTATCCAGAAAAGCAATTCCAAGACACCTGTAGGTCTGCTAACAAAAAAATGAAAACAAAGTTAATTCAAATATGTTCAATGTTTCAGTTTCAATCATTTTCATTTCTTTGTAGGTATTCAACTTTACGCACTGATTAAATAACGTAATCTCCCAAGTAGAAAAATACCTACACACTCACTACCAGTGAGTCATTTGTTCAAAAAACATTTCCGAATAGTCGACAATAACCTTATACAGAGGCAGAGATAAGTTACACAGTTTGCAGTGCAACACTTGATTGGATATACATTATTACTAATTCTGTTGTAAGCCTAAAAGTAATTATTAACATTACTGCATCACCAAGTCTACTGGTTATGAATGGTCATGATTTTCATATAGAATAGATTTCATAGGTGACGGATTATTACCACTTATAATTCCACTAGAGCTCTTTAATTATTATTCCGGGAAAGTTTTCCGAAAACACGAATAATTTGAAAGCTCGTTGTTTGTTTTTGTTGATGAGATGTGTTGATTTACTGCTCACTAAGGTAGAAAACTTTCATCATATACTGCGAAGTAAAAAATTATTGATTGCTTTTGAGTAACCTGGTATACATATCTGCTCCAACGCTTTCCTGAAATGCATAAAAGCATCCATTTATGGAAATGGAACTCCTCTAAAATTAGTCCATGTAAAAAATGCCAAAAAAATTTTTTTTCGGAAACCACAGTAGTTTTTGGCAAAAACTCGAAAACGTCCCGAGGTATGGTTGCTATTTATGAAATGCCCGAATAAAATATGAGCATCGTGGTCTTCCGACAAAATGGGGAGGCGGAGAAATTTTTTTCAAAATGCACGAAACTTTGTTTCACCCTGTATCACGGGTCCTGATCAATTTGGAAGAATTTGTAAGGAACGGTTCGAAAGACGATGAAAAAGGCATTCAGAATCTGGGCGGCAATGCAAAATTCGTTCAACATTTTAGAAATTATGAGAAGTCAAACTTGATGCTAAATTTCACTATTGACGCCCAGTTTAATTCTACCCATAAACATCAAAATATTTCTATTGTAATTTCATGCTCCTTATTTCCCGAATTTCTATTAGTTGCTATGGTACGGATACAAAATACAGGTTTTTAATGGGTCAAAAGTGTTCGAATATGGAATTTTCACAAAAAAATTAGGTAATATATTTGTCATATTATCTGTCATATTCCCAAATCAGTTGAAAAATTCAGATTTTCAAAAAATTTATGATTTTTTCAAACTTCGAAGTATAGCATATACCAGGTGTAAACAGGATCATGGTACACCTCGTTTTTCTTCTCCAGTTTTAGAGATAAGGGATTTAAATTTTGGAATGACTCATCAACTTGATAAACGTCACTTTCTGACATAAATGTTTTATTTTCCACTTCTGGTTTCACCGGAAGTGGTAATAACTTTCGATTTTCAAATGGAACACCCTGTGTATATCATTGCATTTTCGAATCCTGCATAATATCCTGAATCAAATGATACCATATAAGTGACATTTACTTCAATATTGATTTCAATAATTGCATTTTTGATTTTCCATTTGAGTGTGCCATGACTATTCTGATCCAGTCTGATGTACTCATATTGTCAGGTGTAATGCTAAAAAAAATTGAATCATGCCATAAATGTAAAATTTCTTGATTTATCACCAATTTAAGTTCGTCAAAATGGTTTGGTGTACCATGATCCTGTTACACCCCGTATATAAGTGGCAGAAGTGTTTATATTGATACAGCGAAAGGTCATACAGGATGATTCACTTCTAGAAAATTGTCAATGGTACCTTCCTTATTTAAATTGTTAGTTTTCTTACTTAGTTCAAAGAGCCTCATTCAAAACTAACATTCGCGAGCATACTGAATTCTCATTTTCTACAGATTCAGTCCATGGAAGCTATATTATAATGTTGTGTTTGATCAATAAGAAGGATCAAATGGGCATGTGAACTGCGACTTTCAATACTCCGGTACGACCATTTCCAAATAGCTCAACTAAATATATAATTTGCAACTTGGCAGTAGAGTCTGTTCGAATCATGCTGTAATTTTCTACAACTTTGAACAGCGCAATTGCGCAGTTCAATTATTGACTGTGGCAAATGCAAAAACAGTTCAGTTGTACGGCCTATTTTTCTTTGTTGAGATCCATTCATCGTTCATTTCATCCAAAAATTGTATAGTTTCACAAGGTGTAAATAAATCTTCTTTCTAGATGACAATGATAAAAGTGACAAAGAAAAAATACGAAACGCATCAAAAAACATTTGCCAAAACGATTTAGTCGATTCCGCCCTGCCAGCACCTGATAACAGACAACAACGAATAGCAGAACTGCAAAAACTCAAAGCCAACTGTAAACCAGAAGAACTCCAAGAAATCAAGACCAAATGTGAAATTTTAGTTAGGGACTGCATAGCAGGATTACTAATACAGCTTTCTCTGAAGGATTTCAAAGAAGTTGAAGGTAAAGTTGACATGTGAAATTATCGATAAATTCTCTATACACTACAAAATAATACTGACGCAAATGTTCTAAGTAGGTACTTTGTAATACTCTCTGCATAATTTTGGACTGAATACACAGGGTGATTCAGTTTTCAAGGTACAAACTTTAATCAAAAAAGTTTATATAAACATCATGAATCCGATCTCCAGAAGCGGAGCTACAGGGGGCCAAAGTTCAATTACTTTTTTCTTATTATTAAAATATCTCGCTCACTTCTGGAGATATCAATTTGAAATTCGGTGTGGTTAGGTTATCGTTTATTTAAGCATTTTGAAAATTCTTAATAGCTACAGGGTTATACGTTTTCGAGGATTCTTTATTCCCTCTAAAACTTCCATCTTCCAGTAACCAAATTGGGCGATTCGTCAATTTAGAGGATTTTTTTGCTCCTCAATTTTTTCAGAGAAACGAACCGTTTTCGAGATAAATACGCATATTATCCTTTCTAAAACATGTTAATTTTGCCCAAGATTTCGCCTATGTTCGAATTTTCAGAGCCGTGCTCGGACGATGGTGAGATTCTCATAACCTTAAATCTTTGTATGGATCATGAATATTTCTCATATCGTTGAAGTTCATCAACAAATCCAAATATTATAACCTACCTGAAAGTTATTAACCGAGAAAAAAATTTGCATCAGAAATGTTTTGAATAGATTTGGCATCGGAAAAATACATTGTGCATAGACGACAATACCTCAGAGAAATTACTTTTCAGCTAATGAGGTTTTTCAAGTCATCAATTCTGATTTAGATTGTTTTCTGCTGAAACATCACTATAAAAACCAAGGCAGTGCCACGTCAGTTAAATGGACAAACTAGTGGTATTTTTTTCGGCTGATTACGATTATGGAAGTGAAACAAAACTCTATCTGTCATCGCGTTCATGAGATGCCAAAAAGTTAAATTTCTTTAAGTTGGACACCCAGTACACAATATTCTTAATCGATAGGAAATTCGGTTCTGAACAGAAAATCGTCTCATAAACTGCTCTCCTGAATTCGAAAATGACTAAGCTAACGACGATTTATATAACTTCTTGACATAACTCGTGAACGCGATCGATTTTTCTATCGATTTCATAATCTTATTAATCAGCGGAGAAAATTCTATTATAGTTTGCATATTCAACTGGCATCCAATAATAACTAACTTTCTAACTGAGAATCCTGATGTATTTTTGTCTTAATATTTTTTAATACTACAATACTGTCTCTGGATTTAGTTTTTCGTCACAAAACACTTTCCATAGTTAGATGTGTGAGGTAGGTGTTCAGTCATTGGGAATTTTGTTACAGAGGAATTGAATAGAGCCGTCTGTTGGTATCTCACTTGTGACAGATACTGGGAAGACTCCCAAGCGGATATAAGAAGTTTTCCTTGGGGTTTGCTGTGTATGATAATCATGGTCATGTCTTTAGGAATATGCTTGTGTTATTACATCATTTGGGTACTTTTTGAGTGAGTATGAAAATAGACAACTTTGAAAATATACTGCTCAACAACAAATGGGCGGGTTATGAGGATTTTTCTTCATACATTTATATTTAGTATAGTAAGATGATATCCCTCCAATTGTGCTGAGCAGTATCAGTCCCGCTAATTTCTGCCAAAAAAGAGGTTTATTTGTATTAATTGACTTATTTATATAAATATTGTGTTGATAATTAGAGACATTGCTTTTTTTGGATTTCGGTTATGTATTTCGCTTCCTAATTAGTAATTCAATGAAAAACGGAAACCGTGATTTAGCACACTACTTTTATGTGCATTTGATACCAAATTTATTGAACAATCGGCAATTCAATGAAGAAACACTGTTAATCAACCTACACTCATGAGTGACACCGCTTCCGCTCACCATAATATAATTCCTAAATTATTTGGTGCATAGTTAGTTGCATAAGGCGTAAACTGCAAAACGTCATAAATGAAAATACGAAGTTGAACATATTTTCCATTCATGAGATGATGAATGAATTCAACTCGCTTTGCGTAATGTGATCTGTTTTTCTAAAATATTTTCAATCAGCTGTCACTTCCGGTTGAACCGGAACTGACATTAACTTTTTTTTAAATGTAACACCCTGTATATTAGTGCATTTTTTCATTCTCCCTGAAGAGCTGATTTCATCAATGCTCGACATTCCTGGTCTAGCACGAATGATTACAGATATATAGGGTGTTCAACATCGATATTTTTCAACTTCAGGAAATTTTTTTATCGAAACTATTCATTGTCGGTCAAAACGGCTCCCATTTTGATTTACTATCTACTGATATTTAATTGGGACTGATACAGGATGATCAGCATTCTGAACCTTGAGAAAACACATATAAAAACCTCTTTTTTGGCGACGAACGATTCCAACCTGTCGGAAGCAAAAACCTTTTCAGCACGGACGACGGCAGCGTGACCAGCGCCAGCATAACGGACAGATCGACACCTTCGCCGCACCACCTGATCAAGCACGACGGCGACAGGACGTACGCGTACGGTCCCGAGGAGTACTATCCCACCCACGACAAGGACAATGAGTACATCTACGTGACGTACCCGCCGGACTTGAAGAGGAGGTTGCTCGAGAGGTTCGTTCTTTTTTCAGTTGCATTTAGTTCAGCTGAGATGACATCTTCAACCCAGATACGCCTGAAAATATTTTGTTTCAAATTTTAATTTTTGTTGTATGAAACTATTTAGTTCAGTATTCAAAAATGAATAACGACAGAAATAAATTCAATTTCGAAAGCTGGAGTTTCCAAAAAGACGGTGTCCTTTCGAAAGGACAGTAGGCAAATGAGTGACATTTCCTTGAATACAAGTTTTTATTATTTCAATATTCTAAATTGCTCTCAGGGGCTCACAACTTGTGAGTATGGGAATGGTGAACCCGAGGTACCCTAGCCATATATTCACCAAACTTCAACTTGTCTTGGGTGATATCATCTTCCCTCCTTTTCCAATCTATCCTATCGGCCTTCCTAGGCCAACTTCCTTTTCCCCTCCAAGGCCAACCTCACCATCAAGTGGTGTGGGAAGTATTTTGGAGACCGTCTTTGGTATCTCCGGATCAGATGGGACAGTTATTTGTGCACATCTGTGGCAAGGATGGAGCGATTTGCTGATATCTGTTTCGGTGGCCAAGGACTGGTCAACGAGGCTCTTGCAACCTAATCCAAGCTGTGGGAACCCGTGGCGCTGGATGAATGGCACCAAGGTATGGTTTGCTAACGGGACCTCTGGGAAACAGGGCGACATCTCAGAGCAAACAGCCTCAGCTCTGTGCAGGGGGCACCACAGGGCTGGACCAGCCCCTTCCCCCGTCACTCCTAAGAGAAGGAGGACTTTTGGCCTTCTTTGTAGACGAGAGCAGGGATCGGAAGATAAATCTTCAGGACCCTGAATAAAAGAGTTATTTCATATAGATGTGCCCCTTAATGAGCACCATGAGACGTATATGATAAAATTGATAACGGCATGTAGGTGAGATACGATGGGCCACTAGGCCTAGGTGTCCGACATCAGTCAGACGAGCCTACAAACGAAGTTGAGTGTTTAGTGGGTACACCCTGGACTCTGGAAGCTCCCACACTATCAAATGGGAGATTAGACCCAAATGATGTCCAAAAAGGATTCCAACCACCTCAAGGAAACTAATCTCAAATGAAATATAAGGGGACATAAAAACCATTCTGAACATAAAATCGAATGAAGAATGTCTCTGTCATAATAACAGGTCTTGGAACAAGTAACTCAAGGAGCTAAGTTGCACTTTTCGCATTTGGTGAAAACGTTTTTATGAGAATATCGGAAGAATCTAGTTTTCTTCTTTCTTCTCCTGCGTCCTATGCAATTACGCATTGTCTTCACCCATATCTAGCATATGAAATATAAGAGATTTCTTCTCCTATAGCGCAACTCAATACAAACTTTTATTTTCGACGGATCAATAAACGCCCTCCATATTTCGGTTGTATAAAAAATATTATGAGGTTTCTAAACCGGAACTAATGTCCACTTATATTCATCGCTCAAGTCCTAATCTGCGTTACTGGTTCACAATAATTGAGAGGAGTCATAATTGCCACATATATTTCAGACTGTTCATCATTAGTTTTGTCATCTTTTAAAGATTGTTGAAAGTGACACCACTCTAAAAAAAGTTGCTTATATGCATACTGTCCTTCTCAACGAACATTTTAAAATTTTAGGTTGTGAGATGCAGTTTCAAAACACACAATGCATTGACATTTTTTTGACAACAAAAATGATTACAGAAGACTATCATTTCAACACAAAATCATCAATCGAAATATTTTTTTTATAATTTCGCACCCAACCGAATCGACATCAATCTGCATAGTCAACTTTTGAATAGAACACTTGATTTCCATTCGTATTCATGCACGTATTGCCGATAAGCTGTGTTGATAATAATATTCTATAACCAATGTTTTTTCATTCGATATGAGTAGTGCCATTCATGTAAAAATCCGCGAAGATACCCAAATTACGCAGTAAAAAAACTTTTCACACAGTGTCCTTATAGAAGAACGGTAATCGGTTAGGTCAGGTTAGGTTTCAGTCCTAAGATCTATCTCTATAATTCTTTATAATTCTATAACCAATGTTTTTTCATTCGATATGAGTAGTGCCATTTATGTAAAAATCCGCAAATATACCCAAATTACGCAGTAAAAAACTTTTTACGCAGTGTCCTTATAGAAGTACGGTAATCGGTTAGGTCAGGTTAGGTTTCAGTCTTAGGATCACTCTCTATACTTCTACCTCACTCAGACTTGAGTCTTTGTTTCCACCTAACTATTGTTGCAGCAGGCTATATAGGTAACATATTGTTGTGATTTATGAGTTACTTGAAATGCACAAATATTTCAATCTAGATGCCATAGAAGAGAGATTGACCAAATCAGATGTGCACACACAGGTTGATAATCATGCATGTTTTGTATATTCTTTTAGCTGTGAAGAATTTTAGTTCAGGCGTGAGGTGCCATACCTGCTTATCTATTTTATACGATTTTGGATTAAAAGTATTCTCATTCAATAATGATTCTAGCACTCCTAAGAATAAGAGAAATTAATGGTTTGAGGCTATTAGGAGACTATTATTGGACATTAGCTACTCAGGAAGGATAATTATATTCGAAACAATTTACGCCAGACAGCTTTCTGATGCTTCCAGGCAAATCCAGGACATTGAAACCACATGCAAATTTGCCGTTTTTTAAAATTAAGTTCTCAAATCTGAGTATTTGGAAGCTATGAGACCTAAATACGGCATGTTATATCCGTTTCTCACTACTTTATGTATAGTTTATCAACCTTTCACAGTAGACCCTTCCCAACCTTTTTCCTTCGATACGCCTATGTTCCTCGGATTCATGAGTGTAACATGACAGTTCATAAATGAGCATGACTCAGGTTCCGTTTCGATCTCCTGAGTGGCTCACCTTTTTCCTTATGGAACTGGCATTCTAGATTAGTCCATAAGTCGGTGGACTTTTCAGATAGATATTGCCGAATTTCTTTCACAAGTCGGACTATACCTACACAGCGAGCACGTATTTTAGAATAAGAATATTATATTGTTTAACGAGCACGGAATGAGTGATTTCCCACGAGAATGAAGTTTGCAGCACAAGCCAAAAGTCGAATGCTGCAATCATTCGTGCAGGAAATTAGCATTCCGTGCAAGTTATGCACCATAATTTTTCTACGGCTATAACAGCGGCAAGTAATGCTCATCTATTAGACAGAGCTGTCATTGCTTGAAATTTGACATTCCATGGACAATGAGTCATTGTGATATCAGATACGGAAATAAAATTGATGACATACAAAGTACCTCATTGATGTATCGTACTCAGTAAAACAATAGCAATCTTGTGTTATAGCCGTAGAAAAATTGTATTGTGTAACTTTATATATAATATTGCTATCTAGTACTTACCCATTTCATTTCATTATTTTAGTGGTTGAAATGTTCTATAGTTTAGTGTTTAATATAGATATATATTGATTCCTAGAAATATCTTACTAATATGCTATATTTTTTTTAGCTGCTACAATCGAACAACCCGCTTGTGAAAATATAGTAAATGTAGAAATAGATAGATAGATAGATAGCCAGACTATTTTTATTAGATCCTCCTGATCTTTATACACCTTCAACAAATTTTCATACTGATTGTAGAATAGACTATTTGTTTTTAGTTACTTAATTTTTAGTATCTATTACCGTTACCGGGTTAATTATTTGAAGTTCGAATAATTGACAGAAAAATTATTGTTAGTCTATCAGCAGGTTATTCAGTTTTAATTCTCGACAATGGCATAATATGCGAGGAATTTGAAATTTGAAAATCTGGTGAAAATAGTGAACAATTACCAACAAAAAATAATAGTTTTTAGTAGTTTTGTCAAACGAATTTTCCATTTCTGGAAAAATGTTGAGCTGTTTGAATTGCTAACCTACATTTTTTTATGATCAGTGGCACGTGACCGAGGGTCGATTGCAGAAAACTCGGTTTACTCAACGAAAAATCAACTCTCCTAACTCATCTGCTACGACCCAAGACATACACGTTACCATGGATACAAGCGAATTGAATATTTAATCTTTTCGCAACCGGCCCAAAGAAACTGGAAACTATACTAAAGTATGCAATATAATGATTTACGCAACGATTCCGGAAAAAACTGTTTTTTTTTTTGGACGAGTAGACAAATCCTCTGGAATAAGTCTGCGAAGGAACAAAAGCATGCCCAACCACTATAGCCCAGTGGTCGACTGGGCTATAGTGGTCAACTGGAAATTTACTTGCCTACGTGACCCATATATGACAAGCTTATTCATTAGAAAAGCTGTAGTGTTAGATACATCTAAGGCATTCGACCGTGTTTGGTACCAAGAAGTAAAATTGTTCCAAAATTGTTCTTATCCATCATTCGGTTGCTCCCTTACGAGCAACCCTCAGAAGTCTTCAAGAGACTTGTACAAGTTAGGAATGACGGGGGTCTTACCTTTTAACGTGTGATCCCAAACACTTTCTTAGGCCATCAGAAAAATGTCTACGGTCGTGGTGGGAATCGAACCCACATACCGGCAACCCAACGTGGATAGAACATGACTCTTTAACCACGAGGCTACGCTGGCCACAAACGACCACAAACTACCATAATACAGCTTACCACCTGAGCTATGCCATCTTTTATCAAGTTTTGTTTTCGGCAGATCGCTTCATGTGGTTGTGGACGGAGTATCGTCTGATATCATTCCCATCAATTCCGGCGTTCCCCAAGGATCAATTTTGGCTCCAACATCGTTCCCACTCCATATCAATGATCTGGGAGCAACAGCACTTGCCCTATCCACAGCTTTGCAGACGATAGTACTCTCCATACTGCCTTCTCTTCTAAAATTCCCATTGCATCCTAGGAAACTGAAAACGCAGGCCTAGGGAACGAACGACCTGTTTTAATTCAACGCCACCAAAAGTCAAGCCAGTTGTATTTTCTCTAGAAAGGCGGAACTGAGTATGCCTGATATAACAATGTCTGGTACCACCATTTCCACCAAAACCACTATATCTATGCTGGGTATTACCATCAGCAATACTCTCTCATGGGAAAATCATGTCCGATCCATCGCAAAAGTTGCTTCAAAAAACTCGAGATTCTTGTTCCGTGCGGAAATCTACTTTACACCTCAACAGCTTCTCATGATCTACTAAAGCAAAGATAGGTCTAGTTTCAAAATACTGTTCTCACCCTGTCAACACCCAAACATACGCTGATGCTCTTATTGATTCCATCCAGAGAAGAGTCATTCGCCTGGAGGGTGATGCCACACTCACTATCTCTTTGACCTCATTAGAACACCGTAGAAAAGTCGGCAACCTTTCACTTTTCTATAGGTACTTCCACGGAAAATGTTCCACACAAATCTCTGCTATGATTCCATCACTAACAATACCGGTCAGACTAACTCGACAGGCCCGTCAACACATCTTTCCGTTGTCAACCTTGAAATCTGTCGAACAAGACTTCACCAAAATTCGCTCGTCTATAAATTGGCAAAGCTATGGAATTCTTTTCCAATGGAAGTATTCCCAAGAACTTATATAACCTCCAAATGATAAAAAAAAATCTCACCAAAATCAAATTTGGGTAATTGCAAACATTTGTAAAGTAAAACATAACATATAGTTTTCTCAACTGAACATACAAAGCATATTATGTTATTGAACCATAGATGGTAATGAAAATATACCTAATACGTAATTAAAACTGAAAAATCGAAAAGTAGGTATCTAATGGTTGAAGATGAGTATATTCGTTGTTTCCTTATTTTCTACATTTTATATTTTTTAGCAAATAATTTCTCATATTGTAGATGTACGGTAGAAGTATTTTCAAGTTCCATCAATGATGCTTCAGGAAATAGTAAAAAAGGTTGACTGTTTCGACAAAATTTTATATTATTTGGTTCATCCTGAATGTTTAGTTCCTAGCAGAATTCTCTTTCGGTTATTTTTTTATTCATAAAAAACGCACTGCATCAATACGTTCTCAGCATTCCAAAATTACTGTGTATAGATAGGTATATGAAACAAAAATGTGAGTCATTTTCAGATAAAAATCTCGAATTGATCTATTATTGGATAAAAATGATTATAATTGTGGGTGATTGAAGTATATTGAATGGAATTTTTCAGAATGGAAAAAACTGCCTTTTTCTAATTTTGACATTTCGAAACTCAGTGTAATTTTGAACGTCTCAAGCCGGTATGCAATTTCTTGAACAATATTCTGCACAAAAATCAAGATTGCAACTATGAGCAGGACATTTTAATGAATTTCATATGTCATATGTCACAGAAAAAAGCTATTTTTCCATTATTCATTCACAGTATATTCTTATGGTGTAAACTTCATGTGACTTCATGACTTTCAGTCATATCATATGTTAGTATACGCTGAATGCTGTTCTTCAAAGCTACTATAATTTGAAAAATCAGACAAACGATGTAGGTAGGTATATGTCTTATGAGTCCCGCGGTCATCTCTGAATATATTGTATTTCAGTTCACAAAGAGTATCTTAATTGATTCGAAATAAATAGAAAATATTCTCTGAATGATCTTTCATTTTTCCAATTCATTCCTTCCTTTAAGTAGTAGTAACATGTGAAACAAATAAATAATCAGTACACCTTGAGTTCAAGTCATTTTCAATTCACTTTCCTTACTCACCTAACATTTTGACACTTTCACTACCAAAAAAATGAAACCCACCTTCTATTTACTGCACTGTTTTACCACTAACCGAACCGATTTTTCAAACGCCTCGACACGTGTTTCGCTAACTATGATAGCATCTTCAGAAGAAGATTGAAACTAAATATCCTATACTATGTTCATCCAACAGTAAAAAATAATAACCGTTAAGTTAATGTTTGTCATGGTTGAGTTCAAATGTTAATTTTAATTTTTATATTACCAAACTATATAGAGGGCTATATGGAATAGGTCCCATTATCCTTATTCATTGCTCTGTTACTATTCTTAAATATCTCTAAGCTTTCATATGCGTCTAATTTTCTAATATTATTAACTTGCTCAACTAATTTGAGGTTAGTAATATGTGTGTTATGATCGATTGTGATTGAACATATGTTCGGCTAAACACGATTTATTCAACCTACCATATTTTAAATGTACTATGTGTTCTTTGAACCTTTTTTTATGGGTCGCCTGGTTGGGCCTATATATATGTTTCATCACAATCACTACAACTTATTTCGTATATTCCCGACATTTCAAGTGTGTCCACTCAAACTTTCGGATTGCCTAATTTTGATATAGACTGATAAACGCTTCTTCTAGAAGAATCCCAATCCCGTTCAATCCCAAGTATACGAAGGGATATAATTGGTAAGGTTTTCAAAGACTTAGGTTTTGAAAGCGTTATCAGCCTGGGTCAATATTGAAACTTGACTATGTGAAAATATGAATTTGCGCCCCTTATATAAACCAAAGTAGGACACTTTCGGAAAAAACTGAATTTCAAATATGTATTTATCCTTTCTCCAAAACAGGAACTTAAAATACAGGAATATGTGACAATTGCAAAGAATGAAATAGATGTACCTAGAGATAATAAAACTCACTTTATACTTAGAAGAATCGAATGTGTGGGATATGAGTCCTACCTAACTAATCGGATGGAGAATTAGAAACATTTCCGGGTTGATTTGCTGATCTCTGCTCAAAAATTGCATACACTTTGTGCGATATTAGCTGATGGACTCGACTCGGCCTTGATGTCTGATGACTCTGGATGGAAGGGGGGCGCGACGGGATTATACGAGGCGTACAACAATACAATATAGTCTCGAATATAGTCTAACAAATATTCCCATGATATAAATATTTTTCCAATTTTTCTAATTAACGAGAAATTTCATCTTGAAAATTAGATGAAAATCAGAAGAAAGGATCAAGTAGGCCACTTCAAGGCAATTTAAACTCCGCGTGAACAATTAAGAACGGCTGTCATCAATCCTTTCTCCAACTTTGATCGTCAATATCTTCCGTTGACGAAAAGCTATCATGTCGCAGTTTACGTTGGTCTATTGAGATTTAGTTTATCTATTGCACCGTCTAATAATATGCATACCGTTACATTCAATTTTGTATCATAATTCGTTGCTGAGATATGGCCGACAGCCGTTCCTAGTTGTTCACCTGGTACCTTCCGAACATATATTTAAACATAGGTGACGTCAGAATCGCTACAGTGTATAACTGTCATATACGTATTAATAATCAATACGGATAATCTCCATCTGTTTCCATAGCGAAACATGAAGCCGATTTTTGAAGACAAATGACTATCCATAAGGAAAAGTGAGATAACGATCAGACACATACTGCTTTGATTGAAAGGCTAGTAAACGTCATTGTCCACCGAAACGCATGTCTTTGATGACTACTATAATAGCGCATGGCGCATGCGTATCATGCCACCAAATCCTTATGGATATACATTTGTTTCATATTTTTGACTTCATCCTGGCACCCGTTATGATCCGTATTGTTTATTAATACGTATATGATAACTGTAGGTGGAAAAAGGGGTCACATCCCGAATGATATATTTCCCTGCCTTGACACATGATGTTAAACAATTGATAGAAATAATATGGAGATGGTACTCACTTTTTACTTTTCGATTTCACATTCTTCAGTTATTCTCAACAGAAAGAGGCATTGGATTTCAAGAAATTATTTGCCAATTGATAATGAGTTGTTATGGCCGAAATTTATCAATTCAAGCGGGTCTGACTTGTGTGTCTGAAAAAACAGTTCTCAAATAATTCCAGAAAAAAAAAACGAGAACACGAGACCTCACCACATCTCAGATCCGATACATAATTCACGTACCACATTCTTGAGTAGGTTGTCACGTATCAGATTTGAAGATTGAATGGGACTTTCACACGTTAGAAGTTTTCCAACTGCAACTTGGAAAACTTCTAATGTGTGGCCCACACGCCTACATAAATCACCCTGGTATACATAGTACGAATTTCAATACCTCCAACTTCAATCAAGGATTATAAAAAAATACTTTTTAGTACAACTGTGAATAAACTTGACATTTATGCATCTTCATTGACGCGTAAATATTATGTAAATGATTTTTTTTCAACAGAGTAAATTATTAATTGATTGTTCATCATAAAAAAAATTTCAATAATTGGAATAATAATTGTGAGTGAAGTATGAAAAATTACTCCCAACATAAATTCCCGAAGATGTTCCATGTTGCTGCTGTTCAGAAACGTTAGACATTTCTTGAAGAGTTGATTCCACAATTTTATCAGATATCTTAATTTGTTTGGAATAATATAAACAACTCAATATTTCGTTAAAAATCTCAATTTTGTAAATGAATATTCTCATGTGCCATTAAAAAAACACTCATTTTACGCACTGATACAAAAATAACTATTTTCACTTAGTATGCTCCTATTTGCGAAAATAACAATGAGAATTTGCCAGGAAAACTTTTTCTGTTCGTTCCTGCTACAATGAAGAAAACATGGTTGGATGCAGTGAAACTTATTTCACAATTCACAAGTCCTGTATTAAATTGTTTTGAGATCATTACAATGCGATTTCCCAACAAATTTCGTTTCGATTGCTAATTTAAGCACTCGGGGATATGTTGGTAAAAAAGATCAATCACCTTTTCACTGTTAACTTGGGGAAAATAAGTCAATAATCTAAAGATCATCTTTAAATTTGAATATTCGCAGTATCATCTAGATTTTATGGTTCTTTTTCCTTCGATTTGGAATATATTTGGATATACTTTATGAATGGGTAAGAGTTCTACTCATTATTTTATGGTTTTCTACTGATTAGAACACAAAAAATAGCCCTAAGGGGGCTACAGCACCTCAAAGATGGGCAACTGCGAATGGTTTTCATTGAATGTCTCCGACACCGTTCAATGACTACGCAGAATTATCCCCACCATTCGCCATTTCATTCGTTTAACCGTGTTGGCGACTAAGATTGCTAGTATATACTTTTTCGTGATTCATAATGGTATAGCGGTGTCTACGGGTTATTTGGTCTGAGTTTCCAATGGTCTAGGACCTAGGAATACACTGTTCATGACGGAACAAAGAAATAATAATAAATAAATAGTTCAAGTCTTGTAGCATATCAATATTTAATATTTATTGTTGAATTACTCTCACTGTACAAAAATCCAACCTCTAGTTTCGAAACGAGAGAAGTTACTGGAAAAACTGTCAAAAGTAAACTATACTCATACCAGGAAACTCGCTGTGATAATAATAAAAACCCATAATGCTGGTGCTTCATGAAGAACACATTCCACGGATGGATCCAACGGCGAATAAAACCACTTGAAGATTGCTGAAATCCTATAACAATCTGGATTACTAAAAACACGCATCCTCCATTCATACAGGGTTAGATATTGATAAGTATGCTAAGCTAAGCTAAGCTAACCGCCTAGCTGATAATCTAATGGGGGGAAGAAATCGATACAAAAACACACGCACGCATTACCCAAATACACAGCCTTGCGAATCCCAGCCATACAAAAATTAAATCAAGTCCTGAAAAAATCTAAAAAAACTTAGGAAAATGTCAGCGCCGCCTGAAGGGTGCTCGCCTGACGTCTCGCAAGCGTGTTCGAGTCTCTTCGATTCTTCTTTTGTGTTCTTCCATGCGCACCAGTCTTTGTTGCTGCTTTAATGCAATCTGGAACAACCAGAAAAAGGAGGTAAGTAATTTATTCCGCTCGTTTGTTATAATGGTAGGAGGTCATCTGATAGATAGATAGATAAGCTTTATTGTCTAAAATGAACACATTTTGTAGACAAAGTCAATATATTGCGATACATTGATTGCATGATATAAATAAATCAAATAGAATAGAAGAGGAATATATAAAAATGACATAGAACAAGAATATATATAAAATAACATAGAACAAGTATCTTCATTATTACAAACAACATGTCTCTTTGAAATCAATAATATGAATCTCTAATAATTCTCACATATCATAGGACAAGAATTTGTAGGCTAAGTATTTGTCTAAACTATACTAGCATTTTCCCACTAACAGATCTTTGACAGATTTCCGGAAGTGTTTCAAATCATTGATTATAGCTATATAACCTGGTAAATGATTGAAATCTTTTTACTCCTATAAATTAAGGATTGTCTCGTTAAAGATGAATTAGGCAGAGGAAGCGCAAGGTTTCTTTTATTACGCGTAATCTTGTCTATGTTTGTGTTCATGAAATTTCCTTTATATTTGTGAAGCAAACCGACTTTTTCTAAAACACAAATTTCAAAGACCGTCAATATCCTAATATTGCGAAAAATTGGCCTGCATGAGTCACGCGTCTTGAGTTTGAATACAAATCTCAGAGCTCGTTTTTTGAAGGACAAAAACACTATTTGAGAGACCATGACAGCTACATCCTCAGAATGAAATTCCATACCTCAGATGCGATTCAATAAGTGACCAGTATACCGATATTGAAGCTTGCAATCCGGGTTCACGGGATATCAAATTGATTGCGAAGCAACCGGAGGATATATTTTTTTAAGAGCTGATAGAATGATGGTCAAACTTCAAATTGCTATCTATGTGAACACCAATAAATTTCGTGACAGACTTGCTCTCAATGAGTTGATCTCCTAGCGAAATTTGTTCAACCTCAGACTCGAATGTCACTAAATTTGTTTTAGAAACATTTAGAGTTAGCATATTAGCTTCACACCAACTTTTAAATTTTTTCAACGTCCACTGAAATAGACTGAGCCAAACTAGCTCGATCTTCGTTATGTCAGAAATAACAACGAAATAACATATGGCCCAAAAGCATGTAAAAACATTGTATTTTATCTAACGGCACTTGATCAAAATGTTTGAAAATGGCGCTTGAAGTTTGCATTGAATTTCGCGATATGATAACGTGATAAGAATGATGCTATCGGTTACCAGTTGAGTGGTAGATCACAAAAACCTACCTGTGCCTTTAATTTGAATCAACTCCTTGGCACAGAGATTTTTTTGCTGCCGTGATTTCGGAAATATTTCCTTCACATGATAACGAGTTGAAGGAATGTGCAAATAAATCGGGATAATGTCCCTTTCGACAATATCCAAACATGCCGCGATTTGAGCTGACCTAACCCAGTAAACACAAATGTAGGTGAATTCGTGAGGCTTTCTAACAACCAAGAGACTCACTGGAACCTCACATTCTTGTCTATTCATGTAACAAACAGAATCAATCGCTTGATACGTACTGTGAGTTTCATTTGGCATCATAAAGTGAATCAAATAATGACCAAAAGGGTCCAGAATAGCAGTCATTGTGATTTTAGTGGGACTCTCATTTCGAGTCACGGTTGTGATGTGTAGCATGAATGTGATGCTCTCCTATATCTTTGGGATCGATCTGTGTTAACTGGGAAGTTAATGGCAGATCATCAATATTTCCGAGAATATTCCGCTCATGTTGAGAGATAATACCCGATGGACCATCGCTTCGATAATATGGTTCATATGATTTAATATTTCGACAGGAACGAATTATGCTCGGAAATATTGAAGAACAGGTTTGAATTGCAGCACGATTTTATATTCGCGAAGGGAAGTAATATCTCCAGAATGTTAGCGAAAAAATCGTTATGCCGATGATTTGACTTAGCCGACGTTCGATCGGGCTTTCCTCCGATGCCCTGGTTCATTTTTAGTCAGCTGACCTAGACCTGCCTGTTGGAGCTTTATTTTCGACCCGATATCTGTTAAAAATTCAAAATTTTATCGGAACGCATGTGTATTCAACTCAGTGGCCACAACGCAAATTACATAAGGTGCCCCTCCCCCTTTCAGTCACGAATCATAAATAGTAAATAAAAATAAAAGAACGAACTGAATGAGCTTTGTTTTCTTTTATTTATTCTATCAAAGCATTGGCTATGATAACTGACTTCCATGGCGATTAACAATGTTGGTAGTCAATACTTGAGAAAGTTTTCTCTCATTTGAACGTTTTTAAGCAGAAAACACATTTAGACACATCAAAAATACAAATTTTAGGAAGTGTTCATTTTTTTTTTCTTGCAGCATTACATCTGATTCATCCTTCACATCAATTTCACTAGAAGGCGTTATATTCCTGACACTTTTGTCACCAGTTTTTAATATTCCGTTCGCTCGTGAAAATGGAATAACAGTGCCTATGCCAGAAAATATTTTCAATTCTCTAAAGTTCCACATCGATTTGCCTTGCATAGTTTTCTCTTATATTCATACACCTTTCGAATGTTTTTATCAATAATTCTGTACAATGAAGCAGTTGACCATCTTTTCCACAAATGATGCATTTTCTCGATGATTTTGTACTCTGCTAGAAGGGAATGTTCAACTTCAAGACATATTATCCAAGATCAGTATCTGAATCGCTAGTTCTTTCCAGCTTTTATATAGAGAAAAATATATGATATGATATGATAAATGTCCAATACATGTCGTTGGCTTACCAATAAGTCACCACTAAGGCACTGAATGCAATGGTCAAAGATTCAATGTTGATGTGTATCACGAAAGCATAATTATCGACGGTCATCTCACGTAGTGACGTATCTCAGTTTTCCTAATTTCACTGCAGAGCAGTTCGAGGATTTTCAACTTCTCAATTAGCTCATAACTCAGAGGGTTGTTCATGAATGATCATTATTTTTTCATTTATCAGTGGATGAACTGGAACTAGTTGTCATGATATGGTGAGATTTCGAAAAAGCATCCCCAAAAACGAAAAAAAAAATAAAATTATGAGATACGTCACTACGTGAGATCATGTTTGTTAATGGAGCCTCAGATACACCCATGGATATCCAGTGAATTCAAATGAATAACAGATCCGAATATTCATTTTCATTGATAAAAACACAGAAATTCATTCCACTTGCACAATCCTCCTTTCAGTACCTTCATATACGTCACCCGAGATATTTTAAATTTCCGCGACAAACCCGATGTGAGATACGTCACTTTCGACATTTCCAACACATCATGAAAATATATCGCACGTACTGACGTAACTCCTATAGTAAGGTCACTTCGTGAGATTCGGTAGTCCAATAATTCGAGATAGGCTGAGTAGTTGATTTTCAATTGCACGAAAACCATTGAGTATTGAGCTACGCCACTTTGTGAGATCATAGAGTACAAGAATATAAATCACTTGACGAAGTATCTCAGATTCCGATTTTTATGAGATACGTCATTACGTGAGATGACCCACGATATGGAACCATGATAGCCGCGGGCATTGCGGGGAGAATAGGGGTACGAATGCGGCGACGCATCGACATTATTCGAAGTATTTTTTTGATAAACGTTGTAGTTACTGAGATAATGCGAGGTATATGAAAAACAATTCAAGGAAAATTCACAAGTTTCAAGTTATAGCCCTTTGAAATATGATTTTCTCATATATCATAATGTAATTAGAGGATTACAAAATTTTATACAATTTGTTCTACTTGTCACAGGAAATCAAAATTCAACAGGGTGGAAGTACTGAAACCCATCAATATTTTCCAGAAATAAAAAAATCCATATTTTTTTATAAAGGACCCCGCACATTTAGTACGTAAAATGGCTTTCGGCAAAATTTTCTGAAAATTTGATATGTTTAAGACATTATCGTCCTTATCACACAGTCCAATTGACAGATCGATCCTATGACCAGTTTTCAAACTACAGGGTGTCAAACATTAGATTTTGTCTGTTTAGAATATTTTGCATCAATTTGAATTATGTGCTCTAAGTCGTGATTATTCTTCAGTAGGAATGGACTCTTCACGTCTAATATCTACCTCATGAATCCGTCTATTCGGTTAGAGGATAATATCACATACAGAGTATTGCGTTCCATCATGACAAGGTAATATTCTTGGGAAAAGACAAATATTGAAAACATAAGAATTTTGATTTTTACTCAATCACTGAAAACTTGAAAACAAACGGCTAGAATCGGCCAATTATGTGACACAGTATGGGTCTTGATCATAAACATGAGGATTCATATGATTACCTCTGATACCATGTCCGGTTGGCCATGGAAAATGAAATGTCTCATGAAATAACCCACCACCAAGCCCCTGATGAGTCAACTCACAACCACCCCAACGCATATCATCTCAATAGTAGCCCCTACTTATTGTGATACCTCATTGAATAGCTTGGTGAAAATACATTCCAGTGGTATTATTATTGATATCTCGAACTGGGTGAACTAACAAAAAATATTTATTACCTATATCATTCTGCTGGGGTGACGTATTAATTTTATAACTTTTGAAAAATAAATCGTTAATATCGACCACCATAGAGACAAATTGCTGAAATAGTTATATTCAGATGATTTGAAACAAGTATTTGTGTACAGTAGATCGGTGTAGCGAGAGAACACGGCAATGAACAGAATGTTTAGTCCAGGTAAGTACCTAAATGATTATGTTTTCACCGATCACGCAATCACAACTTTTTTGAAAATATTTCAATAATCACTAACAACTCGTGACAATAAATATCATAACAATAGTAAGTATATTGTTGTCAAATTCGGTCATTTGACATTTCATGATTTTCGTCATAGCCCACTGGCATTTTCATCAACTCATCCACATTACACCATAAATGATAATCAGTTAATTGATATTGAAAAGACATTTTCCATTCAATAACCACTCATTGAACTATATATAGACAATAATTATTCGAAACCTCTCCAATCAACATAAATCCGCCAAAGATGTTTGGATGATATTCGAAAATTGGCTAATTGGAATATTACCTATACCTAGTCAAATTGTTCAATATAATTTTGATCTTACGAAAACATAATCATTTAGGTACTTACCTGGACTAAACATTCTGTTCATCGCCGTCTTCTCTCGCTACACCGATCTACCGTACACAAATACTTGTTTCAAATCATCTGAATATAACTATTTCAGCAATATGTCTCTATGGTGGTCGATATTAACGATTTATTTTTCAAAAGTTATAAAATTAATACGTCACCCCAGCAGAATGATAAAGGTAATAAATATTTTTTGTTAGTTCACCCAGTTCGAGATATCAATAATAATACCACTGGAATGTATTTTCACCAAGCTATTCAATGAAGTATCACAATAAGTAGGGGCTACTATTGAGATGATATGCGTTGGGGTGGTTGTGACTCATCAGGGGCTTGGTGGTGGTGGGTTATTTTATGAGACATTTCATCTTCCACTTCATATATTATAGAAATGTATCTCATTTTGTACCTGAGTTACATCAATTCTATAAGCTTTCAAATTGTCATCACCCTATATATGGCCAACCGGACATGGTATCAGAGGTAATCATATGAATCCTCATGTTTATGATGAAGACCCATACTGTGTCACATAATTGGCCGATTCTAGCCGTTTGTTTCCAAGTTTTCAGTGATTGAGTAAAAATCAAAATTCTGATGTTTTCAATATTTGTCTTTTCCCAAGAATATTACCTTGTCATGATGGAACGCAATACTCTGTATGTGATATTATCGTCTAACCGAATAGAGGGATTCATGAGGTAGATATTAGATGTGAAGAGTTCATTCCTACTGAAGAATAATCACGACTTAGAGCACATAATTCGAATAGATGCGAAATATTCTAAACAGCCAAAATCGAATGTTTGACACTTTGTAGTTCGAATACTGCGGTCATAGGATCGATCTGTAAATTGGACTGTGTGATAAGGACGATAATGTCTTAAACATATCAAATTTTCAGAAAATTTAGCCGAAAGCCATTTTACGTACTAAATGTGCGGGGCCTTACCCCCTACCCCCCACACACAGGACGATTTTTTGACAAGTGGATCTATGATCTGGAGATGGTAGGTAACAATTCTAGCCATGTCACAGCTTTTTAGCTCCGAATTCCCACCAACTTTTGATCTAAGCGACTTACGATTCGTTTGGCACTCTACTATTAAATTGTCATAATAAACCAAAACCTGTGGAAAAATAATGAACAGACGCCTCGATTCTCTGCGGAAAAGTTAACAAAGTCACAATTTGATTATTACATTCAATATTTACCTCTTGTGGACAAAGGGGCTGCCAATATATACTGGGCGTTGCTTTTGTCTTCAAGAATAAGTCATCCATCAGTTTTTGAGGTACCTCCTCTTTTTTTGGTTTCTTCTTCATGAGAACTGCAAAACGAACAAAGTTAGAACATAACCTAAAAGGAGAACACCTAGGAATCATCCGATCAATTCAATGATTTGATTTTTGATTTGAAGTGAATTTAACTTTCTCAAATAAAAAGAAAGGAAACAGAATATTGTTTTCTATGCAGGTTACCTTGAAATTGAATTTTTTTAATGGGGAAGTTTCTAATATCGGGGTTTTCATCTCACTGAGAAGTTTCTAAGAATTGAATATATATGTATTTTTTTTCTCTTTTTCGTGAGATCAAATTTCCCTTCAGAAAAAAATAAATGGAAGAGGAACGTGGCTCCTTCACCATTTCTATGACGTACTTTTCAAAAAGACACATTCCAGTTATTCGTTTGCCTAGCCACTCGACTCTCAACTTGTCACTATTGACAGGATAGAGAGATTTTGAAGCCAAACAGATATCTAGAGGATCTAACCAAACATTTTCAATGTATCGTGGAATTTTTGGGAGCAAAAGATCGGTGAGATCAAATCACCCTTGTGTCAAACAATCTATTAGAAACCACCCCTTACTTTGGTTTTTCAAATTGCAGCAACAAGTTTTTTTCGGTTCACCTATAATTCAACTACACATCACGATCGATAATTATAATAATAATACGTTCTTTATTGAATTGAATACACATGATATATAATCATTATTACTCAATTCTACTGGCTATCGTTTATCCCTACGTTTTATAAAAAATTATTGAAATCCCCGATTTTACGGACCTCTGAAAACGAGGCGATGATGTTACGTCAAAACCCTAATACTGAAACAAGACCATTCCAGACAGAGATGAATGATACATGATTTCTGACAGTGAATTAGCGCGAGATCACAGTTGAAAGAATTAATATATGAGTTGCCTCAGCCTCCGTCGGGCGTTTGATATTTTCTTTTAACTATGGCGAGATGAGGTTTCTACGTCATAAGAGGGTCCGTTTTCAGAAGGTACTATTATTTATGCCCAAAAATAAAATATTCCAGTTAATTTTTCAATCGAATCATGTCGTCAATCATTATTTATGTATAAAAGGATCATTATAAACATGGTTTGAGTTAAAAGTTCTACTAAGGTGTACACGCCCATTGAATGCCAATAATTCATTATCAGTCCACTCGCCCATTATATGCTACTATTATATGCTCCATCCAAGTAACGGAGTCAATCCAAAATATTCCAATATTATTTTTTTATATCCTTGCTTACCTTCAGGTGTGTAAGACCTACGACTGTGTCTCCTGATCCTTTCTCGGCTCCTGCTTCTGGAATGCCTCCGGCGCGTCTCCTCTCTGCTCCTGTCCCGTCCCGTCTCGTGATGGCGCTTCTCTTCAACCTCCTGTTCCCTGTGCCTGATCTCCAATTTATCCGGCTCCTGAAACTACACATTTGTACAGGCTGTCCCATTTCCATTTTCCTCACGAGATATCTCGCTTCTTTTTGAATATAGAGATTTGCGGTTCTCGCGAACGTTGTGTATTTTTTTGTGAAGATACTGTCTACACGACCGCCGCGGCGGTTGGATACTGATTCATAAACGACCGCCGCGGCGGTTGGATACCATATTCCTACTAAACATATACGGATCACGTCATATGTTTTCCATGAAAAGTGAAGCCAGTTTTGAGAAAACAAATGACAGGCTGCGGGTACAAACAGATATTTGCGCATGCGTGGGTTTTGTCAAAATGAAGGACGAATCTCGATGGCATTTAAATTTTGCAGGTTATGTTGTTTCGTCGAAAGTTGAAATTGGTGAGTTGTTGTTGTTGAAGTTTCTGGCCGATGCCTCTGAAAATTATATTCCTTTGCGAAAGTTTTTCCGATAGCTGGCAAGGTACGTCAGAGCAATGGGAAAAATAATGAGAGCCCCCATTTGATTCAATGATAATTCAATCATTTTTATTTCGAAATTTCACGGATTAGAGTGCTTTTGAAAATTGGCCGATGGTAGAAGGTGGACAGGTCCTATACAAAGCTATTTTTCAGATGACACATGCGCTATCATACAGTTTTGCTGGTAGACTGTCATTTATTTGATTTTTTGGCGTCACTTGGAGATCCTTGTTATCTATATAGGTAGGTTTATTAGGTATATGTTGGATACTGATTCATAAACGAGCGCCGCGGAATTAGTGTGCTTTTGAAAATCTGCCGATGATAGAAGGTGAACAGGTCCAACACAAAGCAATTTTTTTCTACAAACGTCAAAAAATGACAAGGTTCGCGCTTCGATAACAAATTGCGAAGTGACACTTTTTTTCAGTTTCCTACGTTACCATGATACCTTGCACATAACAATGCGCGAAGTAAAACAGTGCGCGAAGTACCTACTTCGCGCATTGTTATGTAAAATATATGAGATATTTTTAATCCAACTTAATGGTCCTCAATCGAGCAAACATCCACGAAATCATTTATTTCTGAATGTTCAACCATAACTTTGTTTTATATCTTGGAGCGCACGAAAGGAAATTCTTATGTTCGTGGAACATCGTGCGTACCTAGGGAGGATAGGGGGAGGCTCTTCAAGCCAGTTCAACACTATTTTTTATATCAAGCTAAGCATATTTTCACATTAGAACTATATTTTTTGATGTTTGTAGACAAAATGTTGTTTGCAACTCGAGCGCGAAATACTTTGGTCATCTCGACTATTTCTTTAACTCGGCAGCGCCTCGTTAAAAAAATCAGATCTCGATCACCAAAGTAGCATTTCGCGCTCTAGATACAAAAATAACTATTTAGATGACACATGCGCTATCATACAGTTTTGGTCGTGGACTGTCATTTATTTCATTTTTTGGCTTCACTTGGAGATCCTTGATATCTATATTGGTTTATTAGGTATATGTTGGATACTGATTCATAAACAACCGCCGCGACGATATTTCTTCCTTATTCATAGAGAGTACTTCCGAGCAAAGCGATAGCTCAGTTGACAGTGTACATGACCACCACAGCGGTGACTCGGGTCCAACCCCTGCGAGGCCTAACTTTTTTTAAACTTTTTTTCACAAATAATTTTTCGAAAAATATACTTCTCAAGAGAAAGGTTTGTTTAGGCGAGTTAGGTTAGTTTGTTTGAAAAAAGTAGTCTCCTTTTTCATGCAGAAACAATATTTTCCTTCCTCGTTTCACGGCGGTCTTCTATATAAAAATAGGTAACCGCCGGTGGTTGTTTATGTATCAGTATCCTCTTTATAATATTAGAACAATGAACTTAATATAAACACCTGGAAGGGAGACGGCCGTTCTCTCGAATGGCACAAAGTGTGTCAGGGGCAGCTGCAACAAAGATAGCTTGCTTTACGGTAACCTGTCTCTTTCCTACTCGTGTTGTTTAATGGAGGATTGGTGTTTACGTTTTCTTTCATCTTATAATTAAAGTACTTTAGATTTTTTTCTCTCATCTAAACAGGTAAGAAAGTGAAGACATAAGTTCATTGTCTTTGGTTATGTGAAATATCTCTTCACTTGGCTTGTTTTGTTTTTTCAAAAGGACTAAACTTGTTGGTGTGAACTGATTGTTGAGAAGGTTTGTGATTTCATATTGATAAACGATGGAGATTTATTGTGACAAAGACAAAGGGAAATTGTCATTCCATGGGTTAGTTGAATATAGTTCAGATTTCTGGAGAATACAGTTCTTGAAATATTTAAAGTGTAGGATGTATCACTATAGTAGAATGACGAATTTTGAGTTACATGGGAAAAGTGCTCCATTTCGACAAAAAATGTCAAAACTTGTTTTATTCAAGAACTGTTAGATTTTATGTATCGAAAAGTACTGTAAAAGTAGTATACAGGATGAGTGGAACACATGTGTCAGCTATAATTCAAGGTGTCACTGATTATTGATCGAATTTATTTTTATAATTTCTAATAGAAATATGTTTGTAGGCAGCGACTTAATGGAAAAATAGGAACATATAGAAATTATGCTCAAAATGGACCTTAGGTACTCAATAATAGGTAGTAGGTACTCCTATGTTTGTTGTGGTCCGACTACGGTGGTCCAAACCTGCCGCTGACGGCTGAACGTAGCCCAGAGGTGTTTACAATGAGTCCATTGTATTAGTATAGATTAGTAATGAAACACCCTGTAGAAAAATATTATTCTTCAATCACATACCCTATTTTCTTTTTCTGGTAATATCTCAGGCACGACGGGAACTGCCGGTACAGGGTTTCTTGCTTTCTGCATGTCCTCCTCTGTAGCAAAATCGATGACCAGCTGCTTTCCATTGCCGATTGGCCAGCTAACTCCATGGAGAGCATTTCTGGTGGCCTCCGCTTCTCTGCAATGATTTCGACAATCTTGACGTGGAATCGACATGTCAACAGATTTCTGCTGCATTTTTTCGTTGTCGTTTTAAGGAACGCAAGATGGAATCATTCCCAGAAAAAAGATCTCAAAAAGCGAGTACGTCTCCTATATAGTAACTGAGTGAGCAGCTTACAGGCTTATACTTGTCTACTTATAATATAATAATAAAAAATAGTGGTAGTGTACCTATTGATTTTCTAATATCTTGATAAATTCAATGTAATTTTGTATTAGTTGAATGTAAAAAATTCAATACCAGCTCAGTAGCCCATTGAAAACATAAATGAAAAAAAAAACAGTTCACTCGCTCAGTTTGAAATTGAATTGAGTAACTATGATTGGACAAATAAACAAGCGTCTAGCCATACCGACGAATCTTTGAAATCTCAATGTCATAAGACGGTTACAGGAATGTTATAAGGTAATATAAAAATGACATTTTTGAAAATGAAATTTTATATATTACCAATTAAAAAACAGTTGATTTTGGATTTCCATTGTGGTACATTATAAATTTTTTCAATTTGTGTGTGTACCAATAGTTTGTTCACATAACAGCTAGTGTTTTTACAATTTTATATATGAAATACAATGAATTTCAGTTCAAGTTCTTAGTCTAAATAAAAAAGAGAAAAGAAAAAGAGTTGACTTTCATAGTGATTTACAAAGATATGATGAACAGTGCAATAGGTGAATGATAAATAGTGACATGACCAGATGACACAAGTGGTATGGAACTTGTGTGTTTTCAATGCCTTAGCATACAGAATAATATGCCATTTGTTAATTACATGTTATATATTATATGTTATATTATTCAAGACTATCCATTGGTGAACCTTTTTTTTACATTTTTATATGGTTTACTTTTGATTTCTACTGGTAACAGGTTGATTAGTTTTGGACCAATATAGGAGATATGTTTTTGGGTAGCTGAGAATCTATTAATTGAAATTGTCACATTTTTATTCTGTGCTGCTCTAGTGGAATAGTGTGAAATTATTTTTTTACATTGAGTATTTTTCAACAATAGTTTCTTTTACGAATAACTGCTTAATTGCCAGGACTTCCGCTTCATAGACTAGTTTTTCTGAAGGAAATGTTCTTTCTTTCCCAAGCATGATTTCTAATAGATATTTTGGAGATATACATAGTGGTGACAGTATTGTTGGATATGCGGCTCTCCAAATAATAATTCCATAGTTTAGAATAGACGCTGCAAGTGCTAAATAAACTACTTTGAGAGTTTTCAAAGGAAAAATGTCTTTTATTTGATAACATTTACATATGAGTTTTCCTATCTTGATGTTCTCATCTATGTATATACCAAGGTATTTAGTGCTTTCCTGTCTTTTTATTAATGAATTGCAATTACAGTAATCATCAATCTGGCATGCATTCTCATGGATTATTAAAGTGTTTTTTATTGGCGTTAAAAATGTGGTCAGACTATTTACATATATGGAAAACAAAATCGGGCCTAGAACAGTCCCTTGTGCCACACCAAACTCCACTGGAAGTGGGTTGCTCATAGTATTTCCAATTTTTACCTTTTGTGTACGGCCTGTTAGATATGATCTAAATAAGTCGTTTTTCAATCCTCTGATTCCATTTTGCTCTAATTCTTCCCATAGAGTTTGGTGTGACAGTGCCAAAGGCTTTGGCAAGGTCCAAAAAGATGCCTAGTCATCTTCTACCTTGCTCAAAGCACTTGGTGACAATAGTTATTTGTTTAACTAGGCAGCAAAGTAGTAGATTGACTGCCGAGGCTGAATTCATAGCCGAGCGTAGCGAGGCTAGGAATCCAGCTAAGGCAGTCAATCTACTTTGCTGCCGAGTTGAACATATAATTTTTTCTTCGATTGTTCATAATGATATAGGAGTATATTGTAATTGCAAATTATTACAATTCCCATAATCTCTTTATTTTTCCTGTAGTGTTCAATTAAAATGAAATTTGATAGAAATCGCAGTTGTCCATGATAATTATAGTTTGACAATTCATGAAAATTCTGACAGTTGTGCGAAAAAATATCGGTATATTTAAATTATTATACAATGGATCGTGATAGCGACCTGGAAGTACTTACACCTCCAGAAATAAGGGGTGGAAAAAAATATAGAGTTGAATTTGTTGCCGGAGAAGTCTCGAATGAAATATGAAGGAAATTATAAACGATTTATGGATTATTAATTTTGCTGATACATATCAATCAGCAAAGTAACCACTTTGCTGCCTAGGCAGCAAAGTACCCATTTTGCTGCCTAGGCAGGAAAAGTAATACTTTGCTGATTGATATGTGTCAGCAAAATCAATATTTGCTGCCATTCGGAGAAAAAGTCTGTTACCCTGCAGATTGCGTCTTCCGTACAGGTGTTTTTCTTGAATCCAAATTGATTTATAATAGTTATGTTTGTTCAAATACTCATTGAGTGTTTGTTTTATACATTTCTCAACTATATTTCCAATATTGCTGATTAAAGTTATAGGTCTGTAGTTGGAGGAAGGAACATATCGTTTCTGCCTCACTCAGTCAAAATGAACCTTTTTTCCTGAAACCTATATTTTTTGAGAAATTACTCGCTGGGGTTGAACCCGAACCACCGCCGTGGAAGACAAATGCACAGTCCACTGAGCTGTCACATTATTCGAAAGTTCTCACTATGAAGAAAGAAGAAATATTGTGTGTTGTTGGTGACGTACTTGCCCTCGATATTTCAAAGATTCGCTGGTATAGCTAGACGCTTGTGATAAATAATGAAGGGATAATAAAGACTCACTCTTCAGATTCATAACGAGCATAACATTTTGACTTGATCCTATCCGTCCAGAATCCATCTTCTTGAATCTTGCCGGTCCTCTCCAACAGCTCCTTCAACTGTTTCACAGTGAACGGTCTCACCAAGTTGCTGATGAACAATATCTCGGATTTCGGATTTTTCGCCGGACTTGCCGGAGGCCTCATCTTGCTGGCCGTATCGTCAACAATGCTGATCTTCCTGTTCAGAGCGATTATGTTGGGGTTGGGGTCGATTTTAGGCTCCTCCACCGATTCCGATTCGGAGTTATGCTTCTCGGATTCGTCCTCAGACTTCTCCAAAGACAGCTTCCGCTTGACGATCTCGCTGCTCTCCGATTTGATGCGCTCCCTGGGAGCCGTTTTCAGTTTGATTTCAGATTCCTTGAGAAACTCAACGCTAGGGCAAACGGTTTTTATGGAATCGACGTCGATTTTGTACATGGTTGCCGATAATTTGTTCAGCCATTCGCTCCTACCCCACGGCTGTTTGCCGGATCTTTTGGCAGTTTCGGTCCCCTGACTTTCAAGAGATACATTCCTGTTCAACTTTACCCTCTTCAATGGCTTATTTGCTACGTCTGGAAGGAAAATACAGTGATGTTGGAAAACTTGCACCATGTAATCAATGACACCAAAGTAACCACATTTTCAAAGGTTATTTATCTATTAATTGTGGGACGCAAACAGGACTTGCCCAAAGAAATGCATCCTCTGAGTGGTTATACAGGGTGAGTCATGAGGAACTGTGCATACTCCAACCACGAATAGAGGCCCTTGAGGGTGATGTCTAATGACCATCAGAAAGTCTCTTCTTCTCTTCTTTACCAATATTGTTATGTCCGCACCTATATACACTCATTCATCAAACTCATCCATTCTACATATAACATATTTTGCTAGCGTACCTTTATATACAAGAGATTGTAACGCCACTGGTAATGGTACCGAGCCGGGAGAACGCAAAAATGCTCCCGAAAAATCAGTCGATATCAGCATATCAATAAAAACATAATAACATATCAGACAGGAGCTGTTACAGGGTGTTTTATAATTCATCATGTTCCTCTTGAGATACCTCGAAAAATAATTTATCGTCATGGAGAAAGAATACAATATCTATGTTGAAATTTTTGGAGAATCGAAAAATTGTGATAGAATTGCAATAGAATTCGAGAGGGGTTAACAAGTTACTTGCCCCTGTCATGCGCCTCTGGTAGTAGCCAGAAACGTTCACTTAATATTATTTAGTAGGGTGTATAGTACTTACAGTCCCCACGAAATATGACAATAATACATCTAATAGTTTTAGAGTACTGAGCACAAATGATTTTCAAATTTTAAAATAAAACACCCTGTAACTCAGACAGGAGACACATTTTATCTAGGTGATTTGGGTTAAATCATCATATTTTGAGTTCAAAATTCCATAGTTGAAATATTTCCAATTAGTAATGAATCACCCTGTATAAGTTGCATTGAAATAATGGTGTTATCATGTATTATTTTCCTGTTTTTTTGTGTTATGATCATGTAATGTTCTCAGTTCTGGAATTTTCATATTATGATAATGCATTGTCCTGGGTTTTTCATGTTATGAACTATGGTGAATATTGATAATTATTTAAAACATGTATAGGGAGGGAAACATGGTTTGAGACAGTGAATTAGTTTGGGTAATTACTACAAAATATTCAATTTGAATTTTTCACTGGAACAGTTCCATTTTCTCAACTCACAACTTCAATGCAGATTTTTTCAAGTTTTTTTATAAACTTTATGAATACATAAAATTCTTATTGTTGAAAACTTGACTCAATCACTTGACATTTATAATGAAATAATGTCAATAATAGATACTATTTCTAGGTCTCATCAAGATTTTCCAGAACAGTACTGCCCAGTACTTTTTATCCTTCTGATTTCACAGAAATTTACTAGCAAGCAACCCTGTTAGAGGCTAACAGTTTACTGTTGACCACTGGTGCAGAAATGGTGATGGAGTGTCAGTATTGATGAGAGAGTGAATTAGTTTGGGTTATTACTACAAAGTCCCATCTCACAACTTCATACATAAAATTCCCATTGTTGAAAACTTGCCTCATTCACTTGAAATTTGTAATGAAATGATGTCAATAATAAATACTATTTTCTATTACTCATCAAAATTTTCCTGAACAGTTCTGCCCAGTATATTCTATCCTACTAATTTCACTGAAATTTACTGGCAACTGTTAGTGGGTCAAGGCAAAGAATCCTGTTAGAGGCTAAAAGTTTACTGTTGACCAGTGGTGCAGAAATGATGGAGTGTCAGTGTTGATGAAATATTAGGTTAAGTATGAGTGGATAGAAATTATATATTATTTTCAAATACTTTGGGAAAATATGAATCCACAAGATGGTTTGTTGTTCCCACTTTTGATATCAAATATTTCACAGATATGCTTCATTTCTTCATTACTGGAACTAGAGGTACTAGAGCTTGGTGTTTCTGATGATACTAACAAATCATAATCTTTATTAATCACTCCATTGATAATTTCAACCAGAGTAAAGAACATATTATTAGGAATGATGAAAATAAAAACTAACAAAACAAGACATCATTAATCAAGAGATCATAGGTTATGGTTATGTTTTGCTGCCAGTACTGCCAAAATCATTACAAAATGAAATAAAAATTCAAAGCTACTACTGCTGTTTAGTGTTCCTAAATTGCTCACTGTAGCCAGTAATGTCAGCAATATTGGAACATGGCCAAAAGATGAAGGAGAGTCTTAAATTACATACAAATTTTCATAGAACTGTATCTATTTTTTTGATATATGCAAAACAAACTTACCTTCATGGTTATTGTGTTCTTCAGATTGACTGCTTAGTCTTTTTTTATCTTCATGAGCTGTCTCATCAACAGAGGATCTGCTTCCCACATCTTTGTGAACTTGTTCCTCTGATTGGCTGCTTAGTCTTCTTTTATCTTTGAGAGTTGTCTCATTCAATGAAGATCTTCTGACTGGATCATGGTGATTTTGTTCCTCAGATTGACTGCTAAGTCTTCTCTCATTTCCATGAGTTGTCACATTCAATGAAGATCTCCTTACTGGATCAGTAGATTTCAGTACATTATCACTAGCTGGAATATCATCAATAGTTTGACGCTTTAGAGTAATTCTCTTGCTTGTTTTATCTTTAATCACACTTCTTTCTTCACTAGATGATACCTGATTTTTACTATGTTCATCCTGATTTTGTGGAGGTAACCTCTTCAATGTTATACGTTTTCTACTGCCTTTCTCTAATATTCCTTCATGTTCAACAGTACCTGGTTTATCCTCTGAAGTTGCATTTTTGTCCATTGTTGTATTAGGCAATGCAGGTGTAGTGGATCTCTCTTCAATCTCAGCATCTTCTCTGTTTTCTTTACTTTCAATTACTTCCTCTGTCTTGCTAACAGTGGTATTATCTACATATTCACTCTCAAAAGTATCTAATTCCATCTTTTGTTGTTCTTTCTCAATTTGCATTTCAGTGTCCCTGTGTTCAATAATTTCTGGCTTTTGTGGATCCTTCTGAGTAGAATCAACTGAGTTTTGAGTACATTCATTATCATTCGGGGGTGACTCAGATATATCCTGTACATTATCATTTTCAGTTTTAGGCCCAATTTCATTTCTTGAGTGATCAAATTTTGTTTTATTTTTACCTTTGGACTTACCTTTCACTTCCTGATTTATTTCCTTATCTTCCTTGATATCACATTCCTGTTGGGATTCTGTAATATTCTTACTTTCCAGCAGTTTGCTATTTGAATCACTCACTGGACTTGGCATATTAACAATATCCACAGTGGACCTATCTGGAGAAATTTGTTCATCAACTGTTCCTACCAATTCTACCCCATCATTTTGAGAGTTCATAGGCGTTTTATCTTCTACTTCATTTTTAGACATTGAAGGAGATCTTTTATGGCGTCTTGATGATCGGGTGTTGCTACTATTTTCCGAAGTCTTATGTGGAGAATCTGTTTCAGATTTGTCCACAGATTTATTTAGATATCTGCTACTTTTCCGCCGCATCTACAATAATAAATAAACATGATCAGGTAAAAGTGCACTTATCATGCGATGGGGTTTTTTTCGAAAATTTTTTTTGGTACTTACGTATTTTCGTCTGAAAAACACGAATTTCATAATGAAAATGTGAACAAACCACTATTTATCGAGATATTTCAAGAAAAAGTTCGAAATTTTGCCTTCTTTTCCCCCTTGTGTTGGATGCATTTACAGGTACTTGATCTTATTATTTTGTCATTGGACACTTTATATACTCATGATGTACTTCACTGACACATTTTAAGATAAAAAATTCAACAGGAAATATGATTTTTATGGCGAGTTTTTCCTATTTAGTGAGCAAGCATACCAGATGACGGCCATTTAATCCATATGCAATCCAAATAAGAGATGTCAAATGTCAATAGATTGCTTTGGAATGACATTACACACGCCATTATTTCAAATGATATTCTTCCTTCTTTTCACTAAACATGGATAAATCACAAGAAAATCATATTTCTAGTTGACTCATATAATAAAAAAAATGTGTCCAACATTGTGTGATATATATAAATTGTCCAATGATGGAAAAAGAAGGGCAACTAGTTCTAAATGTGATCCAGAAGACAGGCGGAAAAGATGGTGAAATTTGTAACTTTATAGTGAAATATCTTAATAAATAATGGTTTGTTCACATTTTCATTATGAAATTCGTGTTTTTCAGACGAAAATACGTAAGTACCAAAAAAAATTTTCAAAAAAAACCCCATCGCATGATAAGTGCACTTTTACCCATGATCAAGTTCATAACTTGCGTCCCAAAGTAGCTGTACAATACATGACGCCATGTTCTCTACCTACCAGCTAGAAAACATTCAACCCGAAAAACTATTCAGCATACAGATATATCGCATATCAAATGCTTTTACTTACTTTGCTTCTTTTATAGTACAAATTACAGAATTTGTCAATATTCAAACAATTTTCTTATTATTTGTTCTAATCAAGAAATACGTCCATCATCCAACATCCAACCTAAAATTTGTAATTTTTTTTTGTCATGAATCAAGACAGTATCGTCCAACTCGTCCAAGATGCATGTGGCTGCTGACAGTGCTGACTAGTGACTGCTGACAGTGCTGTGAGGCCTTTGAGTATCTCAGTATGTCAGTATGATCTAAGGGTGGGTGTTTATATTGTGTTCATTGGCGTGGACACAGTATATTATCCATATATAAATAAATAATAATAAACTGTGGCGTGGAGAAGAGACCCTAGTTTAGTATACAGGGTGATCTAGAAGTACTTTGACAAATTTCAGTAGGTGATTCCTCACCAAAATTCCTCACAACTAATATGAATTGTCCTAATAAGCATAGGTATAATTATAATTCATTCACATTTCCAGTTAAGAGTTGGAGAATTCAGGTGAAGGTGGTGAGGAGGCGTCATAATGGGTCATGATTGCCCATTTTTGGATTCCAAAATCATTTACTTTACCGCCTACCACAGTTCTCATACTTCCACATCCACTCCATTCATTTTTGATTTGGATGTTCCCACATTACACCTGCAATTTTTCACATTCAGCATTTGTAAACAAAATATTACAGTTTAACTTCAACCAGCACCTCTACCAATTAATAACTATGAAGTTTGGAAACCCTAGGTAGGGGATGTTTTGGTGTACCCAAACGGAAATGACGGGTAACGTGAATGAAATATCCCTTATATGTCCAGGAATACCCCTTCGTTTTCCAAGATCCAGAAGGTTTATTCTCTATCGAAATAGGTAAACATATACAGGGTCGTGTCCCATTAAAATAAGAAAATATGGGCCATTTCCGGTCAAACCAGAAGTGATAGAGAACAATTGAATATGTCAAATAATGCATATTTATGAACTTTACCACATTATACTCAGACACCGAATTTAATTTTGTTCATTTGTAGGAACAAAAATGTTATATATATATACATATATACACGCTACCTGGTATAGACCGCTAATGACGTAAGAATCAGAGCATGGAAATCTATATGCCACTCACAAGATCTAATTGAAAAAAGGAATAGTCTTTCAAAAGAACGCATATTATGTTATAGTTATCAACGTTACAAGCTCGCGATATTAATAGCAAATAACGGATCATGTCGAATATTATTTGCACATCGGCCGTGTGTCGTTCAAGACTTTTCGTAATCCCGCCTAGAGATTACATTTTGATTCCAAGAACAAAAAATACCACGTACATTGTAATTCTACAGAAAAATCCCAACATCCTCTATTATTGTTTTGGAACAGTTAGAGGCCGCTATTGGCCGTTAAAACATCTTAACGGACGGAGGCTGTTAACATTAACTTTTCAAAGCCCATCTGAATACCGTTAAATCGAAATAACAGCATGGGATTACTTACGAAAACTGGAAAAATTGGAAAAATGATGCTAACCAAGTTGCAAACACTCATTTCTCATAATTCAGTCATAATGAAGCCAACACCCCTCTGCACCCCGGTTTCGAGATGCTTGCCATTCACTTGTCAATAATTAGAATCCAAATAGCTGGCAACCTTGTTGGATGAATTTCAATGTCAAAGTTGAGATGTCAAAGTCAATATTGTCAATAACGTCAAATATGGTCGAATGTCGAATTGGTTGATGTTGTCTGTTGTCAGTGTTGTCTGTAGTTTGCGGTTTATGAATAATAAAATAATAATTTATATTTTCAAAATTCACAAATAAATGTTGATTCTTTTCTTACATTTAACCGGTCAAGTTCTGTCCATATTTTATATTAGATAAACCTTATTTTGACAATTCGAAAAGATTGGAGAGATCCCTGATCAACATTCAAAATAACTATCCTATATATTCTGGTGACGTTTATCATTCGGCAACGTGTATAAAATTCAAATAAAAGAGATATGAATAGATGATACAAAGCATAATCAAAAATGTGGAATTTATTGGTATTGTCTTTCTGTTTTCTGAGCGCGAATTCATTTTACCTGCCTGGATTGGCACCAGTGAATTTTTGCAAAAAGGAAGATGAATCAGATACTTGTAAGGTATGTATTTAATCATTTATGGTACTAATAAATTCACATTCATCCTCACATTTTTTCAGTCCGACGTACAATTATTTGTCAACAGATTAAATACTGAAGAATCAGTTATACCCTATGAATACAATCACTTTGACTTCTGTCTGCCCCAAGAAGATTTGAAATCACCTGTTGAAAATTTGGGGCAAGTTGTATTCGGAGAAAGAATCAGACCTTCTCCTTACAAGATTGAATTCATGAAAAATGAGACTTGTCAACATGCTTGTCAAAAGAAATATTCTGGTGATGATAACCTCTCCAATTTATTACTCAGCAAACTGAGAAAAGGCATTGGCCTGAATTATCAACATCACTGGATTGTAGATAATATGCCTGTCACTACATGTTATGACACAGAAGATAATGGGCAGTATTGTACCACTGGTTTTCAGATGGGCTGTTATTCTAGGAATGGGCGTCAAAATTGTGGTCAGTTTGAAAATCAAGTTTTCAGTAAAGATAATACGTACTACATTCACAACCATGTGAATTTAACAATCACATACCATTCTGGTGCAAAGGAGGAATGGGGAAGCCAGTTCCATGAAAATGGTGGGAGAATCATTTCTGTGAAAGTTATTCCTAGAAGTATTGATTATAAGGGGTGAGTATCAGATAGCAATCTAATTTTTGTATTATCACTTTCATCAACAGAATTGTTAATGTATTTGTTATGGAGCTCTGCACCACAATTCTGTATGTATACTGTATACCAATTTTTTGTCACTAATGTAAGTAAGTAATTTACTCAGTAATTTATAGTGAGGATGTTGGTGAGGACCAAAAATTATAGCTTATATATATTTTTATATATTTCTGTACTACCTCAACTGAGATCAACAAAAATTCTCAGCACAGCTCAGTAGCTCAGATTTCCTTCTTTTCACCCTTATTGTGCTTGCTATTTATGTGATGTGCTTTTGTTGATCTGTCAGTCACTGTATGCAAAAGCATATTAATTATAATAAGTTTAGAATTTCAAAATTCATGATAGGACAGAGCACACAATCCAATAGATCTACTGATAATTATCATAAAGTAATCCCTGATGGAAATCATCAGAATGTTATTATGGAGCAGAATACAGTTTCCATACAAAATAAGGGAGGTTGACAACCAGTAACATGAAGTACTGTCATTGAGAGCATATAAATAAGTACTTAGTAGGCATTGCAGTTTTTTCCTCATTATCACAAATTAGATTTTATTATATGTATGGGGTGTATTCACTACAAGAAAAGTTGTATCCCTCATATTCATGGATTCAACCATTCTCTGTTAGAACTATTAATCCTGACCAAAATTAATTCATTGTGACTCAAGCTTTGCATTGATCTGAGCTGATAATATGGTCAGCAACTTTACCTGCACAGATATAATTTTGAATACATTTGATTCATTCCTGAAGCCAATTGATATCATGGTCAAATCTACTTCAGTATATTGATTTTATCTAAGATAATCATTATTCTGAGGATTTCCAAATCATCTATGGAAATTGTTTTATGCCCTAATGCTGCATTAATTTGCATTGATCTCTTGCATTTTAAAATTACTCCACAGTTATGTGATGGAAATCCATAGTAACTGTAAAACTTCACAAATGATAAGATTTCCTCAAAATTTAGTAACACAGTAGCTTCTTCAGGTGAAATACAATTTATTATACATTATACCAGTGTGTCACTTGAAGGAGCTACTGTGTAAGGAAAACATGTTGTGTTATTGAGAATTTTGTGAAAATATTATTGTTTGTGATGCGTTTTATGATTCAAAATTACTAAATGAACTCATTGATTTTGGAATAAATGAATTTCAAAGAATTCATTATTGGCTGATGCTATTTCTCAGGAGAGATTGGAAACCTGTGAATTAAAAATCTACAGGAAATCATGTCTAACTTTCAATCAAAATCAAATCAATGTAGGGAGTAAGGATGTTTTCCTGTAGTTTTGAATGTTATCACAACGCCATCTAATGACCTTGGCAACGGCAAATAGGATTTTTCAGTGAAATATGAGGTTATACAGAAGCAACAGCGAATCTTTTAAAAATCGAGGTCAAGTGACGTCATGCCAAACACATGACATTTCTTCACTCTACTCTATATATTGAGAAACTACATTACTATGAGTAAAGTGATAGCTTAGTGGTCTGGGTATCTGACTTTTACGTTGGTGACTTGGGTTCAATCCCTGCGAGACATAATTCTTTTTTTCACTCAATTAATGTTTCAAAAACATAAAAATAATTAGTGTCATCAGTACCAGGTCTTAAATCATCATTATTTGATTTTGAGACGTTATGAAGTACACCAATATAAACCTGAAACCATAATGATACTTCACAATAACTCATTCCATTTCAATATCCTAATTGTCATGGACTAATAGTAGATGTGGCAAAGAGGCTAAATAGGGATTTACTGGAATCGTGAGGCCCTATTAGACCATAAAGATAAGATGGTGAAAAAAATATGCCCTTTTACTGGTGGGGAAAGCATGAACAGGTTTTCAAAAATGTAAAAAAAAAACAATCACAAAGAGATACTCCAGCTTGTCAGATATTAAGTGTATTTGACCCACGTGTTTCTGATAACCGAAAAATATTAATCTGCTGGTTTGCATGGTGGGGATGACCCCTCAAGTAGCCCCTATTCAAAATACTGACGATTTGGACGCGACCAAAAGTCATGACCAACTTTTGAAAATGGAAAAAAAGTGACCTTCAAATACTCCAGCGCGTCAGATTATCATACAGACGCTTCATCTTGATGTTCTTGTCCTATTGACCCATAATCTGACAATTATGTAGAGGAATTTTCCCTAATCTGACGGTTGGATTTTTTCACGAATGTAATAAATAAATTTCAATATACACACAATCTGTCAGTTTCTTGTATCAGGACTTCAACAGCTCAAAGAATTCATAATTTCAAGATAATAAGTTCATGTAGAAATACCCATCCCTATAATTTATGCATTTGTGAAATTCGGTACAGTTATAATATGAAACCATTTTGGATTTGATCACATCACAATCCAATATAGCGGACTTCCGGTTTTTCTGCAAATGCCAGCAACTTCGTTTTTTCAAATGAAACAAATGTATATTTTTACACATCCAAGTTCAACAGGTAGAAACAAGTGCAATCTTCATGTCAAATGTCAGTTTTTCGGACATGCGCATGCGAATTCGGTCCTGACGGGAGTCCTAGGTTTCGCATTTGGACGTTGGGTAACGAAGATCTGTGCTGAGATATCTGTGCTATACAATCAACTCGATATTAACACATGGAAGGGAGACTGCCGTTCTCTCGAATAGCACAAAGTGTGTCATGGGCATCTGCAACAAAGATAGCTTGTGTTACGGTAACCTGTCTCTTTGACACATGGCGGATTGGTGTATACATTTTCTTTTATCCAATAATTGTAATACTTGAGATCTTTTTCTTTACCTAAACAGCCAAAAAATTGAAGACAGAACTTCATTGTTTTTTGTTATGTGAAATAAACGTGAAATATCGCTAAATTTGGCGTGTGTTGTTTCTTCAAAATGATTTAATTTGTTGTTGTGAATTGATTGTTGTTGGGAAGGTTTGTGATTTCGAATTAATAAACATTAGTTATCTATATTGTGTTGCCTTTGGATGCAAAACAAGCAAGATAAACCTAAATTGAGCACTTTTCTACCCTGAAGGAGAGAGAAGAAAGTTCTCGCCTCTTTCATCTTTCTCTTCAGTGCTACCAACGTGGCCACATTGAAATATAAAGAGATCCGATAAATCTTTCCTTGTCTAACGTCTACTCTGCGCCACTGAACTATTTTAGATGTAATAATGATGTGACATGTCTATGTCATAAATGTCATTGAATGATAACCTTTCGAATTTTTTGAAAGAAATTTCGAATTATTCATCAATGAAACAAAAACAAATATTCAGTATTTGATTTACATGGGTTTTAAATTGTGGGATTTATTGAAATGTTGGTTTTTTGATAAGGAAAATTGTTTGAACCTGTTGTGTTTTCATTGTATCTGAAAAGTACGCCTTTCACTATACATGTTTGATTTATTTTAATTATAATCAAATATCAAGTTAGCCTGTGTTTACTCTTATTATTTTTGTATATTTTTATTGTACATACGTCTCAACCAGTGTTTTGATATGTTATTAATTTCAGGAGATTAATCTCCTATTCCAAAATTCTATTCATATACCGTTTATATGTATACTATATATAGGGTGAGTCAGAATAAGACCGACATATTTCTTTTAAAAAAAATGGGGAGGTGGTTGTCACGTTGAAGGAGGTGAAGAGGGTTTTTTTTTCTATGACACAGAGTGTCTTTCCAAAAACATAAATTGACTTGTTTCGGGGTTTTTCTTGAAAATGACTAATACTAATAATGCTTTTTTACTTTCTGTCACCCCCCGCGCCACGAATTACCCCCCTCTTGGAAAAAAGCTGTAATTGTTTTTCATTCCCTTAATTTTTATAGAATACACTTTTTTTTTAATAGGTACTAAAGCTATTACATTTTTTGTTTTCCATTGTCCAGGAATCCATGTTCACCAGAAGCGAACGAGCTTTTGAGACTACCATCCACAAATCTCAAATCAGGAGAAACTTTTCAAATAGATTACACGTACTCCATCAACTTTGTACAGAATAATCATGTGAAATGGTCATCTAGATGGGATTACATTCTGGAATCCATGCCGCACACCAATATTCAGTGGTTCAGTATATTGAACTCTTTGGTGATAGTGCTCTTCTTATCTGGTATGGTAGCCATGATTCTCTTGAGAACATTGCATAAGGATATAGCCAGGTATAATCAAATCGATAATGGCGAAGATGCACAGGTAAGCAGAAATCTAATAAACTATTGATCAAATTTGTAAAAATTTGTATATCGCTACTTCAAAGTTGGGAAACAACTCCCCAGAAGTCGAAACTTGTGCGGGGTTAGGAAGAGCGGGACCTACAGCTTATAGTGGAATCCGAACCACTTCTAGGGCATCGAGGTACTGCCAGGATAACAACCATGAATCACACATTTTAAAGAAAAATGCTCAGCCGTTAGCCGGATTCGAACCGACAGTACCTCTGCATCGTGAACGGCTATCTAGCGAATTTCAGCGCATAGACAAACTCGGCCACGGAGCCCATAAATAAACTTGAATTTATTATGTAGTGACAATTCAGAATCGATAACTTCAAACATTTCATTTTATTCTGTCATACTATGCTCTTTCAGTAAGTGAACATATTTTCACACATGTTTCAATGTTAGCTTCTTGACTGCCAGAAATTGAGTTCAGAAATAGTCAGTTATTCCTTAATAATATGTAGAGTGATTCATGGATTCTGTTGATCATATCCTTCTAGCAGCTACTTCAATATGTCTCATTTTTTCATAGAACATTATGCTACTCTTCACGGACTGACATATTTACATAATATTCAAAACACTTGAGATTATTCTTTTTGGCCTGATATACCTAATCATAACTTTCATGATAATTTTGTAAGGCTAACACAGCATCCAACCTATACAGGTGGTTCATTGAATCGTTACATACTGGGTGTCTCATATTTAGCGTGCAATACTTTACCAGCAGCTTTTACGATCAAAAATAAGAAAAAAAGTATAAACATAGGTCGAATAATGTTTCATAACCGAGCTACACTTCCTAAAAGTGGTACCCTGAATATGGTTTATATTTTTGAAACTGTTGATAGCAGAATTTGGGAATTTTCCAAGTCAGCCAATCTTTTTATGTCTTATAATATGGGATAATAAAAATTTAAAATTTTCATCCAGAAATTGGTCAAACTAGGGGGGGGGGTTAAAATTACCCAACCTCTAAAATATTAGAAATGTAGAAGTGTATCAGGAAAATATATTTTATCAACATACACTTATGCAGGAAATTTCAATCTGATGGCTTTTTCCGTTGAAAAGTTATACGGAAAAATTATTTCAATTTCAGAAACTTAGGAAGGATATAATATCTCCCTTGATATACAACTTTTGAGGTATTGTTGTTATATTATATTCAACCCGGACAGGACAAAATTCTTACAGTCGACTCCATCAAAGCTAAGCAAAGTTTCGAAGTTTTAAAGCTTTATCATCAGCGTTATTGTTACATAGGAGTACTAAAGTGAGAGAAAAACAAAGAACAATTTCAGACAAACCCCTCAACAACGATAGGTCTGAAAAACTCACTTGTTCTGGAGGAAAGAAGTTATGTTTACATATTTATATTATTGAAAAATGTTTAAGAAAAATTACAAAAAAGTTGAATGGGGACCGCAATTATTGCGGAACCCCTTTGTTAGGGAACTTTAAATATAATTATTGAACGTCTGACAACATTGCAAAAGTGATTGATACTTCCTGTGCTTGTGATCTCGCCGAAAACAAACTCTGGGGTTGGGCTATCAACCTCAAATCAATGATTTACAAAAGTTTCAGGCAAACTTTGAAGCTCAATATCTTGCAAAATATTTATTTTTTTTGACAAAAATGTATTCTTTCATTTCGTTTTGCTTTTTTTTTCTATCATCCATTTTACATACAAAATACAGACTTTTGATTGGTTGAAAATGTTAGGCGTGAAAATTTTTTCATAAAATCGACTGTAAACCTTTCCTTTTCAGGAGGAATTCGGCTGGAAGCTCGTTCATGGCGACGTCTTCCGTCCGCCACGCAAGGGTATGCTGCTGTCCGTACTCCTCGGCTCCGGTGTCCAGGTAGGTAATCAAGTTATATCGTAAACTGGAACCTTTGGCACGATTGATTGATTGATTGATTAATAGTAGAATGATCAGTCAGGGTTTGAAGCCCAAAACACTGCAGCCTTTGGGCCTATTGTATTCCTGATCATGCTGTCGACTTAGGTGAACAGGTTCGCTACCTTGATAAGGTTTAGCAGCCTCTTCACCAAATCATTCGTTGGAAAAGCCTCTTGAGAGTTTACTGCTCCCAGAAGGTTGTTTCTCCAACGCGCTAGTTTCCTCCTCCTCATTGCATAGTCTGCATATGGGTTCGTCTGTATAGATGCCCATTCGATGCATATGTTTCCTCAAGGGGTAGTGACCAGTTATTAGTAACGTCACTTGTCTGATCTGACTTCTCTTTAGGCTCAGAATGTCGTTAGTTACTGTTCTGGAAAGTGTTCCAACCATCAGTTTACTGTGTCTTTGTCCTGGGACATTGTTCCGGTATGCTTGATGTCTTTCTTGCATCCACCTTGCCAGCCACCCGCGTATTGAGGTTTTGGGGATACCGAACACAGGTTCTGGTCCCATTAACAACGCCTCAGACCCTTGCCTAGCACGATAATGCACTACACACTGTTTCACCCCTAACCAAACCGATTTTTTACGCATCGACTCGTTTTTTCGATTACTATGTTAGCATCTTCAGGAGAAGAATAAAACTAAATGTTCTATACTAGTGTGCTACTTATATACTAGGTATATGTCCACCTAACCGTGAAATACAACAACAATTCATGAAAAACCACAATCCTGTTCAATCCCAAATACACGAGAGGACTTGGTAAGGTTTTCAAAGACTTAGGTTTTGAAAGCGTTTATCAGCCTGGGTCAAAATTAGGCAATTTATTAGGTAATCCAAAAGATGAGATGGACACATTTGAAAAGTCAGGAATATACGACATTAGTTGTAATGATTATGATAAAACATATATAGGCCAAACCAGGAGTCCCATAAATACAAGGTTCAAAGAACACTTAGCACATTTGAAATATGGTAGATGGTTAGATAAAACGTGTGTAGCCGAACATGTTCAATCACAATCATAACACACATATCAAATTAGTTGAGCAAGTTGAAGTTAATTAGGAAATTAGATGCATATGAAAGCTTCGAGATAAGTAATAGAGTCATGAATAAGGATAATGGACCTATCCCATTTAACCCTAGGAATACGAAAGTACAGGGGGGTGGACCGAATTCTTACACACTGTAGTTGTAGAGAGATAGCGTTCGGTGACAATGACGCGAGTTCCATGATTTTTGTTCACCCAAAAAGTGCTCAACGCGCCTAAAGAGGCTTTCACTTGAAAAATTCGTCAAAATCGCTCCATAAATAAAAAACTAATGAGCGTGGCCCGCTTTCAAATGGACCACTCTCCATGTGCATGTCGACTTTGTGAATGAGCATTCTTCTCTTCAGATAGCACAGCATATTTTGATTCGATTCGACTTGATCAGGTGCTGTGCATGGCGCTGGTCATGCTGGCGTTCGCATGCCTGGGCTTTCTCATCCCGGCCAATCGTGGCGCGCTCATCCGGCTACATCTCGATTCGTCAAAATCGCTCCATAAATAAAAAACTAATGAGCGTGGCCTACTTTCAAATGTATATGTATGTCGATTTTGTGAATGACAATTCTTCTCTTCGGAGAGCACAGCATATTTTGATTTGATTCGACTTGATCAGGTGCTGTGCATGACGCTGGTGACGCTGGCGTTCGCCTGCCTGGGCTTCCTCAGCCCGGCCAATCGCGGCGCGCTCATGACGTGCGCTATGGTGCTCTACGTGCTGCTCGGTTCGCCTGCCGACTACGTCTCGATTCGTCAAAATCGCTCCATAAATAAAAAACTAATGAGCGTGGCCCACTTTCTAATGTATATGCATGTCGACTTTGTGAATGAAAATACTTCTCTTCAGACAGCACAGCATATTTTGATTCGATTCGACTTGATCAGGTGCTGTGCATGACGCTGGTTACGCTGGCGTTCGCCTGCCTGGGCTTCCTCAGCCCGGCCAATCGCGGCGCGCTCATGACGTGCGCTATGGTGCTGTACGTGTTGCTCGGCTCGCCGGCCGGCTACGTCTCGGCCAGGATCTACAAGAGCTTCGGCGGCGAGAAGTGGAAGTCGAACGTGCTGTTGACGTCGATGTTGGCGCCGGGGTGAGTGCTTTCGACAATATTTAACTGAATGAATGATAATAATTTGAATATATATCACATATATATACACTCTTGATGGCTTTTGTTGTGCTATAAGGAGTCAATAATACCGTCTCCGAGAAAGAACTGCAAGTCCTTTTGTCTTCCATTCGACTTCGCGGTTACGTATATTACTAAACAACCACTAAGTTCGCAATTTTTTGAAACCAAATCACAGAATTAGAATGACAGAAGTGACATCAGATATTTGATTAATTCAAAAGAATGATAAAGATGCCTACAACGCAGGTGTCCCTACTGTTAAAAACTTGAAATTTCACGTCGATGATTTTCAGAGTTGAAAATAATGTAATATCTTCTCAATATTGATTCGTCCTTTCTTCTGTCACAGAAAAAAATAGTGTATTATACACGGGAAAAATACTTTTTTCCCTTGTATAATAAATAACTATCATAGCAGGGAAAATTATGAAAGAGCAACAAAAAAAAAACAGATAATCAGATAATCATTTTTAATGTTGTTTCTTCTAGAGACTGTTGAATATAAGTTCTTGAATTGATTTAGGATGACATGAGAGAATCAAAGTCGAGTATTTTTATTAATTTTAATGACAGTTAACATATCTTTTCGTCTGGTTATGTGTTCGTGTTTATGACTATTGACTTCAAAATTCAGATTTGAATGTTTATAATTATATTTGACGGAATGGATGGAATTTAATATTTTGAATTTGTAAATGCAGTTAATATCTAACAACTGCCTAGGTTCATAAAGATTTCTTGTTGGTTGTAAGTATTCTAGTTTGTATATTCATTTAATAACTTTGTTTTGAAGGATTTGAATTGGCTTTATAATTGATAACCTAGCTGTAACCCAAACTGAAATCAAGTATTGTAATTTTGAATGAACCAAGGAAAAATATATACATTTTAAGTATTTCGAATTGATTTGGTGGAGTTGGACCATGACAAATGTTCATTAAGGAATATCCCAAGGAATTTGATGGCTATGGAATATTTAATGATTTCATTATTAAATTTGATATCAAATTTCAGTTCACTTAAGTCATCAGCGAACATGTAAACTTTTCCTTTCAATTTGATGTTAAGTTCAAAATAAATTAGTCTGTATATACATTTGATAATTTTATTTTGAACAGTTTTGAGAGGCTTCATAATTGATAGTTTCGTTGATGCCATACCCATACAGACATCAAATATTCAAGTTTAGAATAGATCAAGGAGAAGTATATAGATTTGAGACATTTTATAGGAATTTGGTTCCGTACCCTAAAAAATATACCTATTATTGGAGATGTTATTTTTCTAAGTATTCCAATATGTTTTGACCATGACAAATTTTGATCTATGTACAGCCCAAGAAACTTGATTATTTGAAGATTTGATGACTTCATCATTACATGCGATTGGAAATTTGAACTCATTATATCATCATTTTTTTTTATATGAACAGAAATGCTGAGTTACTATAATTTGATAATGATAATATTATCAAATCACTTGAAATTTCATGCTCAAAGTTGGATAATTACATATTGATTATTTCCTTTCAGAATTGTATTTGGATTGTTCTTCGTCATGAACCTTGTCCTCTGGGCGAAAGAAAGCTCAGCTGCTGTGCCATTCAGTACCTTGGTGGGCCTTCTAGCACTGTGGCTACTGGTTTCAGTACCCCTCACCTTCGTTGGAGCCTTCTTCGGCTTCAGAAAGAGGGTAAGTTAAATGTGAGCATTTCCAACAACTAGAATGTGAATTATCAATTATTTACAGGCCATCGAACATCCAGTAAGGACCAATCAGATCCCAAGGCTAATTCCGGAACAGTCTATTTACACCCAGCCAATCCCCGGTATCATCATGGGCGGAGTCTTGCCATTTGGGTGCATATTCATACAGCTTTTCTTCATTTTGAATTCCATTTGGTCCGCGCAAATGTACTACATGTTTGGTTTTCTGTTTTTGGTATTTATCATTCTTGTGATCACGTGTGCTGAGACGACGATTTTGCTGTGCTATTTCCATTTGTGCGCTGAAGATTACCATTGGTGGTGGAGATCGTATCTCACCTCTGGTTTCACATCGGTTTATTTGTTCTGGTATTGCTGTCATTACTTTTTCACAAAGTTGCAAATCGAAGATGCTGCTTCTGGGTTCTTGTATTTCGGCTACACTCTCATTATGGTGTTTTTATTCAATTTGCTGACAGGCAGTATTGGTTTCTTTGCTTGTTTCTGGTTTATAAGGAAAATTTACAGTGTGGTGAAAGTAGACTGAAGTGATTTCGATATACTGAAGGTTCAAATATTTTAAGAGGATATCTATCTAATCGTCATGTCCATTTGGAGGAAAATGAATGCGTTTGGACATTTCTTGATATCACATATTCGGTTTATGATTTATTTATGTGATACTAATATAACTGGTAATAATTGATGTTTAGGTTATAAATATTTCACTACAGTATTTATTCAAGATTGGTCTTGACCATTCATAGTTTTTCCTCAAATATAAACTATAATTTTGTGTTTGTATTGGGTTATGAAAACTTTCGAATCCACAAGTAACAATAATCGACTTCTCTTTGGAGTTTGAGAATGTAGATAGTTGTAAATATAAAAAAAAAATGAAAATGGTAATAAAATCTATACCTGTAAAATTTCTTTTATCATTTCTTGTTCCTATTATCCACCAGTACGATTGATTGTACATCATGTACCGAAAATATCAGGAAGCTTGTCTATTCAGTAACTATCGTGATTTTATAGAAATAAACAAAAGAGAAAAAACCGAAATTCAGGATGAATAGTGCAGCCCTAATTGTCGGCAAGAGCAAGCTAGTACTGTTCCTCTCCACCAGACCTCATCAGTCTCGGTCTGCTGACAATGGGCGAGTGGGCGAGATTACTCAACTATGTCCTTAGGAAACTAAATTAATTTTTGCAATACTTCCCACGCTTGTCTTATATAAATAATGAATCTATGCGTTGTTCGAAATTGTTGAATTTTAAAGCTCATTTGGCGATACGTCAAATAAATTGTGCTGTTTCGTTATTTATGGGTCAGATAATCTTCCATATCCAATCATGAAGCAAGGTTGTCAAATCACCAACTGTAATCAAGTTATCAAAAAGATAGAGTCCTGTCGTTGAATAAAACATGATAGGGGAGGAATCCATGATATTATATTTCATTCTTGGCTTTTTCGACGAACCAACATGTCGACATATTTCTTATTCTCTATAACAAAATATCATGTAAATGTTGGAGACTTAGCAACATTGTGCTGAATGCTGGGAACTGACAAGACCACGCCCACAAGTCGTGCGCCGTGTTGTCACGTTCGCCGATTCAGATGACCTCTAGTGTGAATAAATATAATTATTATTTACACAAATTTATTATAAGCAATCATACACAAATCATAAGGGAACATTTTGAGACAATTGAATTTTTATTGCTAATTAGGAGTATAAACAATACTTAATTGAGAATTTATGAACTATTGAATAACTGATATTTGTGCAGTTCACAATCGTATATCAACAAGACATGGTAACTGTGCTATGGTCTGCCTCTACTTACGAAATCGTGGTGTCGGTTTTTCTGGCGGTAAATTTCCAGCCGTTTCAAACATCACCGTGGCATTATTGATGATTGCTGAGTCTTGGTTGCATCAATGGAGAGGGTTTGATTCCTATTTGATAAATTCACTCAAGTGATGAGAACATTTTTTTCAAAGAAAGAACAAGAAACACCAACTCGGTCGACCACAAATTATATAACAAGTGTTACTAGTTTCGGCTCAAACGGCCATCTTCAGACACAAATTAAAAGACCTGTAAAAAGATCGAAAATTACAGAGGAGCAAGTTGCCGAGGAAAAACATACCTAAGTATTAAGCCATGAGGAAATGAAATTATTAAAAACCGTGTGGGTCGTACAATTTACAAATCAGTCCGGCAAAAAACCTCGGACTTATTTTTTTAACCGACTGAACAGCCAAAAGAACAAGACAATCTTCATCAAGTTCAACAACGGCACAAAAGTTGGGGAAAATATTATAAAGTCACTCGATGAGTTTCATCTGGAGTGGTCATTGAGTCAAAGACATAAAAGTCAAGGGACAGGGCGAAAAAGCAGACATTGATAGAATGACAGTGACAAATGATACCAACCAGATGACATGGACCAAATTCAGCGTGTGTGCGCACTCTGTGGTGCTCACACTAAAATTCTTATGATCAATTTTGCATTCTTAGACCGGCCCAGTTTTATTTAATTTCCTGAGTTCTTCATCTTCGGCCTTTTATTAATTTTACTACATCTTGAAGCTTCTTTATTTTCTGGTCTGATTTATCATCTTCGACTTTGATCACGTATGTCTCCTTTGAAATTTCTTCATAATTATCACAACACAAAAACGTTCAGGAATTTACTCATGTGAAAATATACAGGGTGTTCCATTTGAAAAAAACAAAGTTGCTGGCATTTCCAGGAAAACCAGAACTCCACCATATTGGATTGTTATGTGATCAAATTCGAAATGGTTGCTTTAGATAACAATTAATCAAGGGCGGTCATAAGGGGGGGGCCATGGGGGCCATGGCCCCCCCCAAAGGTGGCAATGCACTTAGGATACATTCTGTTCGACCGGCCTGGTCTAGTGTTCAGTAACACAGGATACTAGATACTATGGTGACACCTTAAATGGCCTAAATCGATATATTTTAAATGATTACTTTGTAAATTAACCGGTTTTGAATGGTACTATTTTGGGAAAAACAGTGATGAAACAAGTTCAGAAATTTGGTTTACCATTGGAAAATTGTGTAGGAATTTGTACAGACGGTTGCAGTGTGATGACATCAAAACAACAAGGAGCAGTCCAAGAAGCTCAGAAAAAAATGAAGATAGCTGTACGATGTCCATGTTTCAATCATGCTTTAAATTTGAGTTTGTCGAAATCCTCAAACGTTCAGAGTGTGAGAAATGCTGTAGGGGTAATTAAGGAAATAATATCTTTTTTCAAAGCCTCTTCTAAACGCAATTATGTCCTCAAACAAACATTGGGTGATCAGCTCTCTGGATTGTGTGTAACGCGATGGATAGAACGACACGACTCCGTTCTGCAGTTCAAAGCATCGATTGAAAAAATTTTGCAAGCTTTGAATTTGATTTCCGAATGGAATGAAAGAGAATCTTCCAGTAAAGCTAAGTCGCATATACTTGCGATCTCATCAAATTGCAGCTTTATTATCACTTTGTTTTGTCTGAATGAAGTACTCGCAATAACGTTACCTCTAAGCAAATTATTGCAAAAAAAAAATTTGGATATAAGCTCCACACAGAATGCTGTTCTAAATACTCTGCTTGTTTTGAAAGACAAACGCAACAATGCAGAATCCAATTTCAATGCTTTGCTTAAAGAAATAATGCCTTGTCTAGAAAATTTGAATATAGATTTATGCATTCCAAGAGTGAATAAATTCATGAAAAATCGACCTAATCCAGATATTCATTCCTCCACAGAATACTTCAGAATAACGATATATATTCCTTTACTTGAAAGTATTATTTCCGACATTGAGTGTCGTTTCCAGCAAGAAACTATGGATTTATTCAATCTGCAAATATGTGTTCCTGTTATATTGATTAATTCAAATGAAGATGGCATCCATTCCGCCGTAGAAATTTTGACTGAAAAATATGGAAGTTTGTTTGAGACATGTAGAGACGTGCTGAAGTCAACTTTCATTGCAGAGCTGCATTTATGGAAAATGAAATGGATACACAGCAAAGAATTGGAAATTCCCAGCGATGGACTGAATGCTCTCAATCAATGTGATAAAATGATGTATCCAATCATTCATGACATTTTGAAAATACTGTGTACTCTTCCAGTGAGTGTTGCATCTGCAGAGAGGAGTTTTTCAGGACTGAGAAGACTTAAGAGTTGGCTGAGGGCCAATATGGGTGAAGATCGTTTGAGTGGCCTTGCACTAATGCATGTCCATAAGGACATTGTCATCAACGAATCTAATGTTAGTAATGTTATAGAACGTTTCGCTAATAGTGGGGTGAGACGAAACATGGAGTTCGTCATGTAAAATATTAGTTTCTGTTAATTATTTCATTCGAATGATTTTTATTTTAAATATGTAATATAAAAATAATATTCCATTCTGTGTTTTCTGATTGAATTGGAATTAATGACTGATATGTAATTGTACAAAATGGCCCCCCCCAGAATCAAGATATATGACCGCCCTTGCAATTAATACGACTAAATTTCAAAAAAATAGTCGTTGTATACGTAAGTATTTGATAGCTTCATGAATGGCCAACATTTCCTCAACCTAATAAGTACTTTACTTCATTTGTGCATTTTATTTATGAGTGAAATCCATGAGGTTACCAAACACCATTTGACTCCTGTTGAACCACATATAGTAGAGTGCCAAAATCGAATCCTATCGTTCACCCCGTGGGAAATCGGAGGTAAAAAGCTGTGACATGGTTAGAATTGTTACCTACCATCTCCAGATCATGGATCCACTTGTCGTCAAAAAATCGTCCTGTGCGTTTGGGGGGTAGGGGGTAATTTATAAAAAAATATGGAATTTTTTTTTATTCGTGGAAAATATTTATGGGTTTCATAACTTCCACCCTGTTAAATCTTGATTTCGTGTGACAAGTAGAACAAATTATAGAAAACTTTGAAATTTACTAATTACATTACGATATATGAGAGAATCATATTTCAAACGCCTATAACTCAAAACTTCTAAATTCTCGTTAAATTGTTTTTCATATACCTCGCATTATCTCAGTAACTACAACGTTTATCAAAAAAATACTTCGAATAATGTCGATGCGCCTATGTTTCAAGATGCGAATGGTTCTTCGATTTTGAAAATCGAAGCATAAATAAGGAAGATATTGAGAAAATCATAATGCAATGCTGGTACCACGGACGATCGCGTTTCGCCGCAATCGTACCCCTATTCTCCCCGCAATACCCGCGGCTATCATGGTTCCATACGCTTTCGTTATACACATCAACATTGAGGCGTTGACCATTGCATTTAATGGTGACTTATTGTGAATTAATTATTCGATATTTGGTACTGTGTGCACTGTTTCAATAATTAAATAAGTATTGATTAGTTAACGAAATCTATTATTGTGAATTTACCATAAGATATATGTTTCCCTAGATAAGAGATGGAAACTACTAGCAATTCAAAGTATTCAGACACTGATCTTGAATAAGT